ATGGATGATTTATCAATGGATATGATAAATATAAGAGAAATACAATAGCAGAAATGCATAATTAACATATCAGAAAGCAATTTTTAAAAGTCACCTAATATACATTGGTCAGATCAAAGAAAACTTTGTGTTACAGTCATTTCAGATTTTTATACACCTGTTCAGCATGATTTAAACAATTTTTTTTAAATTGCTTTAAACACCTATTATCACCTTATTTTATTTGAGATGCATTGTTTAGCATGTTTGATGAGGAATTGAAGTGTTAAGTTAGAAATCTGTGCATGAAACAAGAGATAGTTGTAGTCTGGCTAGATTATTTTGATAAAGATGCTCATTGTTATTTCTAAGTCTGCTGGATTTTCACTTGATCAAATACAAACTGCTTCTTTAACCTTTAAACTCTACATTCTATGTCTACCAAGAGTAGCCTAATGCTTTTTCCAAAAGTGGAAAAAAATGGCACCATGAAATGGTTCAGAATTTCAATAAATAAAGTAAGCTGTCGCCCTCCTCTAAGTCCAATACATTGATCTTGGCATGGTTTCCTACAGACAATAGACATCACTGAATTTTGTTATTTATAGTAGTCTTTATCGTCATTTGTCAGTAACCTTCTGAGTAATTAAACTAGAAATGTGAGGAAAAATATCATACATACCTTATCATATTTGAAATGACATGATAAAGGTCTAAGGAATACATAGAAATAAGTTGACAGAATATTATAATGATCCAAATTACTTTAAGGCATTGGACAAAGGAATCACTTTACATTATTTTCTAATAACCCTTGCCTAATATTATTCTAGTATTGAGATTTATTGATAGTCCCGAAATGACCTAGTTTGTGTCGATTGGCCGTTAAACCCCATTTCTCTCTGTGTGTTGAGATTTATTGAAGGATGTTATTTGTTAATCTACAAGCAATCCTTACTATTGATAGATAGATCTAGTTTGTTTTACTAGTAGAGTGTTAATCTTGTAAGGGAACATTACCTCCTTCACATGGTCATAACAAACATGATTGTAGCAATATCTCACATCTTTGTTAATTCCACAATTTTTGTAGCAACCACAGCCCAAAGATTGGAAGATAAGAAAAGTATCTAGTTGTTTGGGAGAGTATAAACAAGAACTCTAGGTTAATTCTATAAATTGTCAAAATATAAGTTAACTTTAAATAAAACTACTATAACCAAAGAATATCTGCATTATGATTTCTTCAAAATGTCCTACTTTAAGTCAAATACATGGTTAGTGATATTTCATTTGAAGGTCTGATAAAATTTATCATGAAATTTTAAGGCATCAAAATCTCATAAAAATTCAAGAACAGTAATATTATCAAAATGACATGAATTTACATTGAACTAATGAGGATGAAGAAAAAGTACATTTGAATTAAACGATCATACATATTTTGATTTAAAATAACTAGAATTATTTTTACAAATCTTTTTTGGTTCACCAAACACAATACAAGTCTCTATTTCAACAATTGTAATTCTGTCATATTGATTTTCACATTTCGATATATCCCAGTGTCTAATATTACTTATCTTCAAGTGACCTCTATCAGATATTTATTATTTCCTACACCTGTGTTTATATAGAATATCTACCTTTACCTATACATAACATTAATGTAATACCCATATAATCAATACCTGACTATACACAAGTTAATCCTGACTAATATTATTTATTTCCAGATTGAGAACTCACATTTTCTATTGAGATAAATTTATCCCTGTTTATTAAAAGAAAATAGTGTGTAACACCATATGTTGAATTAGTGTTCCCCTCCTTTTGAAGAAAGGGGACTATTAAAATGGGTCTGTATGTTCGTCACACATATTGGGAAAAAATAAGTTATTTTAAATACACAGGAGCGGAAGGATCGAAAATTCATTTAAAGGTTAAACATATAATTTTAAAGCGACATCTTTGTACAATGGGAGCCAATGTAGGGCTCGAAAAATGGTGGTAATATGTTCACAGAGACTTGTCCATGTCACAAGCCGGGCTGCAGAATTTTGAATTCTTTGTAGTTTCTTCAGTGCTGTAATAGACTATTATAAAAATCTAATCATGAGGTCACGAAAGCATGAACCAATTTCTCAGCAGTAGACCGATCCAGGAGTTTTCGAATTCTCCCCATTCACCATAAGCCAAACGAAGCCGCTAATTGAGGTAGAATGTTCAAACTTTATGTAGGTGTTTATTAGGTGAATACCTTGATGGAGTTCGAAGATGAACATTTTCTGTTTAGGCTAAGCAGAGATGAGCAATTTGATTGGTTGATGCTTTGGGACATGATAACTTTGATTCTAATTAAATGAGAGTGGTGAAACTTTGTGTATACCTTGACTAAGTTCGACGATAAGCATTTTCTGCGTAGGCTAAGCAGGGATAAGCATTTTGATTGGTTGATGCTTTCGGACACGATAACTTTGATTCTAATTGAGTAAAAGTGGTGAACCTTCGTATATAATTTCATTACATCAATACCTTGACTGAGTTCGATGATGAGCATTTTCTGCTTAGGCAAATTACAAACTTCAAGCTGATTGGTTGAGACTTCAGAACTAGATAACTCTCCTTCTAACAGAGGTAGTATGTTCAAACTTGGTGTACTACTGTATGCCTTGACAATGTTCGATCATATGCATTTTCCACTAAGGCTAAGCCGAGATAAACAATTTGATTGGTTGAAACTTTGGAACACGATAACTTTGGTTCTTATTGGGTGAGAGTGATGAAACTCAGAGTATGGATTCATTATATAAATACCTTGACTAAGTTGATGTAAAGATTAATAAAACTTGTTACCACAAAATAATTACGCTATGTATTTTCAATGATATATCTGATGTTTGAAGTGTTAAAAACATTGAAATATTAAGTGCTTTGTGACACCTTTATGACAGTGTTTGATTATCACCTAAATACAGCATTTGTTTACATTTTTATCGATCCATATTTTAATTAATAATTCTCACATGTGTAAACAAGCGGTTGCCATGCAAAATACGCCCATCAAATGGGCACAAAACCCGAACCAACTTTTTCTAGAGTAAAATTTAGCATAGAATACGATGCCGAGTGGTAATCAGTCCACCGTTGGGGCCTTTTTCTATATATTTGGGGTCAAAGGTCAAATGAGTTCATTTGCACTGAAAGTGAATGCACAGTCATTCTTGTATTATGAAAAGAAGCTGAAAATGATCGAAAGTAATCACACTTTCAATAAAAATGTAAACTTGCTAAATTCACCTTTAGTCTTAGTGACCCTGGAGGTCAAAAGGTCACATTTTCCGTTTTTTGAAAAATCTCGTGAATTCTCTAGAGGCTAAAGTTAATATCCGATTGACTTTAAATCAGGGGCCATTGTGAAAAATTGTCACTTCTAGAGGATCCACAAACTAAAAAATGTGATTTTTGTACAATCAGGGACCATAATCAAAGAAATTATAGTCCGATATGCATGAATATTGAAAGGAACCAAGATATTTTGGAGATAAAACCTATATTGCAAGTTTTGTCAAAATCAGATAAAAAATTGTGACCTGTAGAGTGTCCACAAACAAAATGTGAAAGGACTCACGGACGATGACAATTTTTGAAAAATATTTTGAATATTTTTGATGCAACATTGTTTACAAAACAGCACATAACTTTAAACTTTAGGTTCACAGTTTTTTTTGCAGTTATTATTTTATTTTGATTTTGTATTATAAAATGTTGTGAGAATAAATGTGAAGAAAATAGGTTTGCTGATATATGAACTTTTAAAACCATATATCATTTGGAGTATTGGATTATCTCCCCTTAGTCTTCAAAAATCTGTAACCCCAGAAAACTTGAAAGCACATAGACCAATTTTAGTTCACGATTAGAGAGAACTGTTTGATATGTGCTTATTGTATTAGCTGTATATCATTTGGAGTATTGGATTATCTCCCCTTAGTCTTCAAAAATCTGTAACCCCAGAAAACTTCAAAGCACATAGACCAATTTTAGTTTACGATTAGAGAGAACTGTTTGATATGTGCTTATTGTATTAGCTGTAGTTTGAGTCTTTCAGGCTGGTATCTTTTATCATGAAATGATACAAGGTGTAACTGAATATATGTCATCAAAGTACTTTTAATTAATTTTGACCTTTGATAAACACTGGTCATTATACAGGTCATGAAGGTGTGACCAAATTCTCTTTTAACTCTTTATGTCTTACTGTAAACTATACATGTTCGAGTTTACCGAATACATGTGCATTTCTTAGGTAAATAGCATTAGCAACCTGAGTAAAGACCATCCATTATAGGCTTACTCACGAACTTACAAGATAAAGACCTGAACATACATATTAATTGGGATGCCCTTAAAGGGTAAAGGGAAAAAGATAATGACTAATAATTCATAGCATTTCCAGTACTCTTAGTTATATAAAAATATTTCTACACTACATTATTGATGAATCTTGGTAACTTTACTATATGTTTACCTCTAGGTATTTAAAGTTATTGACATAGATATAAGCTATATAGAAGGTCCTCTTATCAAACAATGAAACTCTAGGTAAACATATTTATATCATAAAACTTCAATACATAGGTCATATCTTATTTCACACATATTGTCAGTTATTATACACAAAACTAGGAATATTGTTTTACAAGAAATGGATGACAAAAGGTGTACTTAGCCTGAATCATGGAGGTACTGTACATTCTGCAACTATATTTTTGCACCGAATATTCAAAACCATAGCAGATATTTTTGCATAAAGTATACAAGTTTATCAAGAGCATATGCAAACACAAGTTTTCAACAATTTTTATGTGTTGATTATTCATTAGCATGTGCATGTCAACTATTTAGAAACATTCCAGTCTTTGCAGCTAAATGGATCAAATAGTTAGATATAACATGAAACCTTTTATCAAAAATACACATGATTACAAACTTAATAGAATTTATGCTTAAACTTTCAGACATTAGAAAGTGACATAGATGATAAATATGGTTTACTGGAAGGTCTTAAAACACAGTCTGAATTACTACAATCTAAAGTTAGTCAACAAGATTCTGATTTAGTTGAAGAACGTGTCAGGTATGTTCAAACTGTGGATCATGGAAGTGATTTTGAAAAAGAAGTTAGAATGCCCTTTTATTAACAGCTCTGTGACTTGATCAAACTTTACAATGCATGTCTATTTTGTTTAGTCTACCCAGTTGCAAATCGTGCAAAATTAGATGTAGAACATGGACAGAGGCATTGTACAGAGCTGCCATATAAGAATAACAGATGTAAATTGGATCTAACTAAATTCTAACTGATAGTGTTATAAGAAAAAGTCCAAATTGGATAATAGATAGCTGTTTCTTATGTCATACCAGATGTATCAAAGGGGAAGTTTAACACTGCATGGTGGACTTAATCACTGAATTATAAGACCCCATTATCTATAGACAGAATTATTTTCTAAATATTGCAGAGATTTTATCGTAGCCAGATCAAAATGTGCTACAGTACTTTCTGTCCGGACTCATGGGTAAATGAGGGTTCAAATTTTACATTTACTCAATCAACATTTTCATTTATCAAATACTAGAACTGTACTTAACTTAGTTTTAACTCATACAGAACAACAGAGAAAGGGCTTCATGATCTTAGACTTAAGATCACCAAAAACCAGACTTCTTATGGAAGTCTTGGAGGTAACCTGGATGAAATTAAGGATGAAGCTGAAAAATATATCACATGGTTGCTAGAAACTGAAACTAAAATCAGTGAGGAAATCAAGCTTGGATATCTACCAATAGATGTTGAAGTTGTTCTTTGTGAAGTGAAGGTAAACTTTTTGCAAATGAATGGGGGAGGGGATCTATGATAAGCTTGTTATTGAGAGAAAATAAAATTGTCAGTAATTTGAAGATCTATGACAGATATCGAATGTGACATAAGTTAGTAGTTAATCTGTGAAATAGTATGGTCAGCAATGATTGCAGTTACTTAAGAGCAAATTAAATCACTAATTTCTGCTGTTGTCCATTTTCATATTCTGACCCACTTTCATGATATATCCTATTTAAAATAAAGCTTTGTCCTATGTAGTACTTCTATTTCGAATAGGAGCCGCAGTGGCTCAGTTAATAAGATCTTAGCTCGCTAACCATGAGGTCGCTTGTTCTATAAACTTCATCGGTGCAGGACAGAGAGCCCATCAAGAGACAACATATAATTGTTTGGATGGAACAGAAAAAGGGAAGTCCCTTGTACAGATCTGCATGCATGTAAATGTAAAAGAACTTTTGACAGATGGGATAAGAGTAGGTTGTAGCGCTGCTGTCCAGGCAAAACTGTTTGTGTGAGATATTTTGACAGTCATACTGTTTGTGTGAAATACTTGGACAGTCATAATGTTTTAAGATCCATATTTATATGTTCTTCAACACACACTACTGTACTTTTACTTTAACCTGTGAGGAATGCAATGGAGTTCTTCACAGACAGCTGTTACAAAACAATCTTTTAAATTTCCAATTATGTTAAATAAAATTTGCACTGAAAATAATCATTAGATTGTTTTTTTAAATCATCATTATCAGAAACTACAAAGTGACTTGAATCATAGACAGCAAATCCTTGATGGCATCGTTCAAAGAGCTCAGTCTTTGATCACAGATCTTCCATCTCAAGAAAAGGCATCTGTAGAACAACTGATAGCAAAGGTGCAGTCACAACATACTAATGTACATTCCCTGGTTACTAAAAGATGTAAACAGCTTGTGAAGTGTCAAAATGAAAGAGAAGAATTTCAGAAAGTTCTAGCAAGAGAAACAGCATGGTTGGATGAACGAGAGACTACAGTAAAGAAAATAGTCAAGTTGCGTCTTCTAACTTCTGATATAAAGAAACAGTCTAAAAAATACAAGGTAAACAATTCGATACATATTGGCTAACACAAACGGACTTTCAGGAACACAGATTTCCCAGCATTTGATTAGTTCTTTTGGATATAAACAAGATTTCCTCAAAACAAATGTGTTTTAATATTTTTTAGGAATTTGTTGCTAAAGTTAGAAACTATGGTAGCCATTTTGATGTATTGGAGAAAAAGGGTGATGAATTAAAGATAGAATGTCATGAGGAGGCTAAATATGAGATTGAATCATTAATCCAAGGTAAGCTTCATCAATTTTATGATGCATTAAGCATAGGGTGATCGCCCCTCCCACATTTTGCAGGACAAATAACGCAAAATGCTTCCATGTCAACCCAAATGTCCGGCAAATACTGACATACCAGATTTCTATACAGTAATATGTGTGAATCTAGTCTTACGATGATAGTCTAGCTATTTGAGTGTTACATTATCTTTTTTTTCAAAGATTCGTACAAGTATTTTTAGACCTAAACTTAAGCTTCAACTTATAATTCTGTTTCTCAAACATTCTGCACATGCAACACGTTTCGTAAGTTTACGTGTGTCATAGCACCCATAAGTTTTCCGTGTATAAAGTACCATAAAGGAAAATTCCTTCTTAAATATTTACGTGTAAACTTACGACTTAACTGTAGTTTAGAGAAACAGACTTTATTTACAAATGACATTGCGTCGGATCTCTTAAACGTGGGCAAGAAATGGATGAAAACATGGACCTTATAATATAATTAATGTGTCATCCGCTACACCATCAAATTTAATCAAATTATAGTTTCCTTTGTTCTTTCCATGCCAGTTTGTAATGCTTATGTTGAGAGCATATTTTCACTGATGAAAAATTATTGGAGAGATGACAGAAACCAGGCATCAGTAAAACTTATTAGATATGTGAAATTTAAATTAAATTAAACTTTAAATATTCGTGTCAGGCATTTCACAACTATACACATGTATTAAGAAATCACAGATTATTAAAAGCTGTGAAGTCAAACAAAAAATACCCTTTTAAAGTACCCTTTTGAAGTTTTAGTTGCATATCTTTAAATGTCTGTTGTCTTTGCTTCATAATAAATCATAAACTCAATAAACTATCTTGAGTTGTTATGCATTCAGGAGAAAGTCACAAGTTATCACTACAAAATCAGAGTATTTCAGTACCATATTTCTTGTCTCAGATTGCTCGGAAGTCGGAATGACATTTCCGGGCTTCTAGTTTTCAAAATTTTTCGGGTAGCAGCCTCACACTTACGGCTTTCAGGGTGAACAGCTCTACCATCCATAGTTACGAGAACATAGCTAAAAAACTTTGAGGGTTGAGAAATGAGGTTTCTTATCTACACTGCCCATGGCTCCGCAGAAAACAAGAGGGTTTTTGAGGAACATATATTTTTTTTGTCACGCAATACGATCAAGCAAAGGTGGTCACCCTAAGTAAGCATAGAATATAACAAATTTTATGCAGCAACTGGTTTATATACATGCATATAGACCTATTGTATGTTTAAACTTATTTCATTTAAAAAACTTTATGAATGATAATTAAAATAAACAAAATGTATTTATAGATTTAAAGAATAGGTTTGAAAACTTCAAAGAGTATTTAGAAATTCATAAAGTGGTATTAAAAGACAGTTTAGCTTCCCATAAACTATTTGAAGAAGATTGTCGTCAAATCGAAAAATGGTGTGATGAGACAGACACTACATGTAGTCAAGAATTACCAGAGGATTGTGCAATAGAGTTGGTAGAAGATGAACACAAGCAATTTAAAGTGAGTGGTGGTTGAGCTATTTGATATGTGTATGTTTGTTATCCAGTTTTAATGATTGACATAACCTGTACTTTTATTCATATAATATCATATAAACAGATGAATTGTCGTATTTGTGACTAAATTGTGTGTAACATTGGCAATACTTTTGGCTAGTTTACTCATCATTTTTTTGGTACACATGTTTCTACAACTGCTAGTATGATTGTATTTATTTACCAGTACTAGTTTTAATATTCAATTCCTCAACAGTTTGCAACTTTTATTACTAATCAGTAGCTCAACTGAAGGAGCCTGCTATAATACTATAAGCATTAAAGATGCATTATGTAGGCTAAGAGCTATATCCGCCTATTACAGATTTTTTTAATTTTGGTTTTAAAGGTTATATAAATTATAATTTAGACATTTATTCACATGACAAGCCTATAATCAATTCTCTTGACTGTTGGACAGCGCAGATGTAAACGGATTAAAATAAGATTGCCATTTAATGATTTAATTTAAAAATGGAGAAGTGAGGCTGAGTCTCGATTAACAAGTAACAATGCTACGATAATAAAAAATCTATGTCAAAACTTCAAACAGTGATAACGTTACTCAAAGTAATTTGAATGAAATGTTCAATATATTAATTTTGAATTATCTATTTTGGAACTGTTATAGCAAGAACGGCCAGCTCTTTATCCTTTGCAAAATGTTGACAGAACTTATTTGTTACATGAATTTAGCTAATTTATTGATGGTTTTTGTTTTATAGAATCTCAGCAATCATGCTCAGTTATTTGAGACTCTAGTAAAAGAAACAGTAGAAAGAGGAGAAACTTTTAAACCAACATTAGTAGACACAGACATACCTGTTCTACAACAGCAATTAGATACAATACAAGATAAATTTAACAGGTAGGCTTCTAGTAAAACTGCAAATTCCTGTTCTCATTTTTATATGCCCACATTTTCATATGGGACGTATATTGTTGTCACCCATGTCAGTCTTTCTTTGTGGACACTCTACAGGTCACAATTTTTATCCGATTTGTATGAAACTTAAAGTGTATGTTTATAACCCACAGATCTTTGTTCCTTTTGATATTGGCGCATTTCGGACCATAGCTTCCTGGATTATGGCCCCAGATTGTACAAAAAATCATGTTCTTAGCTTGTGAACACTTTAGAGGTCACAATTTCTATCTGATTTTGATGAGATTAAAATGTATATTTACATTGTGTAACCCAAAAATCCCAGCTCCTTTCAATATTGGCAGATGTCGGACCCTAACTTCCTGGATTATGGCCCATGATTGTACAAAAAAACATGTTTTTATCTTGTGGACCTTGTAGAGATCTCAATTTTTATCTGATTTAAAAAAAACGTTTAGATGTTTCACCATAAGGACATTTGAGTTCGAATTGTGTGAAAGTCGGACCACAACTGCCCAATAAAATGGCCGTTCCCTCTATGCAAACAGTGTAAAAGTGTGTAATACTAAGGTTGTACCCTCTAGAGGTCACAATTTATATCCCAAATATCAGGGTTCGTTTCAATATTTGCGCGTATCGAACCTTAAAGTCCTGGATTAAGGTACCTGATTCTGTGAAAAATCTTGTTCTTAGATGTGAACCCTCTAGAGGTGACAATTTTTATTGTATGAATTTGATGTAAAAAGGACAAACTGCCCGACAAAATGACCACTCCCCGTACGCAAGCATCGTAAAAAGTATGTAATACCAAGGTTGTTGACCCTAGGTCACAATTTTTATCTGATTTTGATGAAACTTAAAATATGATGTTTATATCTCAAAGATCTGGGTTCCTTCAGATATTTGCAGGTTTTGGACCCTAATTTCCTGGATTAAGGCCCCTGATTGTACAAAAAATTGCTTTTTTTTTGGGCTTGTTTTCTGTCCATTTCTTGCGAAATGTGGGCATATCTTGCATGGCAAAAGCTTGTGCAATATATAATCTCTCCTAGATTTATGCCTCACATTCAGTAAAAAATATTGTATTGATACAAATCATGCACATATTTTCAGAATTTACATTGATTTTAGTGCCTTCAACAGTAACATGTATTCAATCATTGTCTGGTTTTCAGGGTTTCACAAACTATCATTGAAAAAATACAAGGTTTAGAGACTGTTATGGAAGATCGATATTTACTAGAAAAGAAAATAGAAGAATGTTCATTGGAGTTTAATAGAATAAATGAAGAATTAAGGGTGTTATCTAAAACAACACCAACTAGTGTAGAACAAATACAACAAGTACAATTACAATATCAGGTAATTTTTGATAAAAAAAACAACCTACATGTACATCTGTCTGACTATTATACTGGGACCTTAGTTATGGTAGGTTATAGTACAAGCCTGGGGTTAGTACTACTACCGACAGATTTATAGTCAAGCTCATTTGTTGTGAAATGAAACATGCTTATTTAGGTGTCATAGTAACTCAGTGAGTAATGCTCTGGCTTGCTTACTTAAAGGTCCCGGCTTCTATCTTGGTGTTGGTCGGGACAATTCCTAAGGATTGTGGTTCAAGACTGATGGCCTGGCAAGGACCAGCGTCTAATCATTTGGAGGGCCAAAAAAACACCAAGGTCCTGTGTACAGGCTGAAGTTCATGTAAAAGAACCCCTGACAAGTGGAATTAGAAATAAGAGTAGGCAATAGCTCGCTGTTAAATCCCATTTCATTTCATTTTATGAACTAACTGCTTTAACAATCATTGATCGCACATCACTGGTATTACCATTCATTCATTGAAGATTAATTCTGATTATTTGTAATTCAAAATTGATATTTTATAGCAATTAGAAAAACAGTTGGTTCAGTATAAGCCTAAGCTAGAAGAGTTAAATGAAAGATTAGATGGATTACGGACATCAGGACAGATTTGTAATGTAGAAGCAATATTACTGTTAGGAACACAATATGAACAATTAATTGATAGAATTAGTCAGTTTGAAAATAATTGTCAACAAAGTGTTTTTATGAGACAACAGTTTGAAGAACAGACTGTTATGTTGGAATCATCACTAGCTGATTCTGAGAATGAAATAAAGACTGTCAATGAAACGGAATTACTTTTGCCTGATAGATTGGCTAGATATAAGGTATGATTATGTTTTTAATCAATAATTAGTACATCCAAATTAACCTGGGTGGGTAAGTTTCGAAATGGTCATCGAGTCAAAAGGGCATGGTTTCGATTCCTCGCTTGTACATGACAAGGAGTATGATCGCTTGTCTAACCTCATCTATTTTCTCCAGGTCCCCCAATTTCCTCCCATTTCTAAGTTCTCCTATGTGCAAGCAAATTATTGAAATAAAATGAACCAAATGTTAGTCCCGAAATGACCTAGTTTGTGTCAACCGGAAATTGAACCCTGTTTCTCCCTCTCCAAATTAAACTGTGTCCAAGGTATATTTATATACAAAAAACTCAGAGAAAATAACACTATTGTTTTCATTTGTCAAATACTATATTTGTAATACCTGCACCACATACATTTTTGGGTAGTAATTTAATAATTACTGGCTGTCATTCTTAGTCATTTCATCTGAAAATTAAATCCTTTGTACTTAAAATATTTATGGATAAATGGATTGTAGCATAATTAAAATAAGGATTATCAAAGCTTGCATGATAAATAAATTCATAATCTATTAATAGTTGTCATGTTGTAGGTCATATTTGAGAAACTGGTGAGTATACATCCAGAAGTTGTTGTTGCCATGGATAAAGCGCAACAACTAACAATAGACAAACCAGCACATACCATGACTGGTGAAGAATTAACCCGAGTTCAGGCTATTCAGCTTAAAATGGAAACATTAAGAAAATGTGTAGAAGACAAGACATTAGAATATAAAACATTGATTAAAGGGCAAGATGATTTCAATATAGAAATAGATAAAACTATGGCCTGGTTAGAAGAAAAACAAAACATTTTAGCCTCTTGTGGTACCTTAGACCTATCACCTGAAAAGGTTCACTCTGTACAAAAGAAACATGAGGTTTGTATAAAATGTATCTAAAAATGAAAAGAATGAAATACTGGTTTATAGAACCACTGGCTAGTTACTGCTTACACTGTGATAAAAACATTTTTCTCAAAAATTGGTTAAAAACTACCGAATATAATAAGCCAACACTGTCTAAACACTTGATTTGTCAATAGTGTCTTAAAGATGATGTTACTTTGCCCAGTAGTGTAAATCAATTGTTATTCTGTCTAAGAAAATTGTTTTATTACAGAAAATATCTGAAGAAGCTAAAGAGAAAATAAGTGCAATGAAGACTTTGACAGAAAGAGAACAATCACATTATGAACAATTACAAGAACCATTACCAAATGAAGCAGAAGTTAAGCTCAAACAGATGAATAATCTACAAACAGCTATTTTGGTATGCAAAATACAGTTAAATATAATAAAGACCATATTGTTATCTCACCACATGTTAATTAAACCAAACTATTCTTTATTTTATGTTTATTTATTAATGTTGAAAGTACATTACATGAAATTGTGTATTGTAATTTTACAACTACAATAAATATAGTTTAAATGTGTATTCCTAATTTCACACTTTAGATATTGATAGTATAAAAGAATTCCACTTGTGTATTAGAAAAATTAACAATTTATTGAAACTGATTTGAATATTTTGTTTATAATTCATTTCTACACAATTGAGAAAAATACATGTAAATGATTTTCTCTATATTTAATCTGTTCTATTGCAATTAAAGGAAGCGATATCTAAAAAAGAACAGTATTTAAAAGATGCTCAAGTTGAACGTAAACAATTTAAAAATTCTATGCGACAAGTTACGGAATGGATCCATGGAGCTCAGGAACTCTTAGATTCAGGTTATGATGGACTGGATTATGATTCTATAGATCAAACACTCAGTGAATTTACTGTAAGTAGCATACTTATTGTACTACCCAATTTTTACGATTGAGCCTAAAATTGTGAGATTATTTTAGCAAATAAAATGTAAATCGGGCATTGAAATTGTCATAGGCGTAAGAGCCAAAGGGGCAGGGGGGCAACTGCCCCCCAAATTTTAGGGCAATATAACTTTTCCGGCAGACGGGCAAAGTGAAAAAAAAATTATTTCATCTAGTTGGCAAAATAAAGTGCCTGAAATCTAATAAAACACTAATTTTACTCTTCTTTTTATAAAATACCACAAATTTGTACTGAATTGACTATGGATTAAAATATTTTATCTGAAGCCACTCTGGTATGTGCCACATTTTTGGGCATTGATTATTATTATCGATTGGATGGTTGGAATTCAGGTCAACATAGGGTGGGACTTTGGTTACAATACCATTTGACAACATTGGAGTTACTCAACTCACGGACTAAAATAAAGCAGAAAACGCATTTGCGGTGGTTAAATTTCATAATTTTCTCAAGGAGGGCAAGGGCCCCAATTGATTGGTTGTTGGAGATTCGGGTCAGCCAGGTAGGATATATTTGAGCACATTTAAGTTGATGTATTCACAGGCTGAAATAACAGGAAAACGCGTTTGCAGAAGTTAAATATTCACAAATTTCTGCCAGTGGCCCCATCTCTGTAGACTAAACGATTGATTGGTTGATTGGAATTCGAGTCAGTCATCTTAGTTAGGCTATATTAGACCACTTTGAAGTTGCTGTATTCGGGGGCTGGAATAGCAGGAAAACATGTTTACGGCTGTCAAATTTTCCTAAATTTTCTTGAAGGCTCCATACACGGTAAGCTCTGCTTCTCCGATCTCGAAGAAGACCGGCGCTGCCTTCTGTAACACGAAATTTTTTCAGTCATTTCGGGTTCTGCCCCCCTAGCTGTCATTGACCCTGTGCCTATGGAAATTGTTAAATTGTTTCAATGGCATTTAGTAATTGAACTGGAATATTCAGACCATAATTCTATTGAATACAATTGTTGCTTATTACTCAGCGACATTTCGACTAGGCTTCTCTAGTCGAAACATCGCTCAGTAATAAACAGCAATTGTATTCCATAGAATTGTGAATAAATGCAAATTATTATTGTTACTTCCAAAATTAATATGAATAATTTTATTTAAATTCAGGATTATTTTAGTGAAGCTAGTTTATGTCAGGATGAATTAGATCAGATTACAGAACTATCAGAGAAGCTTGAACAATCTCTGGATGTTAATGATAAGGAAACTTTACAACAGTCTATTCACCATGTTAATCAACAATTACCAAATATCATGTCTACCTCACAAACACGTCAAAAACTCTTAGAGCAGAAATCCATTGAATGGCGAGAATTCTTGGTATGATTGGATATTAACTTTATTTTGTATACATGTACGTTCCAGCAGATCAAATTTGGCTTTATGATATGAGACATGAAAAACCTAATTTCTTATTTCATATAATGTGGGTTATCATAAAGTAACTTTTGAAGGCAACAAAACAGAAAACATGTGTGAAATGTTTCTTTTACTTTATAAGTCTCATAACCTGAACTAAATTATTTCAAATTATTAAACTAGAGATGTATACTATTTTTTGTTCAGCTCAACTCCATAATGGATTTTAAGTGATTTTTTTTATGACACAACCACCTTTGTTAACTAGAAATTGAATTGGTTATTGAATGTAAAAAAGGCCTAAGAATTAATGTTTATTCCCTTTTTATTTTAATAGGAAACTATAGATGAAATGAATGAAACCATTGAGATATTGGAAGCTGATTGGACAAGTATAGATCAAGGATCGGTCAGTGATAGGGAATTGTTACAAATTCAGTTACAGGCCCTACAGGTATGTGCAGACTCATCATGTCTAGTCGTTCAGGTGGGGCAAAATATCTGAGGTTCTGTGTACACATACACTAAAAGAATCCTTGACCATTTAAATTCGAAATAAGAGGGGGATCACGTGGCTAAGTGGATAAGACGCTAGCTCGCTAGCCTGGAGGTCGTGTGTTCGATCCCTGCATTGGCCGAGAAAGTTCATCCAGATTTTCCGGCGTGGTTCTCCCTTGTCAGTGATGCAGGACGGAGGGGCTGACAAGGAAAGCTGTCTAGTCGTTCGGATGGGACGAAAAACCGAGGTCCCGTGTACACATTGGCGTGCACGTAAAAGATCACTTGGCAGTTGGAATTTGATATAAGAGTAGGCCGTAGTGCCGCTGTCCGGGCAAAATTTCCCTCATAGCACACTGTATGGCGTATGCCCGTCTTCATTAGCCCAGGTTAGGAGCAGAACAGTAGGACGTTAAACTCCATTTCATTTCATTTCATTTCAAAATAAGAGTAGGTGGGAGCAAAGAAAAGTAGGACATTAAACCCCATTTCATTGAAAATAGACAAAATATGAGCCAAAAATATGTATGACTGTTTTTGTCAAATATGATGAACATTTAACAATTTCCATTGCTAGAAGTGTAATTTTAAAAGATTATGTTTATGTTTTGTAGGAATTCCTTGATAAAATAGAGGAGAAGAGACCAGCTATTGGTGAATTAAATGATAGATCTCGAAGCCTTGAGAGAGTGGCCAATATGAACAGTAGAACTATAATAACTCGTCTGATCACTAATGTTAATAATAGGTGGCACAGTCTTGTCACACAAGCCGAAAATAAACAAACTAATTTAAAAGTAAGTTCCGGTTGTACTTGTTATATTGATGTATATGTTGGCTATATGCATATTTTTCAATTATATATTAGCGGTATGATCTACTAAGCATTTCATGTGTCATACCCAGTCAAAGCTTTTAAAACAAAAGGTATCTCAGGCAGATCCTGTCTCCATGGATAAGATTGTCATTTCCACTTATACTTTAAACTGTGAAATTCTTTCATATATAATTTGATAATATTTTCAGGAAATCTGTGGTCAGTGGGAAGGATTTAGTGGTACTATGACATCAGTAGACGATATATTACATGAAGCAGAAGTTAAACTATCTTCTGTAAATGTTAGCTTGATTAGATATGAAGAGTTGGTTGACCAAGTCAATATATTACAAGTTAGTTATATTCATTTGTTAGAATGTAGTATGTACAATTTCAATGAGTACAGTTCCAGTACAATGAGTCCTTCACATCATTAAAATTACGTTATTTGTCATACAAATAGCCAATGGATTTTCGAAAGAAAGCAGTATAAACAGATATGCATGTGTCTTTTTAACAGGAAGTATGTGAAATGTTGAATGAATTAGAACCGCAGATAAATATTATGAAGAAATCGGCTCAAGATTTACAGAAAACCTTACCCACAGCTGAAGCTAAAGTTTTGTCCCAAGACACCTCAATAGCACTGCTTGAAAGATATGAAAGGTATGGTTAAGCTAAAAAAGAAATAAAAAATGTACAAAGTACAGTAGAATCTGTGTTAAGCAGCCATTCAAGGGAATTTTCAGGACTGACCGCTTAACGGGAGTGACCTCTTAATAAAATGTCAGTGGTTTTTTTTGTGCTGACATCAATTAAATATTATGCTTGGATGCATTGGAAGCAAACATCAATACTTGCATCAGTAAATTTGGCCGCCGCTAAAACTTGCTTGGAACGACAATTCTTTGACTCAAATCTCTGACATAACTTCTGTAAACGTGTCATTTTGTATCAACATCGATACTACTGTTTACCATTGTGATGGATTCGATAATAATTATCCATTTTTGTGAAGAGAATCCATGAATTAATTTTATTTTATCAAAAAAACAAATGAACAAAAAAACATCGCTGCATGTAATATTATAGGAGGAGCTAAAACGTCTGTTTAGCAACAAAGTGGCAATGGAAAAGAGATACTAGATGATAGTGACAAAACTTGGCTGCGTCGGTACTCTTAGTTTATTCCATCAGTATCAAATAATGTTACGTTACGTGTGAAAACAATGATCAGGGTTTGTCGTTTAATAAAACAAAAGATTAATTAACAGAGGGGGCTCCAGTTAATTAACTATTAATCACGGGATTAGCGGGGGTGTTCTGAAGAATGACAAGATGATATCATTCAACAATGGCCGTTGAATGGGCGATGTTTTGTTAAAAAAAAATTGTAAAATTGTGACCGCTGGCCACGTTAGAGGAGTGACCGTTGATTAAGGAGATGAAACAATAGAATTTTTACAAGGGGAATTTATCGTGACCCTTTATAAGGAGATGTCGCTGAACTGGAGTGGCTGCTTATACAGATTCTACTGTAATTGTGAAAAATCACAATGATTAATCATTGAAGTCTCTAATTAAGTGAGAGTGAAACTTAGTGTATAGTTTCATTACATTAATACCTTGACTAAGTTCAATAATGAGCATTTTCTGCTCAGGGTAAGCAGAGTGATAAGCAATTTGATTGGTCGAGACTTTGGAATACAATAACTCTCCTTCTAATTGAAGTAGAATGTTCAAACTTGGTGTAGGTGTACATTAGGCCAATGGCTCGACAGAGTTCGAAGATCAGCATTTTCTGCTTAGGGTAAGCAGAAATAAGCAATTTGATTGGTTGATGCTTTGGTACATGATAACTTTTCATTAAGATAGAATGTTTAAACTTGATGTAGATATTTCCCACTAAAGCCAAGCAGAGCTAAGTTATTTCATTGATCTTTGCTTTGGGACAAGATAACTTTGATTCTAACGGCTGGATACTTTTGAAAAAGAGAAATGTGCAATTAATCAATATGTGTCATCTATTTATTTTGGAATTTCGTGGGGAACATCATCCTCACTGTTGGCTTGTTTTCTTATGTTTTTGTAGGCTACAAAGACAAGCTAAAGAACAACTACAAACAATAAAAGATGAATTAGATGATAGAGAATCATTTAAATCTGATATAACTAAGTTAATAGAAGGACTTCACAACACAAAGGCCAATGTCGTGAAGATTTCTCCAGATACAGAAACTGCAGAAATATTAACACAAATTAAGGTGAGACACTATTTTAAAGAGCACATCAAATGGTCAAACAAAATTATATGTACGTATAGCCACTGGTTACTATATATACACATTACGGCAAGTTCACACTAATATGATTATATTACCGTGTAATTATCAGCCACTCGAAAACACCTTTTATACGCCCACATTGAAATGAAGAAGCCTATTGAATTTCAGCAATTTCCATTTATTATGTCTAGAGTTATGGCCCTTGTTTCACTTTATTGAACCTTGTGAACACTCTAACATTAAAAGTTATCATTCGATCTTTCTGAAATTTATATGCATTTTTAAAAATAGCAAAACCACGAAGCTTATTGAATTTCAACAATTTACAATGATTACTTCTAGAGTTATGGCCCTTGTTTCACTTTGTTATCATCCAATATGTATGAAATTTATATGCATCATTAAAATTTGTGAAACAGAGGTCTATTGATCATTTCAGCAATTTCCGTCAATTATTTCTAGAGTTATGGCCCTTGTTTTACTTTGTGAGCCCTGTGAATGACAAAAGTGATCATCCGATCTGTATGAAATTTATGTGTATTATTTAAATTAGTAAAACGAAAAAGCCTGTCAAATTTCAACAATTTCTGTAAACTACTTCTAAAGTTGAGGCCCTTGTTTCAGTTTGTAAAACCTTGTGAACCCTCAAACGACAAAAATTACAATCCGATCTGTATGGAATTGTCTTGTAAAGGCCCCCAATTACCTACAAAGGAATAAATATGCGACAACCCTTGTCAACTGCTCGGACGATTTAGCTGCTGTGGGCGTATGTTTCGTTGCCTAGCAACCTGTCTATAGTTCCCACACCACCAGTTGACTAGTGTTTATTGACTGTCCAATTAACATACTGACTGACCTCATAATTATTTACATGTAAGCTACAAATCACTATACCTTGTCTACGATATCACCTTAGGTAAAACTTTAGGAACGAACGAACGAATCACTATATAAGTCTGCGATATCACTTCGGTGGAAGAGGACATTAAATAACGCGATTTCACATACATAAGAGCTGACATTTCATGTCTTGAATTGTTGTAGATTACACACTTGCAACTGGATTATTTTAGAGTGAATATTAAAATTCTGCATTATCGTTGTGTTGTTGAGCATTGTGAATTGCGTTTGTAAATAATTCAAATCCTGATTGGCAACCTACAGTCACAACAAAAATATGCAGTGAACATTCTGCGAATGATGTTATGGTCTGTGTGGCCTAAATTTATTGAAGTTTACTGAATACGCAGAATAGATAGTCAACTGTTATTCTATGGTGGATCGGCGCTTATGGACAGAAAGTTTATTGTGAGTGAGTGCTGTTTGATGAAACTTTTTATTTGCCGAAACTGCAGTTCTGTATGTAAAACAAAGGTTGTTTGTGTGATAGAGACTATGGTACTTATCGAATGTGCCTGCGAATTATGTATGGAGAAGGCTGCACCTGGTAGGCTCGATTCCTGCAGGAAACCTGGCATTATCCTTGGCGATTTTTATTTTTGGGTTTTCTTCCGTCAAAAGTAATAAAGGCATTCTTGATCATTCATGAACATACCCATACAAACGTGATAACCTACATGAATAACCAACGAACTATATTACACCCAGCTATCAATTTAGAATTTAGAATGGAAAGAATTCCAAGCCAATTTCATCGCCAGTGTCAGATTAAATGAGAACGATATAAATATGGGATAAGATGGTAGCGAAGTTACATCTGGCTCCTATACCATGTTGGACGTAGAGAAATCTGTTTTATTTGCTCCAGGAATATGATATACAGTTGGCTACTTTGATAACGGATCGCCATTTTCATTATTAAATCCTTGATCCTCTACATCAACATCCTCTACAGAACTACAGTCAGATAAATACGCTCTAACATATAGCAATCATAACTACTGCTATAGGATAACTCTGTTCTTCCCCCACTCTCTTATTGTATGCCAAAATGACAAATAATACAAATTTCAATGATCTACATTTATATGATTATTATTTGAAACCATTTCGTTTCGTAAAAGTTGACATTAATTATTTCTATTGGCTTCATAGATCTATGTTCATAACACCGCCCATTATTGTAGGTTTACGGTTTGTGTACTCCAGTTTATTTTGAACAAAAGAGAGAGAGAGAGAGAGAAATGGGGTTTAACATCCCCTCGACACAAACTAGATCATTCCGGGACTAACACATGGTTCAATTTTATTTCAATAATTCGCTTGCATGTAGAGGTCTTTAGCACTGGGAGGGACCCAGAGACAACCCACGAGGTCTGAACAAAAGGACACAGGGAATATGGCTACAGCGACTGTCTTCATTATGGCATTATAAAACAAATTCTAAAAATTCTAAATAGGATCAAAAATTCTAATAAATTACAAAAATTATTCTGTAGTCAATCGTTTTATTTAATTAGCGGATTAAAGAATCAGTCACGTTAATGAATACACATCCCGGCTTTATGTAGGTCATTAAAGAATAAACATTCTTGATATATATTCGGCCACTGTGTTTTTGATAATTGGCAAAGTCGTTTTTATACGTCCACATAGAAATGTGGATGTATATTGCCGTCCGTCCGTAGTCCACAATGTCTTGTGAACGCTTTAACGCCGAAAGTTGTCATCCAATTGTTTTAAAATTGATATATATGTTGTTTACATTAGCGAGATGAAGAAGCCTATTTAATTTCAATAATTTCCATTTATTACGTCTAGAGTTATGGCCCTTGTTTCACTTTCTTGAACCTTGTGAACACTCTAATGCCAAAAGTTAACATTCGATCTTTGTGAAATTTATATGCAATTGGCAAAGTCGTTTTTATACGCCCACATAGAAATGTGGATGTATATTGCCGTCTGTCCGTCGTCCACGATGTCTTGTGAACGCTCTAACGCCGAAAGTTGTCATCCAATTGTTTTAAAATTGATATAAATGTTGTTTACATTATTGAGATGAAGAAGCCTATTTAATTTCAATAATTTCCATTTATTACGACTAGAGTTTCTTTCCCTTGTTTCACTTTCTTGAACCTTGTGAACACTCTAATGCCAAAAGTTAACATTCGATCTTTGTGAAATTTATATGCAATATTTAAATATGGGAAACGAAGAATCCTGTTGAAATTCAGCAATTTCCGTTTATTACTTCTAGAGTTATGGCCCTTGTTTCCCTTTGTTTAACCTTATGAACACTCTAACATCAAAAGTTATCAGCTGATCTATATGAAATTGATATGCATCATTTAAATTAGTAAAAAGAAGAATCCTATTGAATTTCAGCAATTTCCATTTATTACTTCTTAGAGTTATTATGACCCTTGTTTCACTTGTTAAATCTTGTGAATGGTCTAATGCCAAAAATTATCATCCGATTTTTGTGAAATATATTTATATGCATTATTTGAATTAGTAAAACGAAGAAGCCTATCTAATCTCAGCAATTTCCATTAATTACCTCTAGAGTTATGGCCCTTGTTTTACTTTGTTCAACCTTATGAACAATCTAATGCCAAAAGTTATAAGCTGATCTGTATGAAATTTATATGCATTGTTTAGATTAGTGATACCACGAAGCCTATTCAGCAATTTAAAATAATTACTTCTCGAGTTATGGCCCTTGTTTCACTTTGTTTAACCTTGTTAATGCTCGATTGATGAAAGTTATCATCAGGTAGATAGAGATGGGCGATTTTACCAGTTATCCCTTTTAGCAGTTATCATCAGATATGTATGAAATTTATATTCATCATTTAAATTTGTGAAACGGAGGTCTATTGAATTTCAGCAATTACCGTCAGTTATGGCCTTTGTTTGACTTAGTGAACCTTGTGAACGTTCGAATGACAAAAGTTATCATCCAATTTGTATGAAATTTACATCAAATTTCAAAATTTTCTGTAAATTACTTTCAGAGTTAAGGCCCTTGTTTCAGTTTCTAGAACCTTGTGAACCCTCAAACGACAAAAATTATAATCTGATCTATTTGAAATTGTATTGTAAATGCCGCCAATTACTTACAAAAGAATAAATATTCAACAAACCTTGTCGACCACGTGAACGATTTATCTGCTGTGGGCATATGTTTGAGCAAAGATGCCGATGAATTAATTTTAATCGGATCGAGAAAAATGGTATTTAAGGTCCACTCGATACAAACTTTGTCATTTTGGGACTAACACATGGTTCAGTTTTATTTCAATAATTCACTTATGCGTAGGGGTCTTTAGCAGTGGGAGGAAACGGGAGAACCGAAGAAAATCCACAGGGCTGCACAGGCGACCCTACTCCTTGTCACATACAACTGGGGAATCAAAACCACGCCAGTTGGAATTTTAATCACATTGGTGTGAACTTGCTGTAAAGTGCATATAGTAACCACTGGCTATAAGTACCTCAAATTTTGTTTCGTCAGATTAAAAATTTACTTAATCATCCATATTTTTGATACATAATCAACATTAATTGATACATAATCAACATTAATTGATACATAATCAACAATAATTGATTACAATTTTCATATATCTGCTGTATTAAGAAATTTGGAAATGCATACTAGTAAACATAAATCTGTTTATTTTTGGAAAATTTAAATAACTAACTAAATCTAAATTCAAGGTTTATGAACGTGACATATCATCAACAATGGAACAAGCAAGAACATTAGAAAAGATACAGGAAGGTAAATACAGTGTTCAAGGGAGAGAACTGCCAGAAGATATGTTAGCACAACTCTGTACTATGAGAGAAGTGGAAGCCGTCGTTACTCAATGGCTTAAACAAACAGCTGAAAGTCTTCTGCATCTTAAAGAGGACAGAGAAATTTTCTTGGATAATTTGAATCATGTGGCAACCTGGCTGAACACCTCTGAAACACACCTTCAAGAACCAATTGTAAATATAAAAGAAAGTATGGCAGTTCACAATGTAAGTACGATACTCTTTGCCTGACTTAATTGAAGGCATATTCCAAATGTTATTACATGTGTCGTGTTTTTTATTTAATTTCTTAATTTTCTTCTTGTAGTGGATTAAGGTTTTCCCATGATGGTAGATGAGTCTTTTGGGAATAAAAACTGGCTGTGAAACTGTGTGTGCAATATCAATTAAATTGTTTCATTGGCATTTGTGGCAAGATAACATTTAATTAATAAAAAAGAACAATTTAATAGGTAGTCTTGACATATGTTCTGAAGATAATACTATTCAATTTGTTTGGTCTGTTATTGCTAACTAGCACTTAATGAAGTAAGAATTCAAATAAGTGGCACAAAAACATTTAATTTATAAAAAAAAAAGAAAGAACAAGTTATTAATATTGATTCAAAAATGATATCATCTGAATCGTTTATCTGGCCTATTGTTACATTTAATTGATAAAAAAGAACAAATTAATATTATTGAATATCTTAGGATTTCCAAAAATGATCGGCTACTATTTGAATCATTTGTCTGGTCTGTTGTTAATTGTAAACCATTGTCCAATAAAAGTCACATGTATAAATATACATGAATGGGACAAAAATAGATCATGCATATGAATAAGGTGCATGGATTCTGCATAGCAAGGCAAGATGTTTTGGATTTTTGTTGAGATTGACCACTACTGATACAAATGTTTGTACAAATATAACTAGGTACATGGATCAGATTAATTTTTGGAGACTTTAATAAAATATTCATTTCCTTTTAAGAAGTGTCGCACGTTTACATACACCAGATAAAAATTTATTACAATCAAGATTTGGTGAGATGAATAAGCTTATTTCGATTCATGATAAAATGCAATGCAATTTATTTTTAATGGTCTTGAATAAGTAATGGCACTTGAATAAATTATGATGTCTGACAGAACTGTTAAATCAGTAATTACTTATATTATATCACTATTGTACAAAGATTCTATGTAATGGTCACTACATGTGGTTGCTATGGTAACTGGGTGTGTTCTATTTGTCTCTCCATTGATTCATATTGACCAATAAGAAATCCTATCTCTTACTCAATCAACAAACTAAACAGAATACTGCCTGAGTATGTCGAGTATGTTCTGTAATGGCTATATCCTACGCATAACACTTCATACTTTGTTTGCATTCAGTAGATTAACCATGGTAAAAGAATCTCACAATGACTTTAGTTTAACATAGAAATGAATGTGGCAGTCACTGAGTCAGTCTTACATGGTGGTGTAAAGCAGTATATTTATATTAACTATAGCGACTTAAAAATAGTGATTCTTCAATAAATTGCAATTGCATTTAGGTTTTCTTCTGCAATTCACATACGCTGCATGTTGCTGTATCATTGATGTATAGAGTGGGGGTGCAGAAGGAACATCCATTTCAGCAGGACATCCATTCAGAGCGTGAAATAAAATAAAAAAATTAATTTGAACTAATCGCTGTTAATTTTCTTGCACAAGCTGCATTTAGTTTGAATAAAAAGTTTGATCTGATTTTTTATATGACCACTTGGAGAGAGAGACTTCCAATCAATAGAAACAGGTAGCATAAACTACTTACAGACGATTTGATGGGATCAATTTTGACTAAGTCAAAATGATGCATTTGATATTCAGATATAAGTTGATATACAATAATTTTAATAGGATACAATATCAAAAACCATCATTTTATCTAACGTATCGTCAGTAAAAATACTAACTTTGATATTGTATTCTATTAATTATTGTATGTCACATGGAAATGTGGTCATATATTGTAGTCGACCACTGTCCATCCATCGATCCATCTGTACCTGATATATTTATATATCCTATGGTTTTGAAATTTATGTATGTTGTTTACTAATAAGAGAAGAAGACACTTATTTTATTTCATTAATTTTTGTTCATTGGTTCTTGAGTTATGGCTTTTGTTTCACATTTAAGATCCTTGTGAATGCTCTAAATACAAAGGTTATCAGCATATCGAATTTCAAGAATTACTTATAGAGTTATGACTCTTGTTTCACTTTGTAGAACCTTGTGAAAAGACAAACAACAAAAGTTATCATCTAAACTGTATTAAATTGATATCAGTGTCTTATAAATACACCCTTCACCTACAAGAGAATAATGCGAAAACCTTTGCAGATGATTTAGCTGCTGTGAGAGTATGTTTCGTTGCCTGGTTGATTGAGCGGAAGATTTAGCTGCTATGGACATATGTATTATTGCCTGGCAACCTACCTATCTCACATTTCTCAGTACTGGGCCCAATACTTGAGTATTAGAGGAATACGATCACCTAACTCTTGCATATGACTGTGCTGTATAATTCTAGATATTATAAAATGTATTAGTATTAGAACCACTGTGATAGGCCTACATAAATGTTATTACCAACACAATTATCAGTTTTGACAATAAGAAAAGAAAAAAGTTATTTGTGAAGTGTTATGTAATTATAAATTTATTGGTTCTATAAATTAGTTATAGTGTTTACTTATAGATAACAATATTTACTTAACACAAACTTCAAAAGTGTAAGTTTATAAGATTACATGAAAAAAAATTCCTTCTTGAATTTGTATGATTGAAATTTTGATTTTTAAATTTGGTATCTTGTTATTGGAGGTAGCCTAGATATAGAGATCTTTTACTGGTTGTTCACTACAGAACAATTTATAATAGTCTGGTCTGTTTATTGAAAATCCATTAAATAAACTACCCTGGTATTGTAAACATTTCATGTTAATATATTATTGAGTATGATAAGATTTATATGGATTAACCTCTTGAACTAAAAACTACCATTAAAAACTGAGTTCAACATTCTTGAAACAGGATCTGTTTATTTGAAGTAGTTCCTTTATTTACTTGTAGGCCTATGTCTTCATGTAGCTACGTCATGCAAGATATAACCTTATCTATGCTTATTAGATATAGACCTGTTGACTCTGTAAGCTTTTAATATAAGTGTGATCCCTAATCTGCATGAGGGATAAAAGAAAATTCAATCACTTGTCAATTATTTAAGATTGTAATACAATGATCTATTTGATATTAGATAAAATTACCATGCCTCAACAATATATATTGTCAGTTTATTTTACTATAAAATCAACAACAATGCAAATTTTTAATATTCTTATTTGAGAAATTCTGTATAACAAATTGTGAACTGTAAATTAACAGTTAGATTTTTCCTGGAGATGATTGCCAATCAATCATTAAGTTTCAGCAATTAAAATAATCAGAAACACAATGATCCTCACAATCATAATTATTGACAATCTTCATATATGAATGTTAAAAATGTATATGGATATATAGCTTCATATAGGCCTACCATGGTAATATTAAATATAATGTTTGATAATTGGGTTTCATTTTGGATTTACACTATGAAGGTCATTATTATAGCATTTTGGCAAATTGCCAATGGCGGGAATTTGTTCCATGATCATGTAGGAAATGTTTTGTAACACCATTTAATAACAAGAAATTAACACCTTAGGTTCAAGAAAAAATTGGCTTAAAAAAAAAACCCCACACTAACTTTGAAGTTTATTACCCTACTAGCAAATAATAGAGAGATAAGGTCACACACAGTTTTTGTTTGGCTTAAGGTTCTTGTTTGGGCCTGTAATTTTCTTGATTTTTGACAAAACCCACTAATAAACAAGAAAGATAAGTATAAAGGTATTCTATTTGTATGTATGTCATGTATTTTATGAGTTCAGTATTAAAAGGTCTGTTTTGCTCATTATTAGGGATTTAATTCATATACTAGCTAATAATGAGACCTTTATTATTTACTTCACGGTAGAGGTACGTAGTTGTGTATTAATACTATTACCTGATGTGTATGCAAACTTTATTTATGACAATTGAAATATTGTCAAGACTTGACATATGTTTTGTGTAAGTTTATTATTATATCATTGCAAGACAGAACAAAGCTGTTCAGAGAAGCTTGCATTGTCATTCAAAATTTGTGAACTTTTTTATCATTTTATTTCCACAGAATGAATTTTTTATTTAATTTCCACAGAACTTATTGTCTGATTTAGACAATTTCAAAGAAGAATTGGACAAACTTCGCAGCAAAGGAGGCGATATTGTTCGACATTCATGGGATCCAAACGAAAAACAAACTGTACAGAGAAACCTTGCTAATGTTAATCGGCAGTGGAATTCTGTCCAAGCTAAAGTCGCTGAAAAGACAAGAAAACTCAATGAAGCATCTGAACTCCATACTACCTTCCAAGAAGCTACTGTTACTATAAAGCAGTGGGCAGATAAAACTGCTGTGCAAGTAGGATCAGACATTGATTGGTCAGACTTTGCTAATGTAAGAGATGATTTAAAGACAACAAAGGTATGTTGAATTAATATTATAAAATGTGAAGACAAATCAGACAAAATAATGTAATTCGAGTTGAATGAGTCTGCAGTGTAACTTATAATTTCAGTTATTAGAGAGGTTTTGCAACTTTGCATTTACACTTACATTTACATTTAGACAGTTAAATGTCATCAGCACACGTCATAAAAGTGTTTCCGAAAGATAGCAACCTCCATAACTGTTAGATCACAACATTTAGCTAAACTTTGTTAGATTTATATAATTCAGTCCATAATTTTTCTCTAAATCATGGTTTTCACAAACTAAAACTGTCTCCTTCATGTAGACAAAATAAAAAGAGGCTGAGACAAAAGTTATCTCATCTTTAACAATCTATCTGTGATGAAGGCCTATCGAGATCGTTGACCAAGTTTGTGCGCCACTTACTAAGTGTAACTGTAAGAGTGAATATAGCGAAATGTCATAATGTACAGTTTCCACTCACACTTATCCAAATCTAAATGTAAATCTAACTGTTAAGTTGCGAAACCTCTCTATTATTGTTTACCCAATGTAGTTTATTTTACATAAGATCATGATGCTAAATGATTTATCTGTCATACTGTAATAGAAAATTTAAGATTCAATCATCATGGAATATCATAAAATCAAGACCAATATCACTCCTTTCACCACACTTGATTAATTTAAGTTCAAAGTGAAACTTTGATGTATTTGTACTATATTGTTTATTAACAACCAATAAGACTGGTATAAATGTAAAAGCAAAATATGAACATGTCTTAATATAAGTGTTATTCTTTACTTTGAAGCATGTTTCCTTTGCTTTTTACCAGATAACAATAATGTTATTATTATTATTCTATTGTCAAAACATTCCAACATATTATTATTGTATTTTATTGCTAAAATATATTTACCATCATTCACTTAATCAACCTGCTGAATATTCATTTCTATTGGCCGTTCAAAGAAAGCATAATGAGCAGGTTCAATATTTGCACTTTGGGTCTAAGAAATCAATATATTAGTTAATAGTAATATTTGGCTAGTGATTTATTAAGGGTTCATATTAATATCGATAGAAGATAGGATAATATACTGGACATGTCTTATCTCTTACTTTCTACTCACCATGTATTATTAATATACTCCAGTTAATAAAGTGAATATTTACAAGACGATTGATGGTATGTCTTGGTTAAAACTTTCAGCATGACACAGAGTGTTTAATTAAAATGCTCTGTAACTCTGTTCACCATCAAAGTATCATTTAATTAATTGTATCTTTCTAGAGGGTTTCTAACGATATTGCACAGAGCAGAGAAAAGTTGAAAAGCCTCAAACCAGTTGTAAAACAATTGAATCAAGTTGTTGACATCGAAGAAGTGAACACAACAATGTCAACTTTAACACAACAAATAGAAGATCTGCATGCCCATACAAACACAAAACTTAATACACTACAAGACGTGAACACAGAGATAGATGCATATGAAAGAGAAATGGAGGATGTTACAGTGTGGTTGGAACATGCTCGAACAGTATTATCCAGCCGTGACCTATCACATGATATGAAAGAAGAATTACATTTAAGCGAGGTATTTATTAGTGTATCATTTGTGAACATAGAAAAATTGCTCTACAAATGAACAGAATTCACCATTGTTTGTTTCTGGGACTAGTGTTATTGATTTCTTTGACTAATGACCAAAATCAGTCTTGTTCAAAGTTTTGTTTCATTTTGACAATCATTATACTGACCTGTTTGAGATTACCTAATATACTTTTAATAAATGCTTTTATTCTTTTGCTTACAGAAATTGTTAGCTGATGCTACAACTAACAAAGAAAAGGCGAAAAATATTGTACAGAAATATAAAGAAGTACATGTAGATGTTTTTCCAGCCCATGGATCTAAAATTATAACAGAAATTTCTCAGTTGGAAGCAGAAGTCAGTGATCGTGTTGAGCAGCTAACCACAGCAGTTGATGAACAGGAACAATATCAAACAGAGTTATCAACCCTAAACAATGCTGTACAAGAAGCACAACAAAAACTATTGGCCTCTCCAGTCATGGCCTCAAGTGTGGAGGCACTTAAACAACAGATAGCTGAGCGAGATGTATGTACTTTATATGTTTACTATGTACTTATGTAGCCCATGTGCTGTAATGGACTTGAATTGTTGAATAATATTTGATATAAGTTTCTTTAAAAACTCAGAACCTAAGCAACGAATAAAGATTTCTATTTGTTATAGAATTGGCATCTTGCATGACAGACACTATATACAGGATTGTACAACCCAATAGATAGCCAATAGTCTAATAATAAAAGAGGCTTGCAATTAATAGCATATTGCCTTGGAGTTCATCTCATTTGATTTTCTGATATGGAAATGGTATCATTATTTATATTTAATATGCCTTTAGAAATAATCCAATAGATTAGCTTAATTTCTAGTACCTAATAAGTGCTTGATATTTTATTTTAATTTTGGTAACAGGAATTTAAAAGATGGTGAATGTTTATAAAATGCATGTTGATATAATGTATGTGTGCATGTTAGTTAACACACCTGCTTGCTTTCAGAACTTGGCTGTTCAAATCAAGAACTATCAGGATAGAATTAACAGCTTAAATGAGAAAAGTCGACAACTTGCGGAAAGAAGTCGACATCACTACCCTATGTTTATGCGACGGCGTTTCTTCCCAGATTGTAGTGGTCATAGTAGTCTAATTTCGAGTTATAATTCCAGAGATTTTAGTAGTCTGCCTATTATAGGTCATAGTCATTTTGATAGTGGTATAGACAGCACAGGGCTTACATCATCACGGTATTCAGATGTTTCAGTTCAACCAGACTTGTCATGGTCAAATATGTCTGACAAATCTACAAATACTATGAAAAGTGCCAAAATTTCAAATAGTGAAAGTGCTTTATTTTTGCAACATGATACCAGTATAACTCATGGAAGTGTGCAAAGTTTACCTGCAACAAATTTGAGGAATGTAAAACTTGATAATGTCACTCAGAAAATAGTCCCGCCTTTAGAACTAGGCAGTGAATCGGATATTGAAGCTTCACAGCAAGATTTTTTATCTGAAAGAATTCCCAAACAATCCAAATTATACAGAACCTCTTCAGGTGGAAATATATTTTCAAAATCATCCGGAAGAAGCAAGGTAACATTTGGAACTGAAACTGGAAATACTCCATCTAAATCTTATGATCCATCTTTTACAAAAACATTAACATCCTCAAAACTTGTTTCTGTAGGAGACCATTTGAATTCTCAAAGTTTAGCACCGTTACAGAACAAATCTTTTATTAATAGCTCTATTTCCTCTCCTAATATTTGTTCTACTCCGGTTTTGGGTGTAAATGAAAGAGATACAGCTTCTAATCGTGTTATTGGTATGCGACGTAAAATGTGGAATTCTACAGGAAGGGTGGGTAGAGTATACTAATCATCATGTGTGATGGTGAAAGGATGTATGCTTATAATCTTCTGCTAGTGTCCTAATCCTACTTATATGTCAGTTCTTTTTACACATTCCAACAATTATAGCAAGATAATATCAATCACAACATCATATTCAAATTTTCTGCTCTGATTATGATACTTCAAAGAGCACACATTGTGACTACTATGTAGATTATGTAACAATTCTATATAGAAACAACATAACATTGATATTTAGTTCAGTTTAAACAAGGTTGTTTTTGTTTCATTGTGTCCATATTATACTGTAAGAATTTTATGCCATATTTTCCTTGATTTTTAAATAACTGCAGGAATAAACCAGAATGATCTTATTCCGAAAAATGGTACTAATTTCTTTAAGACTGTTGATTGTTGTATATGTCTCTACTTTTACTGCCTTATTCAACTTCATACATATCATCAATTCAGTTTGATTCTTCAAGCGATATTTTTTCAATTGTCAAACTTATAGAAGAAAATACTTTTAACAAATTCTTATATCTGCAACTCTTTGCTTAAATTAGTACAACACTTAATTAGTAATAAGTTAATTAACACACTACAGTGTAGCGGTAAATATATTTGTAGATCAATATTAAAGACCTTTTGCATCGGTGCAAAAAGGAACACGAAAATGATAACTAATCATGTCTAAAGTTTTGTCTTATTTTACTTTATAGTGCAGCTTTTTTATTAAATATACCAGTTACCGTATATTTAAATCATCAGAAATTTTATTAATCAGACAGTATTAATACAGTAGAAGTTAAGACAAACATGGTAAATCATAGCAAAAAGAAATTATTTTAACTAATCGTGATATACCTCATTGTTTCTAGCTATTTTGCATAAATCGATTATTTAAAATATTTACATTCAAATCAAAATGCAACTTTTTGGGTGACGCAAAATATTCAATTGGGGTTTTTTTTTTAAGAAGATCCAAAATGAAGTAGGATTTCACATTTTATCACATTCTGTACACAACCAACAATATACATACAGCAGTATAGACACATATGTGAATCCAGCACTTTATGCTTAGAATTCTGTACTTTTCGAAAATGGGTGTATAGGATGGCGTCACAAGTAGGATGACATGTTCATTCTCTTACCAATGCAAAAGGTCTCAATAAGATTATATTTATTATAAATATATATTACACTTAATCTCCATGCTCAGTTTTCAATCTTTGCTTTATTGCTTGTTGTATATATTGGATGTATAGTAGTATGTTGCTATTTTTTTTTTATCATAAAGCTAAAAAAATAAAAAATGAATATCATAACTTATGGTTTGAATTTTGCATTTCCCCACATGTATTCTTATTTTAATTGTTTAGCTTCGTCAGAATGCACAAAATATTATTGATGGCATGTGGGTCTATATCAGTATTAACAAATGTTTACTTTTAATAAGATACCACAAGGTCCCGAATTACCAGTTCCTGACAGTGCTGATCAGAAGAGTTTGTCTGTGAGTGATTTGGCACCAGGTATAGATGCTGGAGATAACCAATTACAAGAATTAAATAATTCATGGAACAGTCTTCAACAACAGGTACAATGCTACATATTTATGTATCTGTATATCTGATTGTGAATGTGCATACTAGTAGAAGCTATAAACTCCTAAAAACCTTGTTAGGCCCATGAGACAAACATATAAAAGATAAACTTAAAATTCAAATAAAGGGTTATCTCTTTTACAGTAAGTTTTTGAATTAAATGTCAATACACTCAATTCCTGAGATGTTGTATATTTACTTTTGTGCAAATTATAGACAAATCAACTTAGTAAATCATTAGTTCCATTTCATGATAAAAAAAATGTTTTGAACATAATTTTTTATTTTGTTTTTTTTTCAAAAAAACAAGTATAAAAAGATTTGTTTATATGGCCTTGAGCTAAATTCAATTTTTTTTTCAAACTTTTTTTCCTTACACCCTGTTTAAACCAAAGGACCGATTGAGGTTTTCTTGTATTTTTACAAAATGGTCCAGTCACTAAGATCACTAGAAGGATTGATAATAGTGGAAAAAGTAGGAATTGGAATGCATATTCATTGTCTCTATATATGTAACTACTAACCATCAAATTAGCTACACCATGATTACTTATTAAGACAATGGAAATAACGTTTGGGGTTAATAGTGTTTTGTTAAAATGATCTTTATACTTGGCCGTAATAAATTTATGCTGGATTGTGCAATGTTGGTATACTGCATCAGAATTGGATAATGCAACAATACTGCATTTGACTTGGAATATACTTGAATTAACATTTGGTAGTGCAATCCTACTTCATTCATGCCTGTGTAAAAGGTCCATGTTAGGCTGCTCAACCGGGATGACAAACTGACTGAATCCGATTTTAAACTGACAGAGTAGTAATTTACAGTGATTTTTTTCTGGTCAGTTTCTATTGACTTACATCTGGTATTGAATGTCAAGGGTATTATTTTGTTATTTGACAAGCACTTTCTTCCAGGAATGCTTTTAATGTCCATTTGTTACAAGAAATATAACAAATTTAATTGAAAACTCTTATTGATAAGTAGAGTACAGGTATAGTAAGAGTTAGAGAGTACATATTTTATAGGTGGCATTATATTGATTAATAGAAAATGGTTAATATAAAAGCATTATGTTTGAATAAGTTCATTGTTAGACGTTTGGTTTTGATGTTTATGATGTACGTAAAGTTGGTCATTGGACTAATGTATGGTCTTTAATCTGGGGATTATAAACTCAATAAATAGACAAAAATAATTCATTTCTACAATAGGTCCTCATTTCCATTTGAATTATAAACACCTTATTTATTGTGAGAACAATATAGAAGGACTTCCAGTCTGAAGATATCTTATAACATGATGTGTGTATAGTAGCAACATGGCTGCATAGTAATCATATTAAATATCTAGTAGAAAATGGATTTAATACTGTATCATGATTATTCCTTTTAGGATATCTATATATTAATAAGATCTTCCCAGGATTTAAATTTTTTGTATCTGTGATCTAAGAATAGAATTAAGGTACAATAAGGTATGATATTGAGTTCTATTGGGATTTCAATACGTCAGTCAAAACATGTTCTGTACAATTTAGGGCAACGATATACCACAAGATTTTAAACCAAGGTTGTTTAAGAGGAAGTAGTAATTTCACCAATAAATTGACCATCCTTAATTTAATATATAATATTCAATTTAATCCAATTATTAAAAACTACTAAATGTATTCTGTGACTCATAGACTATTTCTTATGAACTAATGTAGAAAAGACTGCATTGCTTTTTTGACTTTCTCATTGATGTTAGATAATCATATGGTATCAATATTATCACATTGCATTGTGGCACATTTTCTTTTATCACTGAATATTGCCATGTGATTTAAAAAGAAATAAAGTATCACTTTGTCAAATACTAAATGTTAGCTTCAAAGGAGCATTCAAAGAAAAAGAACATTCATTCACTGGGCGAATTCAGTCATGGCTTTTGGTTCATAAAGAAGTCTGCCATCTGATAAAGCCCATAGCTGTCTGGATGGATGGTAAAATTGTAAAATGTTGTAAAAAAAACTCTTAATTATCAAGATATTTGGAACAAGTTTTTATTTTAAATCATCCTACAATTAACAATCAGTGAAGACTATAAAGAAATAGGTTTTACGTGTTCATGCTTAAGAGTACCAGTTATAACTAGCAGCTGAATTCTGTTATTTTTTAAATTAACGTTTATCATTAAATTCAGTGTCCATAAAATGGTAATTTTGACAACATATGAATGTCTATTTATAATTTTAAAAATTCAGCTTATGGCCCCTAATGACTTTTTGTTTCTTGACATAATGAGGCTTATGATTGTTAATATTATAACTGTAGGCTAATGCTAAAGAGAAAGAATTACTGATAGCACTAGAACAACAAGAAAATTATCAGAAGTCTGTTCAAGACGTCACCAGTAAAATGGAGAAAATACAGTCTTACTTATATCAACATCAAGTGAATTATTTTGAGAATTTAGATGATCAAATGAAAGAACATAAGGTAAGCAGAACGTAAAAAGATAACATATCACAATCCTAGTGAAATTATGTAATTATTGCACACTTCATACCAAAACCAAGGCATTCCCATCAACATTTGTGTCTTCAAAAGCAAGCATACCCTGCTTGATTAGAAAAGTTTGCATACCGTCCCTTCTGTATGTCACCTGTTAAAACCTGAAGGTAAAATAGAGGTTATGTTGAATGTTATATTTTTAGCTGATGTTAGCTGATATTGAAGGTATACGTAGTGATATTAGTAAAGTTAGAGATTATGGTGTTTTTGTGGAAGCAGCTGATCCAGAGGGATATAAAACTGTGAAATCAACCTTGAATATGTTAACGGATAAAATAGATAATTTACATGATATGGCCAAAGATAAAGATATAGCATTACAGGTTAGAAACTTAATCATTTTCTTATCTGTGTTTGAACATATATATATATATGCAAGAAATCTTGTTAACGATATTAATGTTGTACAAGCAAGGTTATTCTTCTTTGTTAAGCTTATACTTCAATCCCTGAATAATTGCTAGAAATGTTGTTGAGTGTCTTATTATTGTTCAAGCAAGGCTGTTTTCTTTGTTAAGCATACTTCAAACTGAATAAATGCTAGAACGGTTAAGTTGCATATTTTTTTGCAATTTTACAGTATATTAAACATACATTATGCAAGAGCTAAATCTGTTTATAGGAGGTCTTTCTTTAGGCCTGAAATGTTATCTAAATTATTAATTAGACATTAATTAACCTATCCAGACCATAATCTACTCTAGATGGCATCACTAGCCTGCAACCTTTAGTGGATTATGAGCCGATTTACTGCATAACTTTCCTTCACGATTTAACGATTAAATGGATAATCGAGACTATGCTGTTTATCGTACTGACTTTAGTAATGATGATCGAGGCTAGGCGGAAATTTCAATCGCTTAGTTCTCGGTTCATAGTGGATCAATTTGAATGAAATTTTCAGCAAATTGCCTTTACATTATCTAGTTATTAACTATTATGGTGGGAACTGCCAACTCGTTATCACATCTCCCATAATGTATCTTTAATATAAAATATATATTTATTAATATATATTAATTCTATGTGCTTTTAATTTATCCACAAAAAGGTCCTTTTAAAAGTGAACAAGATTATAATTGTATCATTTTCTCTAACAGACCGCTATTGGTGATCAAGCTCAACATCAAGAAGAATTAGAGAGTTATGTAAAAAAAATATCGGAATTAGATAATTGGTTAACGGAAATGAGAGTAGAACACTCAGAGAGTGGATTAGAAACTGATAGTTTGCAAGATTTACAAACACAGCTTGATAATAATAAGGTTTGATTTAGTTTGGTTTCATTTTCATTCCTTAATTAATGTCTGTAATGCCTGATCTGTTTAGATTGTTTGAACCATAAAAAAATATTTATTTGTTTGAAGGAACAACTTAAAAGACTGGTGTGTATAGTGCACAATTAGGTCAAGAGTAGAATCTAAAACTAAAATAAATAAGTATAAATTGTTCATCATTTCCATGCTACATAATTATCTTCTTACATTTTGAATTTTTAATTCTGGATTCTTGTAGGTTTTACAAAACGACATTAACAGTAAACTACATCTGATATCAGATTTGGCTGTTCAGTGTGATGGTTTATGTCAAATGGAGCCTCCTATTTCTGCTGAAAAACTACGCAATCAACTAGCTCTATTACAAAACCAACTCAGTGAATTCAAACTATCAACAATTGAGAAACAATCAAACTTACGTCAAATCATTAAAAAAGTAGAGAAGAGAGATAAAGAGATGACAGATTATGATGAAAACATTAAACAGTTACAACAATGGATGACAGACTCAAAACAAATGACCCTACCTCCTAATAATGAAGCCCAAATATCAGCGCTAATACCTCAACAAACACAATTACAAAAGGTATATATATATTTCTTTTAATTTTTAAGTTGAATTGAATGCAGTTTTCTTAATTTGAATTGTTAATTTGCTCACTGAAAAACTTCAATTTATTGTTTTGTACACATTTATAAGTGTAATGATGTTTTAATTTTTGTTCTTGTAGGATTTACTGACTGGTATAAGTGAACATAGACTACTATTAAGTGATATTTCTGTGAGTGGTCAGAAAATACAGGAAAATTCTTTAACCAGTGAAGCTAGGAATACCAACACCTCAGAAGATATGCAAGCTACATGGGAAAATCTAAAGAGAGATTTAGCTTTGAAAAAACAAAATTTGGAAGACAGTATAAAAACAAAACAAATGGTAAGTTTGTGTCAGATAAAATCACTTCAACCAAAGGTATTGAGATCGTGCAAGGTCTAATGGATATGTGAGGTCAAAGATTAAGAATTATTAGGAAATTGATCTTTCTCAATTTGAACTGCATTTGTAATAAAGGGGCATAACTCTTATCATTATTTAAGCAGAAGAATTCATACCACAATTAGAAATCACATGTCGACAAAATATTCAAATCCCGTACTTAATAAAAATAGGTGAACCTCGCTATTTTTCACATTTAATTCCTGTACGGTATTCAATTCAAACCACAATTAAAAATCACATGTCAACAAATATTCAAATCCTGTACGTAATAAAAATTGGTGAACCTCGCTATTTTTCACATTTAATTCCCATACAGCATTCAAATTTATGTCAGTAACTTTCCTACAAAATTAAGCATTTTCGTATTACATTGAATGAAAGCTTGCTGATCCTGCTTCGGCATCAAATTCACAACCGTAATATCCCTTCAAAATTATGTGTCTTCGTTTATACGGCAGCAAATGAATGGTGAACTTCCGAAATAAGAATAGTTTGTGATGTCAGAACATCGTTTTTTCTTTATAAAATATCAACAAAATATTCAAATCCATGCATAATACAAATAGGAACACCTCACTATTTTTCATATTTGATTCACGTATGGTTATGGTATTCAAATGTATGTCAGTAATATTCCTACAAAATACGCTAGAATGAAAGTTTGCCGATCCGTACCTGCTAGCCACTAATATTCCTCCAAAATTACATGTCTTGGTTTATACGGAAGCAAATGAAAGAATGGCGTTCGAAATAATAATACATGTGGTGATGAAAAAACACCATTTTCTTCTTCATAAGTCAGTATTTTGAAATTACATTGATAGTTAAATCACTCGTAAAAAGGCATAGCTAATTTCAGCGTATGGTGTATGTGACTCATAGCACATAGCTTCATAGTAAGCACTGCCTTATATGTTAAGCCACTGTGGATGAGAATTTATATATGGAGTCTTTAAAGACGTAAAGGATAATATCCCTTACGTCTTTAAAGACTCCATATATAAATATTATGGCAGACAAAATGACTGTCCATTGATTTAGGGTGTTATATACTCTTATGATATGTGACATCTCTAACTAGTTTATAGATGCTGTCGGCTCACATCAATGCAATTAATGTGTCCGACAATGGAGAAACCACGAGGTAAACACGTGGATTAAAATTATAATCACTTTTATTGGATTGATTCTGTTTAAAATTAGATTGATGAATTGTCCGACAAAGGATTAAGTCAGTCAATCATGGCAGATTAAGTAGTTAATCAAGGTAGGTGTAGCCTATACACGGACGGTATAACCCGATAAATACGTTGATCACTTAATTACCTAATCAATCCAGCCTATTACCAACGATAACCGGGTTGAGTGGTAGTTATACACTCAGTACACTATATTAGTTTTGGAATTTGGAATATTCACCATGTTTTGATGTCCGATTGTGCATATTCCCGTTTGGACAATTTTGGGCGGTGGAAAATGGCGTCGAACAAGTGCAGAATATACGGGCGAAATCCCATCCTTGGTCTGAATTTGTCAAGGGTTGGTGCCAGCATGGCTGACAAGGAAAGTATTTGAAAATGATGAGGTCTACAAATAAACAAATTGGTGTACATATAAAAGATCCCTAGACAGTTAAAACTTGAAGAAAGGCAGACAGAAAGGTTGCTGTCCATGGAAAAATTGAATTACTTCCACTGCACATGTATCCATAGATCAAAAGTACCATATTTGAGTCTCAAAATGGGTATTGTGTTGATGTGACCTTAAACACTACTCCATTTCTCATTATATAAATTTCTTTATACATTTTTAATAGCTATTGTTTACATCTTTACAGGGTGTAAGACGATCTAGTATACAATATAGACCATGGACATATAGTGAAGATACAGTATCAAGTACACAATTAGCAGATGTACATCAAATTATCACAGATTTAAATACTAGTTGGAGAGAATTACAGACACAAGTTGTGGATAAACAGTTACGTTTAGATCAAGCTATAGCCTTTCAACAACTCTATCAAAATGCTCTACTAAGTATATCTGGTTGGTTAGATTTAGCCGAACAAAAATTATTTTCTGCTGATTTAACCAAATCCACTGACGAACAAATTGAAGAAAATCAGGTAGCAATTAGTTTTGAAATCTAGTCTGTTTTGTTTTAAATTTGATTACCAAACTGTCTATAAATAGGAACAACCAGATCTAGATATACTAGCTTTAATATTTTTGTTTTCAACAAGCTTATTGGCAACAAATTGAAAGTTAAACATCAGTTTGACACATCACAGAAAATTTATATTCATTACCCTGTAAATCCTAGAAAAACTGACCTTCAATTATTAGTGTAGTACTAATTTTAATAAGTCACATTTTTTTTTTTAAATTCAGGCTCTTCAAACAGAAATTCAGTCTCTACAAAATGAAATATTGTTGATGAATCAACAAGCTCAAGATCTTCTATCGCAGACTAACATACAACATGGTCAACTTATAAAACAAAGTTTAACTAATTTGAATACTCGTGTAGCTATGTTAGAAACACATGCAAGAGACCTGGGCACAGAATTACATAAAATAAACTATAAGTGGAAGAAATATCAGGTAACGTTATTGTTTTATAGAATTTGTTGATGATAAATTAGGATCCAAGTGATCCGTTTGAATAGAATTCTCTTTAGTTTTAAGTAGACCCAATAATAGTAATTAAAAAACAATAGTATGTCAATAAAGAAGAAAGATTTATTCTACCGGTAATAAAAACAAGCTCTATATCAGAGTGTTTCTCAAACACAATGAAAAATAAGATGAAACAACATGATAATCATATCTTGGCTGTTAATAAAATAGTTTTCTTATAGAAAGCAGGAACCAGACAGATACATAACTGATGCTTTTCCACTTGCATTACGCCAAATTGGTTTGCGGTATCAGTATCAAGTATTATTTTCTGTTACCGATAAACCTAATGTTCGCTGGGTGAAATCATTTTGGAGATTTCTCCGTAAAATTTGCAATATTGATTTTAATTTCTAGACTGTTGTTGTTGACTGTAAGAAGAAATTAGCAGATACTCAATCTCTGGTCTCACATCATTCACCATCCACATCTGTTGAAGATCTTACTGCTCAAATACAGGTAAGAATTAATACAAATTTTTGTTTTACTTTTATAGTCAGTTTAGTAACAAATATAGCTGTATCTCTTTACAATAAACTAATGTGTATTCTTGTGTGTGAAAGTAATACTAACCTGTCCCAATTTGTGTGAATAATAAAACTAAATTGTAGAACTAATGGAACAGTCTTGTAAGTTATATAGCAAACAGTAGCGTATGAAGGGAGTACGAAAGGCATGGAACCACAAGATTTTTAAATTACTTAAATTCACATTAAATGGTTGGGGGAGGGGGCTGTGATAAGGGGAGACACATACCCCTTCTAACAGATTTATTTATTTCAATATCCCTTAAGCAGCATGATTAGATAAAGTCAGTTAATTTGCATGTCCCATAAGATAATGAAATATTGGATATTCCCTGCTTCCCTAAATACACCACTTGTATGATTAGTTCAGTGATAAACTATTTAACAAATTGATATATCAGTATTATAAAAATCCTCTGAAGTAGAGATGTACAAAGTTTTAGCTGTTGTTTTAAGTTTGTTGTACACAAACTATTAAACTATTTGTTTATCAATCAGTTCATAGATCTCAATGTTGATGAGTTACCAGTAAGTCAAGTATATTTGTATTATTTCTTGCTTCATCACAGCACACAAACATTAATTAGAACATCATACACAAACCTCAAAACTACTTGTATCTGCTTGTATTTTAAGACAAACTTCAAAGTAGTACCATTGAATTAGACATTTGCTGTAGGTGTTCAGTTGGCTTAGACGACTTATTTAGTTAATTAGTTTTGAAATAGACTAAATGTTAGCACTTTATATTAGATAGTGTTTAAAATATATTGTGGGTTATATTAGACATATAAAGACAGTAATTACCGACTTGCAACATCTACTATCAGTAGCAATTTCAATTCATTCAATATTCAATAGACATAAAGTACATGTAGTAGTTGTAGTTCGTATATTAATCTGTTTTGCCATCATTCTTAATTCTGTTATTTTATGAGCTCAAATATGAGCTCAATGTGAGAATATTATTATGTGTCTTGAAATAGTCTTAATAAATATATTTATAAAGAATACTGTAAAAATATTACTATAGTCAGTTTTATTGGCTAAATGTTATGATTTGTTTGAAGATAAAATAATCTAACATAAAAATTTGTGTATATGATGTTTCATGATTTTTTATGGAAATAATAAAAAAATATGTTTTTTACAGAAAGTTGAATCTGAATTACAAGGGTGTGAAAATCAACTAGAAGATTTGAAATATCAGGAAAGAGTGTTAGCCTCTGATTTCCCCCATGGCGTCTTCCCATCAGAACTAAATAGTCTTCAACTTAGCTATATGGATATTCAGAGAAAGGTACTTGAGTTATCTTTATTGATTATATACCAACAATGCAAAAATGGAAAATTGTTCATTGTCCAGTTACAATATAGTATACCAGGGCTAGAAATTTGTCATTTTTTGTGAGAATCTAAGAGGATTCTCATATATGCAATCTGCATGAATCCCCCAAGTCTTAATTAATAATACTGTCTAAAAAAAACAAAATTGTGTAAATTGGAGATAGGGACGCCTTCTCAACCTTGTGAGTTTACTCTGGGTACTCTTGTTTCCTCCCACAGGAAAGACACTTGCACGTGCGTTAAGATATTGGAAATAAGACAACTTGTCAGCAATATCACCCTAGGTGGAAGTGGACATTAAAAGAAAAAAAAAGCTAGGTTCTGTGAAAGAACACTGAGAACACACCATGGCATAAATTCAAGAGAGAAAGCAGCCATTCAGACACTTGTCTCCTCCATGCAGCAATGTTGCATGGTGTGTGCGGCTGCAAGAGGTGGACACACGTTACTGACTTTTAGTTTTTACCCCCTGTGTGCCTCGATTTCACTGTGTAAAGTTGTTACGGCCTCTGTTGATGAATTTCCAAAGTCGGTAAATGTCTAGCTATGCCAAAAATAACATTTCAGCTGCAGTATGTCTTGCCAGTACATCCAGTTAAATTGGTTGTGTACATTCATTGCGTCAATGTTAAATAAGCAAACAAACAAAAAATTAAAATCATAATTGCTGGACAGAAACACACTAAACATTACTGAATAGATTAGTAATATACATCCTAGTTGGATGTATGGTTGTCGGATTATTTTATTTTGCTTTTACTTGCTTTTTTAGCTTATAACAAGAAAGTCTGAATTACAACAGTCAGCATCTGTTAGAGAACAGTATGAAAGTCTACTAGTAGATTATGCTGAATTCCTAGAAACAGCACAGAGTAAATTAAAAACAGACAACATATCAGCACAAGATTTAAACCATTTAAAACAACAATTAACAGCTCATAAGGTATGCAACAAAATCTCCATGTTTTACAAATACAGGATGTTAAATCTATTAGATCCACAGTAGAGATGCTTGAATATAACATTGTAGTATCAGGTGTTCAAGATGTATTAAGCATATTCTGCCCTAAATATGACACCTGTCACTTCTGTAATAATGTGATAACAGATTTTCTGATGAAATATATGTCTTGACTTCTGAACCTTATATTGGAAAAACTGGAAATAGACTTCCTTAAAAGCTTGTTATAATTTAATTGCTTTTTGTTGTGTTTTAGGACTTTTTCAGTGACTTAGAGAACCACAAAGCCATGTTGGATATTTTAGCTGAACAATGTGATAAATCTGTACAAGAAAAACATAAAGTTGAGCATTCCCGTCTAATAAATTTAACCTATGTTATTGTTGATCAGGCTAGTTTACATGGTCAGAGACTAGAAAGACTTAATAAACAGTGGTCTGATCTAGAACAGAAATATTCTCTTCTCCAAAAATCTTTAAATCAAATTGAAAAACAAGTCCCCAAACCCATAGTGAGCGGTGATTCTTTAAAAACAATAGAAGGAAAACTGACTACATTACTACGATTACAGAAAGAGTTGTCTGCCCAGAAAGCAACGGTGTTCCAAGTTGTAGAGAAAGGAAAACAGATATTACATAATATAACATGTACTAATCTAGAAACTTCTGTGGCTGACTTAGGAGATAAATGGGTTGATCTAAATACGTTACTTTCTCAGGAATTAAAACGGTAAGTCTTACATGTAGTTATATTGAAAGAAAGAAAATGTCAAGGAAATTAGTTTTAACTCACTATTTAATTCTTTAAATGACATCTAGATGCATGGTTAGCTATTCATAACAAAACACAACACAAGGTATATATGGATATAATGTTTTCTTCTGGTTATTAATTGATTTGGGCCCTTATTCATGAAAACTTTAACTAAGATACAATCGAAATTTTAAGAAATACTGCAATTTGATTGGCTGACCAATATGCAAATTGGATATATGCAAATTGATTTTACTGGTCAGCCAATCGAATTGCAGTATTTCTTAAAATTTCGATTGTATCTTAGTTTAAGTTTTCGTGAATAAGGGCCCGGGTGTAAGCCAAAATATGTTTAAATAGGTGAACTAGATGGATATTTATCATTAACTTGAAAACGTGACCTGTATGTGTTATGAAACGTCGTTATTAAATAATAGAGAAGTAGTTATATCCATATATGCCTTGTGTTGTGTTTTGTTATGAATTCACTATTTGTCTGTCAAATTCACTTTTTGTAGTGAATCACCCCATTTTCTAGGTGTAACCCACCCCCAGCTTATAATTGTTCCTGTTCATAAGCTAAGATTATTCATGTATGGCAAACTTTGGAAAATTTTCTGACATATTCAAACAGGTTTGAACCCATTATTATACACTGATCATAAACAAGACGAACATCGAATAGATTGTTCTATAAAATCATTTTTGTATGAAATACATGTATGTTTACTATATGTATTTTTAGAACGGAGACACTTGGTGATCGTTTGCAAAGATTTGAAGCTGAAGCATCTATACTAGCATCATGGTTAGCTACAGCTAATACCAAAGTAATAAGTTTGAAGAAACTAAGTAAAAAAGAGAAGAAAAGTATTGCTGGTGTTCGTGGAAAAGTAGAAAAATTATTGGTAAGTCATACAAACTTAAAATATAACTATTTAGAATAGTTTCAAATATTTCAACTGAAAATACCTATGGTTGAATTAATTTAGTTTAGATTTGTTGGATAATTTTTTTTTTTTTTTTTTTTGGCTATGCACCTGTCAATGAAATCTTAATATTTGTTGGTTTATATACATTTTTTCAGGAATTCCAGAAAGAGGTAGAAAACAAAGTTCCCCTAAAGAATAATGTTTTAACAGTTGGTCAACAATTACTCAATGATAAAACTTACAATACAGTAGGACTGAGCGAACGTCTAAGAAGATTTGAAAAGGATTGGCAAAAGCTCCAACAAGATATTGCAGAAGCTGAAAAATATCTTCACAAAGAACAAATGGCTAGAATGCCTTCTCGACAAGCTTTACAAGAATTGGAAGACTGGTTAGAAGAAATTAAACAATCTTTACGTGATGATCCACATAAACTTATTAAAGCATCATCTGATGTGGATAGAATGCTTAATAAATATACGGTTTGTATAGTGTCTATACTCTTGTTTAAATATACACAAATATACTGAGATTGTCAAGCTTAAATACAGCAGACCAGAGATGCTATTTCAAAATTTTTTACATTGGACATTTTAGTTTGAGCTAACAGATTCCAGCATTAGGTCACCAGAAGTTGTTGAAAGCTTCAGGAAATAAGGTCAATAAGCTTCGATTCCCTTTAATGGACTTCAACGAGAAAGTATGTTATGTGACATATTGTGTTCTGAATAATGTTGATGATTGGGACACAAAAAATTAGGTGCTTCTCACTATTTTTCAGATTTAATTCCTGTATCGGTTTCAACTTTCTCAATAATATTTCTCAATAATTACCTCCCTTTATTTTTACAATAGAAGATGAAATTGAAACGTCCGTGATAAAAATAGTTCATGATATCTAAACATCGTTTTCTTCTTTATAAAATAGTATTTTAAAATTACATTGGTAGTTTAATCACTCGTAAAAAGGCATAGCCAACTCCTGTGTATTATCATATCTGTCATTGGCCTAGGTGACCTTTTCTTTTACACATAATTCGTGCCAAAATCAACCATTTTACTAGTTTCGTAGTAAGCAATGCCTTATATGGTAAGTGATGATTTCTGTGCGAATCAGAGATCGCGGCAAAGTGCCTCTGTATATCAAAATTTCTATATGGAGTCTTACAAGACGTAGTTACATTACGTAAAATACGATAATGTGTTTATTAATAGCTAATTATAGGCAGCGATTCATATGGATACATTTAACATATATGTACTGAATATTTTGTTGTCGGTGAATGGAAAGTAGTTAATAGTGTAATGGCAAATGGGTTGTCAGGTGGGACCAAATGGCAATTATTATGAAGGAAAATGGTTCCCGATAACAATTATTGTGTGACGGAACAGAAATAGCGTACATGGGTGGGGCAGCATCGTCACATGTTCGCTTGGTAGAGGACTGGGCAGTAGATAAGAATTGAAGCATTTTTTCTTGAAAGTTATAATGACTGTCCATTGATTTGGGGTGTTAAATACTATTAGTCATCTAGGGCTAGTTTCTACATACTTTATCAACGACAATCGAGTAATGGTTATACACTCATTTCAGTCAATATATTTCAGTGAATATTATTCACCATATCTTGGTGTCTGATTGGGCATATTCCTGTTGGGACATTTCTTAAAAGGCATATGACATGTCCAGAATATACGGGTGAAGTAACATCCCTGCAGTTGACTACCTGAAATGTAGTGAAATGGGAAATAGATGTTATGTCATCTTTATCAATGCACTAGTAACCTGTTTGCCATTATCTCTAAGATTACTTTATTAGTAGATTTAACAATGATTTTGTTATTTATATTTCAGGAGTACAAAGTAGAATTAGCAAGTAAACAGATATCCATAGACTTCGTCAATCAGTCTATTTTACAACCACAAGAAGAAGAGGAGGAGACAGAGAAAGTGGCATTTGCTGAGAAACTTGGAGAATTAAACAACCAGTGGCAAGTTGTTTCGACCAATGTTAACAAACGTTTAAATTTCCTAGAACATCTACACTCACAATGGGACAGATTTGAACAAGCCTTTAAAACATTGGAAGGCTGGTTTAATGAACAAGATAAAAAGTTAGACCATTATATGAAGATGGGTCACGAGGTTGGAGTTCAAGAAACTTTAACAGACTGCAAGGTATGTATTCATATTGAGTACCACTATTTAGTGCATTAATGAAGCATAAATAAATCTGCTCTAGTAGATTATTTAGATTCATCTAATAATGCAGAAGAAGAGGGTTTTTTTTTTTATCCCCATGGCATAAGTATTTGTGAAAATCAGTAATAAATCATCTCAAAATGGATAAATTCTACTTCCTAGAAGCTCTCTAATCACAAAATATGGATATATATACTCTTCAAAAAAAGTGGGGGATATTGAAATGCAAATACCTATGCAGGTTGCAATATGATAAATAGTCATGGACATTTGACATGCTTTGAGAGTATGTTCACAGATGAAGAACTTATCGCCCCAACAGAACCACTGAGCTGCACATGCGACTCGCAATAGTGCCATACGCCTGGGAGGGGTTCATTATCAAATTTGACACTTCAGGGAAGGGTTCATGAAAACTGCCGCGTGCTAGTTTATCTATCCATGTTTCCTTTCGTATTGGTTCTTGCATAAGATTTACTGTTTAGCATATCTTTGCTTTAGTGTGTTATGTTTAATTTGATCGGGAGACGTGTTCGTCGACGTCAACGTCGCCGACAACACTGCAAGAATTGGGCGTGGCACTGCAAGAGGAGTGGGTCAGATTTCCCCAAATCGTGATTGGACGGTTGATCAGGAGCATGCCACAATGATTTGCTGAATGTCTGAGGATTGGTGGAGCAATTACTCATTATTAAGACAAAAATCAAAAATGTCTATTTTCACTTTTGACGGTGTATCTCTTTGCAAGTGAAATGGGGCCGTCAGATAAGCCACCCATATGAACTGTTTATGTTCATGTGTAGGCAATTGGCCTGTTATTAACTTACACTGGTAACCTCTAATAAAAACAGCAGTGCATTTCCGCAGTTTTGTATTGTTTCTGAATATCCCCTACTTTTTTTGAAGAGTATATAAAAAGCTGCTCTTTGGTATTATATAATTGAAAATAAAGATGGAAAAATAAAACTACATGTTTATGCTAACGTTTTCACCGTGATAGTGACTCTTCAGACATTTATTATACAATTATATATGTATGTATGTACATGTATATATATGTGTGTAAGGCACTAAAAGTTTTGACGTCCAAGATGATTGAGTTTGCTTGATGACAGTTACAGAAAATTACTGCAATGCCTGAGGTAGTTGCTGAGATACACAAAGCTTGGCTGTGGTTATACACACACATCACTGGATTACATTACCCGGTACTGTACTGATTTTTATGTTCTTTACATAAAAAGAGGCCCTGTCATCAACATTTCTTATGTTTTTATGTCTGTAAGCTTTTCCTGCTATTGATTACATTTACAGACTCTATAGTACCAAACAACTGTCTGACTTTAATCACGGTACACTTATGTAGTACTCTATACAACAAGGACCCCTTCAGAGTTGGTGATCTTCCTCTAATAAACAAGAGTTTGCATATAAATATTGTATTTATTGATTTATAGGCAATAAAACAGTCACTGATGTTTAAAGAAGCAGAAATCAGTAAATTTAAAGATCTGGGTGACAGATTGATGGAACTATGCCACGATTCACCTGGTTGTCAACGTAGTATACAACAAAATATAGATACAATCAACAACCATCTATTGAAACTAGAAGAACGCTTGAGAAACCTGGAACATGCTGTAGAGAATATGACAGACAAATGGGCTCATTATCAATCTGAATTACAGGGGCTTAATACAGTACTAACACATTCAGAATATTGTCTAAATAATTACAGACTAATAGGAGGAGATATCTCCACTCTAAGAGGACAAGTAGAAAAACTCACGGTAAATTTACATTTTTTTTTCATTTAAAAATTGTTATATTGTTGAATATTAGTGGATTCAAAAAGAAAGTTGGTTCATTCATGGTGATATCATAAACTTATTTTTTCTGTGTTATACAGTGTATGCTCTAAATACAATCTATTTGAAGATTTAGAGTCTGATTGTACAATATGTGATTGTACATTCTTTACAGTAGTCAATTGCACATTCTCTATTGTGATATACATACTAACCATTGTAACTGTATACTATTCTGTAAATACATAATAGTACATGGTGTGGTCTATACTGTAATTATACATGGACTAGTAGATTGTGTATTCTATAGTGTAATTATACATACATAGACTATTGGTTGTGTATTCTATTCTGCAATATGCACAGAGCTAGTAGATTGTTATTATACATATAGGCTGGTAGATTGTGTAAAGATTAGTAGATTGTATATTCTGTTCTTCAATTCACATAGACTAGTTGATTATGTATTCTATACTGCCTCACATAGACTAGTAGATAGTGTATTCTATTCTGCCACTGTGTATTCTATTCTGGTATTTACATAGACTTGTTGTTCTTCTTCCTCTATTGGTGTTTAATATCTGCTTCTTTGAGGGTGATATCGCAGACAACTTTACATAGACTAGAAGATTGCGTTTGGCCAAATGGCCGATTTGAAAGATTGACTGTAATCATTACTTATTTTATAGATAAGAGAAAGTGAATTAAAACACAATCAGCCACAACTAGAAGCATTTCAAGTTTTATCAAAACAGTTGGCTAGTAGTTGTGATCCACATGTTAAATTAGAATTACAGAAAACAGCAGCAGATGTACAACAAAGGTAATTATTTGATCAAGCGATTGTCATAAAACAAGTTTTAGTTATATTAAGAATAATGAAAAATAAATTAATTTCATGAAAGATGATACAGTTTTATTTTGAAAATAATTTTTTTTTAAAATTTTATGGTATATTGAGGTAAAATTACTACAAATTTGGTTCCATCTCTTAAAAATTTTATATGACCACATATTTAGGTGGGTTTATTTTCTCTCTGCTATAATGCTTTCAATACATGTATATAATTCCTGCTTATAAGATGCTTTTATATTATTTCAGATGGCAACATCTGTATGAAGAAATACAGAAACGTAGTCATGTGTTTGAAGATAAATTACATCAATGGCAGCAATATGAAGATCTTTATGTTAGATTACGATCATGGTTAGATGAAAAAGAGAGAGAATGTAATCATTTGAAAACTAAACATGATGAAAAGAGTCCAGTATATTTGGAAAGATGTAAGGTGAGACAATGACAAAGTTTATATGCATAAATTTAACTGAAATAATTTCATTGCTATAGCCCTACTTCAAATATACTATTCAAAAAAAGTAGGGGATATTTGATTTTTAAGTGTTATTAAAGTCACCTAATGAAACTGACGAAGAAACAAATGACAAAATGAAATGAAGTTCACATTCATCGATTTATTCCTAATGATCGTTAGACTAAGTAAGGCACAGACTGACCATTATAAGGGTAAAATGATACCCGGGGTCAAACAGCAAAGTTACCACAGCATCACAACCAAGTCAGTAACGGGTAAATCCTCCTCTGTTTGCCAAACAAGCATTGATCCGACGTGGCATACTCCTAATGAGACGTCTAAGGTCATTTTGGTCTAGATTGTCCCATTCCTGTTGCAACGCAGCAGCAAGTTCTTGGACATTGGCAGGACGTTGTTGACGTTGACGTAACCTCTGTCCAAGCATGTCCCAGACATGCTCGATGGGGGAGAGGTCGGGACTCAGTGCTGGCCAAGGTAATGTGGTGATGTTCTGTTGTTGGAGGTAACCTGTAACGATCCTGGCCCTGTGACATCTTGCGTTGTCATCCTGGAAGATGAAACGGCGGCCATGACGTCGTGCGAACGGCACAACATGGACTGCCAAGATGTTGTCCCGGTAGTACTGGCCTGTAACACGCCCTGCAACAACATGTAAAGCCATTCTTCCAGCAACAGTGATGCCTCCCCACACCATAACAGAACCACCCCCAAATCGATCATGTCTGATGACGTTAACGTCTTGGAAGCGCTCGTTTCGACGACGCCACACCCTCCTACGTCTGTCCCAAAAATCAACAGTGAACCTTGACTCATCTGAAAACATCACATTGCTCCAGCGTCGATTATCCCAGTGTTGACGATCCCTACACCAACGACGTCTTGCCTGAATGTGATGATCTCTCAAACAAGGGATCACGCGAGGATGTCGGGCGCGAAGGTGACCCCTATGCAGTCGATTCCGAATCGTCTGGCCACTCACTCTCACACCAGTGTCTGTTTGAAGACGATAGCTGATCTGATTTGCTGTGATGACACGATTTCTCAAGGCCAAGGTACGGATAAATCAATCCTGGGCTTGAGTTGTCGCCCTTGGTCGACCTGAGCGTGGTCTGTCCTGTACAGATTGTGTATCACGGTATCTGGACCATAGCCTGCTTAAGACAGACTGAGAAACATTCATCGTCCGCGCCACAACCGCCTGTGTTGTGCCGATCTGTAGCATGCCAAGGGCACGTAACCTTTCATTTTGGGTAAGCCGACGCATATCAAAATTTGTTTTCTGGTCACTAAAACAATTAAACTGATGTTTCCACCCTGGAATTCAATGCCACAATGACTGTAACATTCAAAGTCAGAGTCGTGCAAATCTTGGGTTGGACCCCCATGATGATCCCAAGCATCACCTGCATTCCATGCGGTAGCTATTGGTGCGTTTGGGCGTCACATGTAACTGGAAATGTTTCTTCTGTTAGGTTCTATAGTGACTTTTTTCGTAGTCATTTGCATATTTTAGTATTATGCCCCCAACATCAAATATCCCCTACTTTTTTTGAATAGTATAGAAACGTATATAATATATTATCCTTGATGATTTATCAACAGTTTAATAATTGTTACCCTTCTACTTTGTTTTCAGAATTTGAATCTGGAATTAGATAATATACAAGTGAAATTGGCTGAACTTTATACATTTAGTGATGATCTTACTAAAAATATGGACCAATCCACTATATCAACTCTTTCTTCACGACAAACTTTACTAGAACAAAGACTTGTCAGGTTACGTAAACAAGTATCACACCACATAGAAGCTCTCCAAGATGACAGTACCCAATTGAACAATTTCCATGATGCATATGACCTGGTGAAAGCTTTCCTGTCTCATGCAGAATCCGTCCTGGCTGCTGGTGATCCAAAGAAATCCTCAGCTGAAAGCAGACTTCAAAACCGACTTGATCAACTTAAAGATCTTCAATTGGAATTTAATAATAATATGATTAATTTGGATATTGTCAATGATTTGGGTTACAGGCTTGCATTAATGGCTGTGGATGCCAACAGAATGCAAGAATTAAATCATAAATGGTATCGGTTGCTGTCAGAGACTAGTATGAGGTGTAAAATGCTGCAAGGCAATGTTGTGGTGCAACAAGATTTTACTGCTAAATGTGAAAGTTGGATGATGTTTTTAACACAAACAGAAGATAGTATGTCGATAGAGGTAGCTGGTAATCTACCAGATCTATTAGATCAACAAACAAAATGTGAGGTTAGTATCTTATATTGTTAAATTTGAAAGTATAAAAATGTTACAAAGATTATTTTCGTTAAATGTGCATAGTTATGTTTAAAATGAAATGTGTTTGACATCACTGATTACATCTTGTGTGTGGTCAACAACAGGCCTAATGACTTCATTTCTTTATAGAGGTTAACACAGATAACAGTTTCTTCCAAGACTTAAATTTATTTCATCAAAAATATCAATTTGATTTTTTGCAGAAATTCATTGCTGATAGGTACAGCCGAGAACAAGTATTACATGCTATATTAAGCGATGGGCAACAGTTATTGAGAACCGGTGATGTAAAGGATGTTGAAGATTTTAAAAATAAACTTCATCTATTGGCTGATCAATGGCAGAGAGTTGTTCGACAAGCCACTCAAAAGAAAGCTATTATAGATACTAATATCAACCAATGGCAGTTATTTAACAATCTGAGTGAGAAGTTACGTGATTGGTTGAATGAAAAAGATATTGACATGCAAAATATTGACTACCATAATCTCTCTTTGCAACAGATCAAAAATCTACTGCAAAGAATCCATGTAAGAGCATTATAATTTTTTCATGATATACCTAAAATTTCTAACACAGACTTTTCTACAGTTTGAATTAAAGTCCAGTTGCCTCATTTGCATTTTCGCTAAAATATCATATTTCTCACAGCTTAATTCATGCTAATATATACTCTGATTATTTAACATTTAATTAAGAAAGCAAAATCAAAATACGAACGCTAGATAATCTCCTGGCTTGGATTTACCATAATGGGATTTATAACAGGCCTGTCAATTATGTTCTTAAACCAAAAAATGGTGGCAGCTTATTACAATCATAGCAAGCATATGTTCATAAAATTTGAATTTAGCATACTGAAGGGAATTGAATCATTTTTAAACTGATATTCGCAATATTGTAGTTTACAAGGGATTCCTATTGTGCTATTGAGACTCTAATGTTTTTAGATAAAAATATTTCCATGATTATTCTGGCATGCTTTTACATCTGATATTGGATGGCTGAATGGTTAGCATGTGCGTGTTGCATCATAAGGTCTGTCATTGAGTCAACTGGCATGGTTTCGATTCCCGGCTTTATGTGACAAGGAGTAGGGTCGTCTGTACAACCTCGTGGGTTTTCTCTTGGTCCTCCGGTTTACTCCCACTGCTAAAGACCCCTACGCACAAGCGAATTATTGAAATAAAATTGTACCATGTTAGTCCCGAAATGACCTGGTTTGTGTCGAGTGGATGTTAAACCCCATCTCTCTCTCTCTCTCTCTCTCTCACTCTCTCTCTCTCACATCTGGAGAGACATCAATTTAATGGTCAACTGCATGATTATACAACAAACATGAAAATTATCTGATTAAATATCTTCTGATTGGCGAGATGAATGTCCTGCTTTACATTCAGTTATGATGATGTATCTTTTCTTATTTGCAGGTAACAAAAGATCAGTTTAAATACCAAGAAAGTGATTTTAAACAAATACATGATTTAGGTAATACTTTGTTACATCAAGCTGATTTAGAGGCCATTAAAGAAATTAAAGTGTGTATGGCACAACTTGAACATAGCTGGTACCAAGTTTATACTCAACTAGAGGAACATAGAGCTAAACTTGAAGATTTTCTCAAACAATGGAAAGATTGTGATGATGACATTGATGATATATTGGCATGGCTGAAAGAAACTAGAAACATACTCAATACAGAAATACCTCAAAATTATGATGATATTCAATTTGATATAAACAGGTGCAAGGTAGGATTATGATTTATCTAGAAAGGAGTTGTCTCAGATTTTGCTGGGTATTCATTGTTACAAGTGAGTTTAAAAGGTAAATCAAACACAAAAATAAGATTAAATAGACTAAAACACCAAAAGTGTCTGATAAGGATTTTGGAGTATATTTTACATGTAAAGAAGAGATTGAAAATTGATTTTTTTTATTATTGTTTTTTTTTAAATTTTCCACAGAGCTTCAGGACACAGGATTAAAGTTTTTCATTCACTAAAATAATATCTGTGACAGCTTATGAAATGAATTATTTAACTTGAACAATGGCAAGAATATTCAATTTTGTTCTATCCATTATGTTTATTTTAGAATTAATTACTCGTACCATTAAATTTTCTGTTTGGGAGAGCTAAAATGCTCCTAGGTTCCAGTTGTGTGCAAATGAGAAATTAAAAGGTTATTTAGTCTTGTAATTTGATTTTGAATTTCCCATTCATAAATTAATTTCTTCATAACTTAATTGATGTATTATTATGTTTTATGTAGGATGTAGAAACAACATTTATGAGATCTGAAGATAGACGTCAGAAACTACTGATGAGAGAGGGTGTACTAGGCTCTCTTATCCAATCAGAAGACATGAACATATTACATCAACGAATCCGATTACTGAATAAACAATGGGAGGAGTTATCACGTCAAGTGACATTAAGATTACAGAGATTACAAGATAACACATGTCGATGGAGTAACTTTTCTGAAAGAATTCGATGGATGATCAGCTGGATAGATGGCATGGAAGAGAGAGTCATAGGTGATAAAGATATCCAGGTTGAAGATCTGATCAATAAAATAGAAACAGTAAGCTTATTTACTATATTTCCTATTTTTAAATTTTATCCATAAAGGTTTTGAATATTCTGACAATGTAAATGAGTTTTTACCCATACATACTCCCGGGTATTTTGATTTGTAAAAATATTTAATTGGGTTTAGGAAATATTTTAAAACAAATATTATATATAAAAAAGGTTATGATTATATGATTAAATAACTTTCACATAAGAATGGAAATTATTTTGTTTTGAAAATAAATAATAGACATGCTTTAGTTGGGTGGAACCACATGCTTGACACCTGGGTTACCATAGTAATCAGTGTAAATAGTCCAGGCATGATTCTTGTTTATAGTGGCCATATGCATGTAATACTAGATGAAAGGGGTGTGGTCGATAGTACAATCACAAGGGCAGTAGCTAAAAATAGCATAATACTAACATGATTCACTGTTTGTTTGAAGCTACCATCACAGTTTTTAAATTTATGCAAGGGACAATCATGTTGAATATTCAGGGATATTTATTTTTGGATTAAATTAATGACAAACTAACAGAGAGTTGTTACATAAGCAAACATTGACACATTACAGTACAAAGGTGGACATTTATAGGATGTTTTTATTATCCAACATTTATCAATGACCAAAAAATCTAGCTGTGAGAATTGTTTATGATTGATTATGGAATATGAACACATTTTCTGTAGGAAATAAAGGTAGAAATGGAAGAAAAAGAGAAAGTAAAAAATGAATTAATGGATGAAGGTAGAAGTTTAATGGGTGTTAGTAGTGATATAAGATCATCAGATATAGAAAATCGTACAGAAAGATTAGAAAATAAATGGCATCATTTACGTCATGTTGTCAACTTCAGGTAAGATATATAGTTTATTTTTAGACAATCAATGCAATAAAAGTCAATAATAATATATATATTAATTATTAGATTTCAAGGTCTCAAAACTTAGTTGCAAATACCTATAATAATAATTATTATCAATGGCAGCATTTACACTTTTTGTATTTTTTATTCTACGTTGTAGAGAGCGCAAACTAAACGAAACAGTACTGGCTGTAAAACAGCTAGATAATAGTATGAAGAATCTAGGAAAATGGCTGACTGACATGGAACAGGAATTAAATGCACCAATTATTTATCACAAATGTGATATAAGTGAAATACAGACACATTTAGAACATCAACAGGTGAAGACATTATTTAACATGATCTATTAAAAATATCACAGTGCTTTGGGATCATAAATGTTTTATTTATTCATTTATATATGATCAGTGCAAAATTTGCTAATGCTTTATTAATTTTAACCCTTAAAACTGCTTACAACTTCATATGGTTCAGGAATATATGATTTTAATGTGGAAAATGTATCCAAATTAACAATGGATTTTTACATTGTCATCACTGAGAAATGTTACTTGAAATCTCTGAGAACAGATTCTCTTCAACAGAGTAATGTCATTATTTTCATATTATTAATAGAGTTTACAGAGAGATATAGAAAGACACAGTGCTGGTGTAGCTTCTGTCTTAAACTTATGTCAAGTTTTGCTACATGATACAGATGCTTGCCCCACAGAAGTTGAATTTAATACACTTCAAACTACCATGGAGAGTTTAGAAAGAAGATGGATTAATATATGTCAACAATCTCCACAAAGAAGAACAAGGTATGAACATGTATGATATGATTCAAAAAATGATTCACAGAAGTTTGAAGCAGTTGTAGCAATTGACTGCTTCTAGCAAAATAAACAAATATAAAGAATATTATTCTCTTTGCACTTTTCTAACAAATAAAAGAAATGTACATTTGATATTTTGGATTATTTAAGAATTGATGAAACATGGAAGATTTGGGAGAAATTCCGACACGATACAGAACTGTTCACTGATTGGTTGGATGAAACAGAGACTGAAGTTAAGAGAAGGGAGGCAAATCCAATGTCTTTATCTAGTAGAGATGAAATAAACAAGTATGAGGTAAAGTCAATATCATATTCATTATATTGACAGACTTAAAGTCTTATGTACATCTGATGTATGTCAAGCGTGAGAGAGAGAAATGGGGTTTAACGTCCACTCAACACAAACTAGGTCATTTCGGGACTAACAGATGGTTCAATTTTAATAATTTGCTTGCACATAGGGGTCTTTAGCAGTGGGAGAAAACCGGAGGACCCGGAGAAAACCCACAAGATTGGACAGGTGAGCCTACTCCTTGTCACGTACAACCAGGTAATCGAAACCATTCCAGCTGACTCAATGACAGACCTTATGATACAACCCACACGCGCTAACCATTTGGCAATCCCTCCTCCCCCCTCCCAAATCTGTCAATCACATCATATTAAACTGAATAATGGCTGACAAATTTTATTTTATTTTGCAGAATCTGCAAAGGAACATACGCTCCCAGATTAAGCAGTTAGAGAATGTCAACAAACAATATCGCAGTATGGCTAAAAGTGGCCTCACAGATACTAAAGGCATGTTGAAATCTCTAATGCAAGAAGTAAATGATAGATGGGATAGATTACAAGGCAAGACAGCTGCAACTGTGAAAGATTTACGTAGAACTGATAATATTAGAGAAGAATATACAACATTGCGTAGTATGTTAATCAGCTGGTTACAAGAGACAGAGGTACAGATAACTAACATAAAATATTTATCAGAAACGGATACTTCTACCAAATTAAATGAAATTAGTGTAAGTAGCCTGTTACATGTTGTTAACTACCTATTAAAAGAATATTCTTAGATAAATGTTTACATGGAGTGTGGTTTAATATGATTTAAGTTATATATAAATTTGGATTTAAATTTGATTTGTCAATTATCCACAGAGTTATTGATCTCTGAAAAAAATATTAAACTAACTTTTTACAATGTATTTTCTCTTTGTGTTCTGTAAAGTAAATACCCCAACTTTGTTTGCTGCTAATTCTGAAGTCTTGAACTGTGCATTACTTGCAGTAGCGTTTATCATTCCTTATTAGTCTAATATTGAAAAAGTCTTGCCTTCATAAGATAAATGGATGTTTTATTAACAGAGAGTAGTAAATGAAATAGAAAACAGAAAAGCTGATTATACAAAATTAGAAGATTTGGCTGCACAATTGCGTCTACAGGGAGATGCACATCAAGCCGAATTAATCCAAACTGAAATGCAGGAATATCGTGATTTTTACAGACAAACAACAGACAGATTAAACATTTATAAAACGCAACTTGAACAATCAAATTACATGGTAAGATATCAAGTTTTCTATCTTAATAAAATTCACACAATGTTTGTTGTTTTCGTGTATTCATTTGTTAAATTGATTTTCAGTTGAAATTGTATAATCATAATTTCTGTGTGTTTTGTTTTATTTCACTAATAGGAAGTTGACAATGTTACTAGAACAATAGATGGTGCACAGCAGGCAATAGAACTAACAGATGTAAGTCAGATTCCTAAATTAATTAATATTACACTTGAATTCTATATTCATACATACTCATGGTTGTTTGTTTTCGTTATTGATGTCTTATCGATTCATTTTCCATTCACATTTTCTTGTAAATTCCAGAAAGAAGTTGATGACATTTTTCAAAACTTGCATGATTTATCATAATGTTTTTTGAAGAAGAGTAGAAGACAAAATAAAATGACTTTTTGTAATCCATTTTGTATGCTAATTAATGTTTACATATATCTTGATTTCTCCAGGACACCGCTGATTATATATCTAGCTACAGTGAAACAAGAGAATATGTCAAAACACAAGATGCGGAGTGGGAGATGACACAAACAGAGGAATATTTAAAAAGATCGCCACCAGAAAGTTCAGTTAGACATAAACGCCGAACACCAAGATCCGCTAGATCTCCCTCAAGATGGGCACATTATGCAGATGGTAAGTTAGTGTTAGTGAAAATCTCAAATGGTGTGTCCCAAAATAATATTTGCATAGTTTTGCTTTTTTTATGGGCCCAAATTGCATGTCATTGTTCTAAATTGTCCGTACACAAGTCCTGGAAAGGTTTTAACCTACTGGGCCAATATGGGTACAATGAAGAGACCAATTCAGCTTTCTTCTCCTAAACAGATTTTAACCAAATTTGGTTGTGGTTCTGCTTAATCACTTTGAAGGGGTAAATATAGATTTTCCATTTCATCTTTCCACAAATTATTTTGAGAATGTGAGTTAGGTAGTCCCTATGCACATGTCTTTAAGGACCTTAACCTTGTTACTAAAAATGTGTGAATAACAATGAAATTACTTGCTATAAGCTTTTAAAAATTGTTATTATCCGATTTTTTACAATATTTTTGACATAAAGCAACTAATTTGAATGGAATTGAATTTTTTGAGAAATATTAAATACTATTTACCTTTAACAAATCACACATTCTCACTCAATATACACCATAAATGATTCTGGTTGTCCTACCTTCTCTTTGTAGAATCACTAGCTATCTCCATTAAGCTTATTCTTTTTCATACAATTAAGTGTCTTATGAACCTGTAACAGTAAATTTCTTTGATCTTTGGGGTATATTCTATGCCCGGAATAACTTGCGATCTGAAAGTCGGGGGTGGTTATTCTTCTGAAAGTTTTTCTTTAAACCTGTAACAGGTTATTCTTCCAGGGTAGGTTTTTTTTCCATAAGAAAACATGATGTAAGGTTTTTCTTACAGGAATTCTGGGATATTCTCATCTTGCGTACATGTAAACATAGATGGTTTATAAGCAAGATAAAGTCCTCGACTTCGGTTATGCTGGGGAAGAAAGTTTTCAGAAAAACCTCGGTCTCTGTTTTTTTTCTTCAGTCTTTCTTTCCCCAGCATAACCTTAGTCTTGTGCTTTATCCTACACTTAATAACTAAAGTATTCTTTGAATATTTGGCAAAATGGTGGGTAAAGGGTTTATTGAGGGAACCTCATCTCCTCAATACCTGACAAGCTCCAACAAAGGTGTATAATTTGTTATGTGTTTTATTGTTAGTAGTTTTCGTGTGGTGTGTTGGGGGGTGGGTGCATTTATCTTTAGAGAGGGGGAAGTAACCTTCTGAAAAAGTTAGAAATTCAACTGGAATGGCTAATATGGGTTTTCATAGGAAAATAAATTTTGACCATCACAACTACCTTGTCACCTGCAATATTCCATGACTTTCAGTATATTTGCTTGTTTTTTGTTCTTTTTTTTCTTGGCACAGGTTATTGGCTAAATGACACCTGAACATGTCCAATGTGCATGTGCAGGTATGCCAGCAGAAGTCAATTTCTGTGGAGCAAAGGGGGATAACTCTATTTGGTTTGTGAGTGCACTTTATAGTAATGGAAGCTCTATTAAATTATCTGCTTCTATTCCAAGAATTATTTATGGATTTTTATACATTGTGAGTTCAGATAGGAAGAATTTCTTGTACCTTTGGAAAAGCCTGGACATTTAATAGGACAACTGAATGTAGGGCTGAATAACTTTCCGATAATCATGTAGGCCTAGGCCTATCTAAGCTGGTTTAGTGGTATATGGTGACTGTTCTGGTTGACATTGTCCCAAGGTTCTACCCATGCTTCAGTTACAGAAAACAAAGTCAAAGTTATCACTCATATATTAGGCAAGGTATGCTGATAAATATGTTGACCTTCATTAGCCTATATGGCTTCAAGCAAGCTTTGTTTGGAAGTATAGTATGGGCAATGCTGATATAACAAATTGTGTAGCCTACAGTACCTACCCTACAGTAGCTAGGCTACAATTGATTTATGAATAATGAGAGCGAATTAGCAATTAGGCCTGTTATAAATTTTAGGTGGTGAAGAAAGATGGAGAACAATAAGATCAGATGTGTCGCAGAGAGAAACATCAGCCAAAGTAGAAGCTTTATTAGAAAATCTGGCTGATTCTATAGAGGATGCTGACAATAAATTATCTGCTGCTGAAAGAGAATTACAAACTAGTCAAGCTTTAGGACAAGTAGACAGAACAGAACGATTTGTAAGTCAAAAATAAATATGTTATTTTAATAGGCTAATAGATATTGGTAAGCTATAATGTGAAAATCTTGCTTCTGGTCTTGATAATTTGGTTATAAATCAAAGATTAAATCTAAATTTGTGGTAATTGTATGAATAAATCATAAACTTGTTTGAAATATTTTGAGATGCAATGAAAATGCACCACTTTTATAAATGAATTATTGTAAATACTGTAAATATTGTAATACCGAATGTAACAACAACAGATATGATCAGTTCTCTCAAAATATTGAATACAGTTGACTGGGAATATTAAAAATGATAATTTTTTGTGGTGCAGACATGGGGTATAAAATGTGTCAGTACAAGACCTACAGTTCTGTGTAAACTGCATTGTTGACAACTGAACAACGAAAACACACCAATGCATTAATGCAAGAGACACAGTAGCAAGAGTGGAGAAGGATCTCACACACAAGCAGCTATTCATATACTAATCTCCTTCATGTGGCAACATTACATGGCATGTGTGGCTGCTACAGGTGGACACATTTACTGACTTTTTATTTTTCCCCTTGTGTTTTTATAGTAAAGTTGTTATAGCTTCAGTTAGTTGTTGATCTTCTTGTGGCATTATGTCTCACCAGATCTTCCAGTCAGATCAATCTTGCATTTTCATTAGATCTCAGCGTATGTAATTGTCAAAAACTTGCTAGTAGAACTAGACATATTTCATCATACACATTTTCTAATTGTAGATTTATTATATGGATGAATGTGAAGTTGCTGTTGAAAATGTTCAAACTTTAGATAGATTGATTAAAACAGAGTCTGGTCTGAATACTATAACTACTGCTGATTCTCATGTCAGAAGTAAGTAAAACAGCATATACCATATACTTAGGTTGTAGGCGATATGATAATGTAATTAAATCTTTCGACTACCGTACTTGGGCTTATTTTGTTTACCAACCTGGTTTCCACTTATCAATGGTGCAGGATGGAGGCAAGGAACAGCATCTAGTCATTTGAACGGAATATAATCAAGGTCCTGTCTACATGTTGGCGTGCACATCAAAGAACAGTTGGAATTATGGAGAGTAGGTGGAAACTATTGTTTGGGCAAATTTCCCTTATAGTACACTGTATGGTGTATGCCCATCTTCATTTCTCTTCAGCTTATTTTAACCATGGATATGTGGACAAATGTCCTGTAAAAAGATGGTATATCCTCTGATAGAAATGGTATAATATTTTGAGTCTGTAACCTAATAATATAGTAAAAAGAAATTGCATTGGGATCTTCATAGTCATGCATTACTAAATCATTCTCAACCATTGAAAGCCAAATTTAATTGACATTGCATTGTAATGATAGATATAACAGAAAGATGGGAAAGTTTACAAGAAGGAAGAACACCAGCTCAGATCAATCTGCGACCTGATCATTCCCAGTTTGTACAAGATTTAGATAGTATGTTATTATGGTTAGATGAAGCTGATGCATTACAGTCAACACTTCAGCCATTACCTGATGATATGGCAGAACTAGAAATAGTTATACGTCAATTTAAAGTAAATATTATTTAATATATTTAAATATGAAGCATATAAACAGAAATTTACATTACCAAAATACTGAAGTTAGGTTCCCTTAAAGGAGCTAAATCGCTAATATTTAGGACCTAGAAATTGACACAAATGTGTCGCAACGCATATAATAATGTGATATGAATGTATATAAACTGATTTACATTCAATTGTTTCCATTTTTACTCTAATTTCAAATCAGTTATGTTCGGGAAATACCCCATATTTTCTGGCTCAATGGGTTGTCATGTAATGGTAGTACCCATGGTAAAAGTATGATTTTATAAAAATAAATTTATTATTGTAGGATTTTCTAGTTCAATTAGAGGCCCGTAAAACTCGAGTTTTATCAATAAATCTGATCAGTAGAAGTTATGTTGATCCGAAAACTGCTGAAGGCAGAGAGCTGAGGGAAAAACTTCAAGAGATGAACGGACGTTGGGAGAATTTATGTTCCCGTGTAAATGAAATTCAGCAAGATTTACAGGGAGCTCTCACAGACAGTCATGAGTTTCATCATACTGTACATGATTTATTATTATGGTTAGAAAGTATAGAGAGTAGATTACAACAATGTGAACCTATAAATGTTGATGCACAGGATTCAGTATTGTGGGAAAAATATAATAAACTAAAGGTAAGGCAACGTGACTTTACATTGTCTGGCTCTATTACTGTATGATGACATTCTACATGGCACATTCTACCCTCTACAGGTCATTGGTTGTACTTGGCCAAAGATGTTCTGCTTTCAATAATGGATAATGGCAACTTTTATAAGTAAACATGATCTAATTTTAAAAGAAAAGATTAAATGCATAGATAAACATTAGGGAACTTTACAATTAAACTTGTCATAATTTTGAAAGAAAAAAAAATACACAAAGAATTGACTAAAATATGTTTGCATTAGTTTTAAAAAAACACACTGTTCTGAATAGGCATTGGAGAACAGGCTAAGTCTAAGAAGAATGTGCAAATGATATTTTTTTAACCCCCCTGAGAAATAACAGTTATACATTGTATTTATCGACTGTAAAATTGTTCAATCTAACATAATTGTACCTTGGACTGTTCTGTTATTGGGTAGATTGGACTGCAGCATTAATTATACTGCCCTATTTGTCTACAAAAAAGAAAATACCCATTTGTTTTGTAGAATTTAAGAGGTGAATTAGAACAGAAACAAGACAAAGCATTAACTTTAAAAGAAACAGCAGATCAACTTTTATTATGCAGTGATTCAACTGAGATGGTGAACGCTAGAGATAAAACTCATGTAATAGCTAATAGACTTCGAGCTTTACTTCGTCTATCTAATTCTTATATATCTAGTTTAGAAAGTAAATTAGAATTAAGTACCAGAAGATCAGGGGTAAGTGTGACAAATTTGTATGTCCTGTTTGTTGCCTGAATTTTAATTATATATTCCTATTAAAGAAGGATACATAAGCAGACAGTTTTTTATCGTTTTAATAAACTTAATATTGTATAATTCTTCTTTTAATTATTGCCCATGAGTTCATCTGCCAGCCCATCTGTTTGTCGATCACACTTTTTGGAACTCAATAACTCTGCTTGTAACAGAGGTACAATGTTCATACTTGGTGTAAAGTCATTAACAATTTGATTGCTCAATTCTTTATAAAAAAGATAAGAAAGTGTCATCTATTTTGGAAAATCAGCTGTGATTTCTATTCAACTTTCCTAATTTCCTTTCTATTCCATACAGATATGTTCTCTCAAGATGAATTAAGTCACACATTCCACCCCTTGCAATTCTATTTATCTTAAAGTAGGATGCATATAATGACCAGAAAAAATAAAATGATAGACCTAAAATGTATTAATTGAAATAATAAGTCATTGAGTAAATTGACTGCCATTTGAATACAGTTTGTTAGATCAAACTAGTGTGGTAGTATATTGCATAGAATATTAAATATCAAAAACAAGAAGAGGGAATTTGTGATGTAGTGTCTGGTCTGCGAGCCATTTGGAAACGAAAAATAACTGGCGTGACAAAACAGTTCACCTGTCAGCTATTGAGTTAATGACAATAACAAATACGTTTCTTAATAGTTTTGATCCGATATATATAGGATAATTAAAGTCAAGATTTGGAAAGGATAAAAATATATTTAAATTATTAAGATTTGATGATTATAAACACATTTATCTACATTTACGTTTTTATTTAATATATCTTAATTGTGTTGTAGGCTGCAGGTCTAGATCAAAGTGATAGAGGATCAGGATTGGGTAGTTCTAGAGGATCACATTCTGGAACACCTTACTATCAAACTCCTCCTCCAGGAACATTGGTGCGTCAGAGAAACAGATCACCATTTGCCATATCACGACAGGTAAATTTGATATTTACATATTTGATAAATTATATTGGCGGTGTGCTAAATTCTTTGCTAATAGCTTTCACTTTCTATCCAACATAGAAAAAGATAGACAACTTCTAGATTTTTTTTTATTCAAACAAATAATAGTCACTGTTTTAAAATCAGTGCTAAAATGAACTTAATTGATTAAATTAGTAAATATTATTATTTTAATTCCATACTTTATAAGAGTTATGTATTATATATGCTGAGAATAAGAAATTCCCATCACATCTTTATGAAAGATTCGGAGCTCTCTGAATTTCCTAAGTCACTTATTGTTATTGATTGTGTTGCTTTTCACAGCTTCTTTTTGGAGATACGAGACCTCTACTACAAGCCGGAGTGGAAAAACCTAAGTAATTTCTTTTTTTAGGGTTGCGAGCATCATTCAGGCGAATGATTGACTCATTTCTTTCGCATGAGAGAGATTTCAGCTTGGGTCAATTGCTTCCCATTGCATTTAATTTAATGTATGACTGGCTGAGAACTTTGTAGACAACTTTATTTTGAAACTGTCAGATTAAAAGAAATAAAATCATTACTCTTATCTTATTGAGTATATATCAGTATGTATTTTTGAAATCTAACTTTTTGTGTTTTAAAGTCAATCTGATTTACCGATATCAATTTTAGGCCACAGGACAATTTTGGAAAAATAAGACTTTGTTAGAAAGTAATTATACAAAATAAAAATCTCTCCGAATTCTGTTTACTTAATATCAGCCAGTCATACACAGTTTTTAGAAATAGGAAGCTTTCATTTAAATTTTAACACAACACTAGTAATATACATAACACTGCATGATGGGTAATGAGGAAAACATGATTCAATCTTTGATTGGTTTTAGTTGCATCAAACTCAATGGTTATAATTGTATTAGTGCATAACATTAATGAGTTTGAATCTATAGGATTAATATTGACTAAATCTTCTCCACACATCCCAGCTAAAGAGAATTATTTTTACAAGTTGTTCCACATTAATTTGTATTCTCTAATTTTTCCTCAAAATGTAAATGTACTTTTATCCAGTGATAACAAAATTATTCTGCATCAAATTAGATGTACATGCATGTACCAAGGTGTGAATGAATAATAATGAATTCCATGCATGTACCAAGGTTGTGAATGAATTATAATGAATATAGAAATGAAACAACATAATATTTTGGTCATTTTGAGAAAAACATAGTAATTTTTATACACCCACATTGAAATGTGGTCGTATATTGTCGTCATCCCTATCCGGCCTCCACAATTGCTATAGTTATTACCCGATTGACTTTAAATTTACACATAGTGTTTATGGTCATGAGAAGAAGAAGCCTATATCCAATAATTACTGCCTGAGTTATGACCCTTGATCACTTTAAAAAAGTCTTGTAATGCTCTAGAGACTCAAGTTATTATTCGTTTGACTTGAGAATTATGCATGGTGTTTATGGACATGAGACGAAGTCAACTGATTTTTAATAACTTCTGATAACTTCAGCCATCCCAATAACTTGCAAATATGTCTTCATTAGTTCTCCTACACTTGCTATGCTAAGTTTGTTAGTGTCTTGTAAATGCTCTGATTACCAACAAAAGCATAAAATGTGACAATGTTTATGGACTGCTCGGACAACTTAGGTGTCATGGGCATAAATTTTGTTGCCTGGCAACCTATCTTAATGTAAATAAGAACAGAAAGTAGCTTTTCCATCTTCCCAACTATAAAGGGTTCTTTTCCATGTACTTCAATGTGGACTTTGGTTTTCCCATCCAAAAACTAGACACACCTGCCTTATCAACCCCACATGCAAAACCCCTGACAATAGAAGACCTAGTTTGAAGAAACCCAGGACATTCTACTCTTTACTAGGGATGCTTTGCCCTGATCACCGAATATCATGGCTTCTGACTGTATGTCAGAGGTTATATATTTGATGGTGATAATTGTGGTATATTTTTTTGTTTATTCAATGAACAACTGAATTAAAGTTTTGTGGTGTTTTATCTGTAATAGTAGCATTTGTGGTGTACATGTTTATGTTTAGTATTTCTGTAATCCTGAGCACAGTTAAAGCACCTAGTTGTTGATTTGTTGAAGTTTTATTAATTGATAATCGTGGTAGACAATTTGTATATAATTTCCAAACAGTCAAGTATAAATATTCTATTAGAGAACTCATAACAGCTTTTTTTAAAAAAAATATATAATGCTTGGACAAAAAAAAAGTTTAATAATAATTTCATAAATTGCAAGTATTATCAGAATACAATTTAGGGGAAATGTGCTATGGAGGATATCTTAGTATTTAAACTTGGCTTCATAATTTATAAAAATATATTTAATAGCAAGGGTTCAGGTACACTTTACGCTATTAATATAGTTATGTTATATAGAAATCTCCTAATCAAATAACTTTTTTACAGATCAATTAATGTATACACAAACTTCTTTATTTATGTTCATAGGTCTTGTAAATTAGTCTGCATGAAGTAGCTTGATTAAAATAGAAAGTCCCAAATATCTGACCTTTCTTGACCCTGGATGAATATTTTGTAAGGTTACAGGAAAATTCAGATATTTTGGAATTTAAATAGATAACATGGAGAAAGGTTTTTGGAATAAGGATTATAGGTGATGTGTAAAGAAAAATAGGCAATTTTTACTTTTACTATAAATATCATTCCTGAACAAGTGACTAATATTTCATCTATTACTAATTCATTAATTGATGCCATCCATAAATCATAATTTAATGTCATTAATGTAGTTATCTCATTGATTTTAATTTCTTTCAAATCATAAAGTAATTTCAGTATGATAATCGTTTTAAATATTTCAATACTGTTTTAAATTTTCATTAAATGTGAAGTTCATTTATCTTTTCAGATCAAGTATCGTATGCGATGATTATGAAGAAATTTGTGCAACACCTTTCTGCTCACGAGTACTACGTGCAGCTCTGCCAATACAGTTATTAATGTTATTGCTGTTAGGATTGGCATGTTTAGTACCAGTTTGTGAGGATGACTATTCTTGTGACTTAGTCAATAATTTACATCGATCGTTACATTTAGTGTTACAGTATGTAAATGGACCACCACCATCATAGAACATTTACAATATGTGTTTTTTTTGTTAATCCGTCTTTCCGTCCTTTTAGTTTATGTTCTTCTGATCTCTTTTGTCTATCACATTCCAGATAATTATCTTCTAGATGTTATTATATTATTCACATACCAGTATGATATCAACACATCACGGTAATCTATGGTTATGTATAATATATAATCTTCATGTGATTTATCAGATTTTCCACAGGTATAATTTTGATTTGAGATAATTAGACTTATAAAGAATGTTTAAATATTTGTTATTAAATTCTGTTTCACATTTGGAATACAATAGTAGATCAACAAATCATATTCTATGTATTTTTGTACATTATAAATTAAAAATTAAAAAATCAATTTAATTTGCAAAACTCCATTTTAAATACTATTTAGATTGTTATGTTTCTTTTTGTTTCTTACCTCTCCTTTATATTAAGGATACATGGTTAATAATATGTAAATGAATATCAAATATACTATCGTAATGTAATTTACTACATGATTCAGAAAATATTATTGCATAATATAATAATTATAAAGCTTTATGGATATTGGTGCTTTGAAATCTACACAATAGAATTGGTTTAAATACAATGAAGTTATAATTCTGTAAATAGTGTAATATTCTGAAAGGTGCTTTAATGTGTAGTGACCTTGTATATTATGTACCATTGTGATATAGTCTAGCATAATGGAATTAGTGATAATAGTTTATTTGTTGTCTCGTTTCTTATGCTGCTGGTGATTAATAGAAGTTATTTCTTTTAATAAAAAATGGTTAATTTGTGTCTCAAATATATTGAAGGAAATGTCAGCAATAAGGGTAATAGTGTAGTTATAGGAAAAAGAACCAAATGTATATAGAATGGTATTTTTGATACAATATATGGTCTGGTAGACTATTGGAATTTAGATGGTTTAAAACAGAAGTGAAAATATTATCATGTCCCAGGAATGGTTTTGTTATCGTTATTGTTGTTATTCATGGTTAATTTATTTATCTAATAAATTAAAGAAATAAACTTATTTCAAAGAAACAGTTGATACATACATGATACATGCAAATCCAAGGAGGTGTTTAAGACCAATACCTTTTAGGTAGTGTTGTTAGTTTATATAATTTGTTATACAATATGTATATTTTGTCTGCTGATAATAATCATAAAGGCTGATTCTTTTTTATATGCATGTTTTATATGTAATAAAGATCTTACCTTACTTGCATAAACAGTGCTTAGTTTATATGCAGTGATATCTACATTTTGTAGAATCTACTAAGTAAATATTACTTTGAGAAAATATTTGTTTCTCTTTGCTGAATCTTAGAACTTAAAAAAACTTAATTTCTGTTCTGTCATAAATTTAATTTTCTATCTGATATTCTCAATTTTTCTGTTTACTTCATTTATAATGCTCTTGCTGTTAGAAATTATCAATTTGAGGTGTGAATTTATGCAATATCGAAATATTTATAGCATTTATACATGTATCCAATTAAAAATTTGTGTGAATTATATTATTATATTATAATCAGTAATGAATTTCTAGTTGTAATTCCTGAATATCTGTATGATAATTGAAAATATAAAACTTGTCTGTGTTTATTAGTCCCATACCAGTTTCAACGGAGGTGGCTGTCTTCTCTCTACATTGTCAGTCTGTCACATTTATTTCCAGGAGATATTTGATTGAAATTTGGTACACTGCTGTTTAAAAAAAATAGTATACTCGATGGTCTAACTAGTGACTATTGGGTCTGGTTGACAGAATGCAGAGTCATAACATTTGATCCCACCTTTGTTCAAAGGTGAAAAATACACTGCTTTGCCAAAACTTAAAACCAAGGAATTATTTATCCACCATGTATATTTTACAGAAATTATTCCATCTATACATATTTGGATTATGTATTTACTGAAATATATTTGCAGTATTAGCATCTTATAAAAGCATGCATTGTAAAAATTTGTCTGCAGATTTAGAGGTAAATTTCTTTCATATGTACACCATGCACTGACAGTACACAGACATCTGTTCTAAACTTCTGATTAGAGCAAAGTGCTCTACATCTTTTTTAAGTGAATCCATTTTAGTATGAGCATGAACAATGTCCCTATACGTTAAAGTTGATTGGCCTTAGTGCTATCTGATTGCTTGATTCTTTAAAATGCAATAACTTTACCCTTATATCAGTCTTGACAGTTTCGATCATAAATTGGAACATTGATGTCATCTCTGGATTTTTAATTAACCCAGTTCATAATAAGCCTGGAGTTGAAGTCCTATCAGTTCCCCACTTGAACCTGAAACTAAACATCCATCTAATATTGACATTCGTCAATGTCCAATAAGAGTCTTCCTAATAATGACATGAGAAAATCCCAGTAAAGACCTTGAATGTTTTCAGTGATAGTAAGTGCCTAATATTGATTGGAAACTGATATTTAATATGGCTCATCCTTAATAATAGCCAAAGAATACCAGCAATAAAATCCCCCCCAAAACTGTAGAGCGTTTACATGCAAGGTTTAAGTCTTTACAAGGTTTCTGTAACTGGTGCATAGCTATGCATAAATCAATACACGACTTGGAACATCAATCAAGTTCCTCTTTAAATGTAAAATTAACAATTTAGTGAATAATTTGAACAACAGCAAACAGTTGCCATGAAAGATACGCCCACATTTTACAAGATATGGACGGAGAACAGGGAAAATCAATGGGACTCATCCTCTCATTGCCCCCCCCCCCCCAAAAAAAAATAAAAATAAAAATCAGTTAAAAACTTAATTAAGATTTACGATTATAATTTAGTCTATCATACACATTGTGACGAAGGTTCAGTTTTAGGAGGGTTTTGTGTCGGCCTTACAATTAAGAGCAACTGAAGGTCGACCTGAGCGCCTCTTACAACTCAAAGTAACTAGTAGCTCCAGTCTATGAAACACTGTAGATGTCTTATTTTACTCTCGTAAGATGTTTCCTGATATCTTGTTAACGGAGTGTGTTGTCTTGTTAAATTGGTATTGTATCTTCTCAAATTGCCATGATATCTTCTTCATGAACTATCATGTCCTCTTCAGTGTCATGCTTTCTCGTGTCATTGAGTTAACTGGTGGGGTTTCGATTCCCTGGTTGTACGTGACAAGGAGTAGGGTTGCCTGTCCAACCTCGTGGGTTTTCGCTGGGTTCTCTGGTTTCCTCCCACTGCTAAAGACCCCTACGCGCAAGCGAATTATTGAAATAAAATTGAACCATGTGTTAGTCCCGAAATGACCTAGTTTGTGTCGAATGGACGTTAAACCCCATAAAGCATGAGACTGGGGTTATGCTGGGGAAAGAAAGACTGAAGAAAATAACCTGAGAAAAAGAAAAACCGAGGCCGGCAGACCGAGGTTTTTTCTGTCGGGTTATTTCTGAAGTCTTTCTTCCCCAGCATAACTGAAGTCGAGGACTTTATCTTGCTTATAAACCGTCTATGTTTACATGTACGCAAGATGAGAATATCCCAGAATTCCCCTAAGAAAAACCCTTATATCAGGTTTTCTTAAGGAAAAAAAACCTATCCTGGTCTCTGGGTCCTCCCCCTAAAAAATTTGGAAATTTGGTGCGTTCTCCTCGCATTTGAGTGCATTCCTGGGACTCAAATTGAAGTGCCTCAGGCAGGGTTTTATGGCTGAATTTTCCTTCTTCGACTCCTCCCGCCGATATCATCTCGAGGGTAGTAGTCTTTTGATTTACGCGGAGAACTCTAGGTCTAGGCCGGGCGATACAGCTGTAAAGTATCAAATTTCAAGTGAACTATAGGTATTCTAGCTATTATTCTATTCATAGAATTACATAGAATGAAGCAGAAATTTTGCAAAAATATTGGTAGGTCTGTATATTGTCGCCTCTTTACGAAAACAGTTTTCCTTTCTTTTTATCATAATTAAGTGTATACATAGCGAATCAGAACCAATCTGCGCGTAGATCAGCATTTTTTAGAGAAACTTTGTACAACTAGTTGCCGGAAAAGTAGAACATGAGCAACTAGCAGTAACTGGTGGTTTTCAATCGACACAAACTGATAACTATGTTTAATTACCAATATACAGCCGGCGTGTGTATTCATCAACGCCTGACTGATACCTTAATCCCCTAATTAAATAAAACAATTTACTACGGAATAATTTGTTTTGTAATGTATTTTAATTTAGCATTTGTTTCATAATGTTCGTCCTCTCGTCTCACGACAGCGATTTTAAAACTTTGTTTTAAAGTGAGCCCCCCTAAAAAATTTATTTTCGGGCAATGAAAAATTCGACGACCTTTTTTTTATATTAACGTTTAGGGAAAAAATATAACTAACTTATTTCTATGAGATCCACACTGCCCGAAAAGTATTTTTTCGTCTTTTTCTTGTCCACTGCATGCCCGAAAATATGCCCGAAGCTCTCTTATGATATGTATGCCCGAAAAAAACGGAATTGATTTCGGGCAATTTTATCTTATGCCCCCCTGAATTACTTTGAGCTCCTACGCCTATGCAATCAAACGATTCGAGATAGATTTCCGTCAGAATAGTATTGCGGTTCTAATTTCCCCGAGTAAAGCTCGGTTCATATTACATCCGTATCCATAAACGTATCCGTATCAGTATTCGCATCCGTATCCGCGGTTTGCCGTTCAAATAGAAAACGTGAAAACCTCCGGCTTTCAAGGCTGAATTGTCTGTCAGAGATTGAGTTTCTATTTGGGGAGATGATGTAATAAGGGGAAAGTTCTCGCTGATTTGGCTAAAGCTCGGCTCACTAGCCGAAATGCGGACGCATTTTACAAAAATACGCTCTGGGAGCAATCAATCCGGCTTAACGGACGCAGTTGTTTTTGTGCGCAATACGTGCCGGGTTCTATTTGAACCCTTTCTCTAAAAATTACTAAAGTATACCAGTACGTGTCACGCACGTATTTACGGATACGGATGTAGTATGAACGGACCTTAAAAGAGTACAGGGGTAAAAAGACGTGGTAATGCAATATGTATCATAAAAGTCAAACATGACTGAAACGCGATTTGTAAATGATGATCCGTTATCAGAGTAGCCAACTGTATCTCGTTTTCCTGTGGCCATCGTATGGCGCCTTTCTTTCTGCGTGTGAATTTGACTTCATTACTCTGAAATAGACCGTAAAAATGAAATAGGAAAAAAATAACTCAATATACGTTAGAATTAACAGTACAAATAAATGTTGTTGATAGGGTCATCTAACTATCTTTGTGTAATAATAATAATATGGAAAGTGTAGTGTCGTTGGGTAACGAACGAAGAAAGTTACGGGAGGACTTTTCTACAAACATTTCACCACACAACTAATCGTACACAATAATTAATTTTTACTCATCAGTTGTTTATAATTCGTATTATTTACCCAATCATTAATTAGCTTTGTTCACCGATGTTTTTGTAATAGAGTAGCCCCGTATTATTTGTTGAACAACATTTATTGACTTCATATGAAATCTGAATATATATTATTCGATGGATAAACGGTTGTGATAAAATTAGGTTTTAATGTCTAACATCGTTTAACTTCTTTATAATAATGGTATTTCACAATTACATTGACAGTTTAATCACTCATCAAACGGCATCAGGAAGTCCACGTATGATCACGTGTATTTGATATTCACGTCCATGAATCCCATGCAATTTTCGCGCCAAAATTTAACCTCAGTTACTACGCCCGTAGTATGCATGACATGGTAATAAGATTCCCGACGTTGATTGCTGAGAAATGAGGGCGATCTATTGTTATGCATAGTCATCGGGAAATTCCATATTCGCTGTGAATTTCAAATGGGGTTACGATAAAAGTTGTTCTTTGTGTATAGAAATGGTTATTATTATTATATATAGCTAATAATAAATATATATCGACAAATGACTGGCACCATTTGTATTTCTGTACTTATAATGTAATAGAGAATAGTTTGGGATATCAAGTATTACGAGGTTATCCAAATTACCAGTAAATGCGCGAATTGCTTGGATCGCCTTCATTTGTCACATGGCCTATTTAAACAATGGCACCTGAAATGGATCTACGGCATGATAACGGCATTTTAAATTCACTCTAAAATATATTACAATCTCAAATGTCTAATCTATAACAACGCAAGACGATAATTCGGTGATTATGATTAGGCGAGTCACATGTTAACTGGACCTTCAATACACCCTTGTCAACTACTGGTGTGTATAGACAGTGATATATTGTACAGATATTGTGTAGTCCCTGTGACGTCATCAGCCAATCAACCGGGTTAAAGATACATTATTGGAGCTTAATAGTTAAATAGTTAAAATTAGATAATGTAAAGGGAATATGCTGAAAATTTCAGTCGAATTGATCAACCTTGAACCAAGTATTTAGCGATTGAATTTTGGCCAAAGCCTTGATGATCATTACTAAAGTCGGTACGATAAAAAACATAGTCTCGATTATCAATTTTTTTTTATATAATCAGAAGCAGCAAACCGTGTTCTAATCCAGTAAATATCACAGGCTAGCAATGCCATCGAGATTTGATTATGGTCTGGATAAATTAATTAATTTCTAATTGATAATTTAGATAACATTTCAGGTCTAAAGAAAGACCTGCAATTGGCAGATTTTCCTCTTGCCGTTTAAGGTCGTAATTGAAAAATTGAAAAGCGTTTTGGCGTGTCGGATACTTAAACGTTAATAGCAGAATAATTTTAATCAGATTGGTGTGAACTTGTCGTAAAGTGGATATATGAACCATTGGCTATACGTACATGCAATTTAAATTTTTCATCTTATGTGGTCTTTAACATATATTGTGTCCTCCAGACCGTTTCCCAAGCTAAAACATGTTTTTTCCTACGATCAGGGTATAGAGAGAGAAATGGGGTTTAACGTCCACTCGACACAAACTAGGTCATTTCGGGACTAACACATGGTTCAATTTTATTTCAATAATTCGCTTGCGCGTAGGGGTCTTTAGCGGTGGGAGGAAACCGGAGGACCCGGAGAAAACCCACGAGGATGGACAGGCGACCCTACCCCTTGTCACATACAACCGGGGATTCGAAACCCCGCCAGTTGACTCAATGACAGACCGAATGATACAGCGCAGCGCGCACGTGCTAACCATTCGGCCATCCAACCCCCCTCGTACGGTCAGAGGCCATAATCAAGGAAGTTACGGTCAGATACACGCCAATATCTAAAGAAACCCAGTTTTTGGGAAATAAACACATATTTCAAATCCCATCAAAATCAGATAAAAATTGTGACCACTAGATTGTCCACAAGCTAAAACTTACTAAAAGGTGATTTTTTGTACAATCAGGGGCCAAAATCCATGAAGTTACGGTCTGATACATATCAATATCAAAAGGAACCAAGATTATTGGGATATAAACATATATTTTAAGTTTCATAAAAATCAAAATTGTGACACCAAGGTATTGATATTACATGCTTTACACCATTTGCATAACGGAGAGCGGCCATTTTGACGATAAGTTTTTGGTCTGATCTTCACGAATTCGAACTCAACTGTAATTATGGTTAACAGTGATACAGTCGTTTGATTTTTAAAATCAAATAAAAATTGTGACATCTAGAGACACCACAAGCTAAAAACGTGATTATTTCTTACAATCAGGGTCTATAATCAAGGAAGTTGGGGTCAACACAGATCCTCTCAGATCTTTTAGAACTTTATACACCTGGTCGAACATTACGTACATCAGATAAACTACTTTTAAAGCCCAAAACTGTTCAACTAGTCTCTTATGGTCAGCGCTCTTTTAGTTATCAAGCACCTGTTTTATGGAATAATCTACCATTTAGTTTAAGATGTTGTACATCTCTATATTCTTTTAAAAAAACAACTTAAAACACATTTATTTAATCAGGCTTTTAACTGACTCTGTATACAATCGTTAACATGTCCATAATCTTGTTGTTTATGTATGATTTACATTGTCACTTTGTAAAGTGCTCCTGAACATGTTATATCAAAGGGTGCACTATAAATATGCTGTAATAATAATAATAATAATACATGTATATTTCAAGTTTCGTCAAAATCAGATAAAATTGATACCTGTTGAGTGAAACAAACGTGAAATGGCATCCAGATGGACAGGGACTATGTTCTACGTTCACATGAAAATGTGGGCATGTAATAATTTAACACTGTGACCCTAACATTTTTTTTTTCATATTAGGACATAGATACTGATAGCAAAAAAATCCATACATTGTAAATAAACTTTATTACAAATATTTGTAAAAATTAATCACAGACAGTTACAAGTACTTAAATAGCTAAGTAATAAATAACATAATTAACCATTAAAGCACAAAATTCTTACATGCAATATTAACCCCTTCACAGGAAAAACAGCACATGTTGCTCCATGCTTGTGTCACTTTAAAGATACTTTCCTATGTACAAACTGCGTGATTTGATGATATATTGGACTAAAAACATATTCAAACTAATTAATCTATCGAAAATTTGCATCCCTCGCAAAACTTTGTATTCCCTGGGACATACCTCAAGCTGTAAATAAACTGTTGTTAGAAGCCATGGTTGTCACCTAACTTCATTATGGGAGGGCCCATTTTTCAGAATGTATATTTCATTACTTAACTGTCCATTTAGCATTCATATTGAGGCCTAAGTAAATTCTTAATTATTTTCTGTCAACTTCTCTTCAGCCGTTCAATTGCAGAGTCTTTTGTATGTTGACAGGCCTCAATGTTCCCAAAACTGCCTAACCATTTGATCAAGAAATACAACTGCTCCCTCAGTCAAGCAAGAAGCTAGCACACAATAAACTGGCAAACAACATTCAGGTGGCCAGTTAGTAATACCCTAACATTTTTGCCCAGTGCTTAACCCGTGGGAGTTTTTCGGGTAATCCACTATTTTTCTAGTAAGATTGTGCATCTATACTTTCCATATATACCAAATTTGCCAATCTTTTATTGGGAATAACAAACTGGTAAATACTTTCGGGACAATGTATCTTTAAGCTTCTGACCAGATCACTACAATTTTTGTTACTTGAAACGAATAATATTTGCCTGCATGTGGACCTTCTGATATGTTAATAAACAAAGGCAAGCCCAAATATTTTCTGACCGCTCCTCACAAAAGTGGGCATTGTCTACTCTTTTTGTAAACACATGTACATGTAAACTTACATATATATATATATATACAGTAAACTTTGTGTAAGTCCGATCTTCACTCAACTCAGATAAAATCGTTTGAACCCTTTGCTCCTGCACATTTTTCTTATTAAATTTCTACACGCAAGTCAGATTTCCTAAGAATAAGAAGGATCTTTGCTCAACTGGAATCAAATCGTTCGGTCCATTTGATCCAATTCTGGCTTTTTTTCCTTCACCTAAGTTGGATCGGCAGTATGTTCAGAATTTGACTAAGTCAGTTTCGTCCCAATGGTCTAAAACGTAGTTAGGTATTCCATGCACAGAGCCCCAAAATAATCTCCCCTATTATTCTGACTCAAATCAGCCTATTTGACGCAACGCAATAAGAGAATTTTCCTGGAAAATTCAAAACTCGCTGTCTGCTGTACGAGACTCTTTGGGAAAATTTAGGACATTTTTCAAAGATGGCCACAAAACGGAAGTTATCTACTCATACCAAAACGGAAGTTATCTACTCACACATACATTGTACGAACAAAAGCTTGAATTAATTATTATCCGGCTCTCGCAGTTAATTTCTAATCAAGCTAAGATTGAATTTCGGTCTTCGGCCAACTCGGATAAAATTGGTCAGTCCACATAGATCCAACTTATACAAAGTTTACTGTAGCTTCCACTATCTTAATCTATGCAATAGCACATTCTTGAACTTCTTCAAGTGATATACATATGTAATGTATACATTTGAATGGCAGAGGATTTTCATCCTTATTTTGAATTCTGATAGAAGTCCATTCCCCCAAAGCCATGGAATATAGTAACATGTTAAAATTCAACTTTCAAAATCAAATGTTGCAAAACAAACATTTATGGAACTATAGCAAGTGAACAATTATTGATGAATGGTAATATAGCCTAAATCTAATTAGAATTCTTAAAATGGTCTGATAAGATTTGGTAAAACATTTTAATTTAATATTGACAAACTACAATTCATGGATATTTTATTCAGTCCCTAAATTGCATAGTTGTTTAACAGTACGTTTAGCCATTTCAATTATTTATTGAGTGAGAGGGGGTATTTTAAAGAGCAAAACTTAAACAGACAATAACTACATACATTTTTTCATGGCACAAAAAGACTTTTAGTCACCAACAGTTTTCATTCAAATAAGTATTCAGGATTACAGTCCTCATATCTATCTAATGCAGAGAATTAGACATCCCACATTAGAATTCGTTCCTTAAGATCTAGAATTGACCAATTTGGAGAATGTTCATCAGCTGCAAGCCAATTAAAATCATCAACATCACTCCAATTATTTCGTTTTTTCTCTAATCCAGATAACTTGTAATGTTCTTCAATCAAAGGATAATTCCAGTTGTAAGGTGCAAATTTAACTTCTGAAGTATCTTCAATTATAGCTTTACTTGTGACATGAATGTAAAAGTTAGTGAATTTGGTTGTATGAATTCTTAATTGTTGACAGGATAAAACAAAGACACAGTTAGCACATTCACGAATAAATATTGAACCAGATACAGGACCACAAAATATTTGACAGTCTTCAAGTTTATTAATGTGTATAGCAGATGGGGCACCATAAAGTTTAACAACACAAGACTTGAGTTCAGCTAGAGCAACATCTTTTTGATTAATTTCCTCTGGCTGCATAGACAGTTTCTTGTTTATTTCATTTATAACTTTACAGTCTGCTAAATCAACAGTCCTTAAATCCATCTCACCACTTTCTACTTTTTTCGACTTTTTGTCTTTGCCATCGTCTGTACCCTTTCTACTTTTAAATGCAAATTTTTTCTTTGGTAAAAACTCTGATCTCTTTTCTTGTAAAATATTCTGAAGTTTTGTCAGAGAGTCGTTAGCTCGGCTAATATCATATGACGGTAAAAACAAAGTTGACTCGGAAAGAAATTTCTGCGACTTTTGAAGCCGAACGGTAATCCCATCAAAGTGATCAATTAACTCTTCCTTCGTCTTGGAGGAACTCAGGGCAAGTTCTGTCTCTATTTCTTCGATTTCACGGTTTAAATTTTCATGGAAATGTTCACATTTCTCTCTTTTTGGGGCCTCCTTATCTTCTTTCTTTCTCTGAATTTCAGACTTTCGAATATCATTACGTTGTTGTAATCTTTCGGTCATAAATGCATGCCTGTCTTCTAAGCTCATATTTGCATCGTCACCAAGGTCTGCCATCTTGAAATTTTGCTCCCCTTCAATCAATTTGTAGAAGCGACCATTTTCTTAAATTAATTCTTATAAACGGGCTATTTTAGCAAAAAAAGGTGACAAATGTGTTCAGTATGCATATTAGTATCCATAATTAGTGTTATAATACGCTAACACACTGTCATTTCGTTTTTTAATTGTTGTAAGCGATGGGTAGACAACTCACTTAGAATAAGAGGATGCAGACCAGCAAATAAGCTCCATTGACTTTATTTTTTGGTCTCAGGACTCTCTTTTACCGGCTCCAACTTTCACGAAAATGTTTTTTGGACTCTATACTTTCAACCACAGACGGGGCAGCATCTAGAAATGTCTTGCTCCCAAACTTGTATGAGGTTGCCTCGGTTGATGGAGAACAAAGTCGACACAAACTAGATCATTTCGGGACCAACACACGGTACAATTTTATTTCAATAATTGGCTTGCGCGTAGGGTCTTTAGCAGTGGGAGGAAACCGTGGGACCAGGAAAAATCCCAGGAGGTTGGACAGACGACCCTATTCCTTGTCACGCCAGTTGACTCAATGACAGACCCCCTCATTTTTAAGGAATCTGAAGCACTGGGGCATAGGGGGTCAGAGGAGGCTGTCCACCTCCGAGTGGTAGACAAGTTTTTTTTTGTTTTTTCTTTTAGTTCCAGCATGCCTTAGAGGAGTTTTGGGATCACTCTGTGTTTGTTTTACAGGTGTGACTTTTCCTCTCTTAAAAAGTACAAAAAGTGCGTAATTTTCACTTTACACCGGTATTGCCCCACTGCTTGTCTTTTTTTTGTTAAAGTGTCTACAGGGGTTAATTTTTGTCATCAGTTGGGCCCCCACTACTTTCTACACTAAAAATGCCCTGTTATCTCGTTTGAACGAATTAATCATCTCGTTTGAACGAATTAATCATCTCGTTTGAACGAATTAAGATTTCGATTGTACGCAAGTTCTAGCGTTACCGTCAGTAGAAGGAACTACATTTATGAGAATAAGTATAGAATATGTTGGAAGTTATCCACGTTTTAAAAACCGAATATGTTTAATGTTAGCCTGAATTAGCCACAACATCGTAATGAAGTCATTGTTTATGACATGTATATGCTTAAACATACATTATGCAAGAGCTAAATCTGCCAATCGCAGGTCTTTCTTTAGGCCTTAAATGTTATATAAACTATTCATTAGGCATTTATTAACATATTTAAGTAGATTAGAACGGTTCGGCCATTTAATGATTTGATTGAAAAATGGTAAAGCCGGGATAAAGCCTCGAACAACCAAAGGGATTATTTTTTTTTTTGTTTGGCACTAATGGGCCTTCGTAGACATACCAACAGCGGCGTAGCCGTGAAATATATATTTTTTTTCAAAGTTTCAGTCTTCTGTAAACACTGTTTTGGCATATTTTACGGGGTTAAACTAAAACATCACACCAATACAATGTTTATCATGTTTAAGTCAGGGGGTGTCGTATTCATATTTTTTTCTTGACTTTTCTTGAATGTTACGCTTGAGTTATGAACAACACGACAAAGAGAGTTTAGTAGGGGAATTTTTATGAGGAGGATCCAAATGAAACAAAACTTCATCACATAACTTTAGTTTATGGGGATGCATATTTGACAATCACCTTGTTAACTACAATACTATATACATATACACATTGACATTAACAAGAAAATTGTATAGACATTTAAAGTATTTTGTACATTTTGTGTATTATAAATGGATTTCAAAAAGTAAACATAAGTGTTTGTGTTTTAATTTGTACATTGTTTTATACAGATAGTACCTTAACTAATCCTAATAATTGTTGTAAATAAACAGGTGTTAGGGCCTATTATGTAAAGTTTTGGGGAGGTCCAAGTATATTCAGACCCCTCCCCCTCCCGAGAAAAACAATTGGGGGGGGGGGGAGGTCGGACCCCCCCTCCCCCCATGTGTGACACGCGCATGCATACCAACGTCAGTTATGTCAACCGAGGCTAGCCTAAAATTCAATGGCTAATATCTCGGTTCAGAGTGAAGCAATTTGACTGAAATTTTCGGCATATTTTGTTTTTATTATCAATTTTTTAACTATTATTTAGGGCTAGGCATAAATTTGACTTTCCTGAATGAGCCAATAAACATATATTTTTCTATGGCGATTTAGTGTGTTATAACCGAATCTAATGAGATACGTTGTCAGAATTGGTTATTTCGATTAGATCTTTCGGAATGTTACCTCTATAACATATAAAGGATGGCCTCTAATACCTCTTGTTCTATATTTTCGGACACGTTGAACACGTTGAACACGATAAAGACATTTCCGCATCGATTGGACAATGTTTTATCAAAAACTGCAAACATACTTGTTTATAGGTACTTTTGTTACAATAAATGGTATTTTGCAAGCTCTTTTCAGCTTCGGTGGTGTTAAATAGCTGTGGAATCACTTTAAATGCTTCATTTGCATCTAATCATTCTATTTCATTGAGTATTTTCCGATCTGATCGTATGTTACAGTAGACCATGGCCACGAGTGATAGTGGCAGAAGAGTAGAAGTGCTGCGAGGAAAGAACTTTTCGGAGAGATTTTCAAAGAGTAGCACATGTGTGTTACGAAGGGGAAATTCGTGATTAATCGGATGCTTCATTTCTGAAAAACAGAGAAAGAAAAAACGATCATTAGAGAGACGGTGCTAGCAAAATCGTAGCACAAGAACTACGAAACGATTGGATACAAAAACATATAGAAGAAATATCCATATCTAAAAAAAATAGAAATACTATGAAATGTGTTTGAGTCTGAGAATGAGTGAGTGGGATCAATCGCGAACCAGAAGTGAAAGGTAGTACGAAAATGCGAAAGATTTCAATGAGAAAACGTCACAGCGCGCTTAGCCTATATGTAAAACCCCTCTTCCTGAATTTGAATGTTGAGGAATTAATCATTCCAATGTTAACTAGATTTCTATAATATTTGTAATTTTCTAAAACCTTATACATATATTGATGTTGTTTGTTGTTTATTAAAGATTTATTGTCCAATACATTGAATATGATATTATGGACAGGTTGATTTAATTAAATTGTTTACACTTAATGGGTTGAAAATTGGTAAAAACGCAAAATAAAAACGTCCGTGTATATCAAAAGTCATCTTTAAATTTATAAAAAAAACCAAAAAAAAACCAACACAAAATATCAAAAAGTCAATTTAAAACACACTTATAAAATCGCTGTCGCGAGAAGAGAGGGCAGGTCATCTGCTCCCTTTGTCATAATTTTAAAAAAAACCAGGTTAAAACAGGAGGTCCAGCTGACTGACGTTTGGCGTCATCAGTGCGGATAGAAAAAAAACGTGGGGAAAAAGAACCCGCTTGCGTTGTGTAGAAAAGCGAAGTGCTCGCAGTAAAAACCACATAGCTGGAACCTTATATTATTTATTACAAACGTTAAGTAGCGATCATACTGATATAGTGAGATCGAAGTTTTAGTTAATTATTATCTAATTATAAACTATTTAATTAGACATAATCAGGGGGGGTGTTTAGCCAAACTGCGACCGACTGATGCACATACCCCCAGTACGAGTGACGCAGTCAGGAGCTGCGCACCGCAGGTGCGAGTTTTCTAGGGACCATATTGTGCAGAGCGGATCTAGAAGCTGGGAATATGGGGTGGGGTGGGGTGGTTCCAAATCTAGGGCGCCATCCACAATCCCACCCACAATAAATGTCATCAAAATACTGGCTATAACATTAAGCATCCGAGTAGAGCATAGACAGTATTGTATAATTATATAGTTGTTCGCCGATCGTTGTCTCGCCGGAAAGCAGTTTTATTTAAGTTGACATAAAGTTTATGTCATATATGATGATTGTGTCTATAACACTGAGCAACCTGAGAAAATTTTGAAAAATTGAGTCAATATCCTAGCATTTGAGGTCTTTGCTGGGAGGAAGTCTTGTGGACGAGAGGACCAGAAATGTGAGCCAATGGGACAGAATCTCGAGATCTGCCCCTGTCAATTCCGCCTGTTTTGCAAGAGTTGACAACATTTGTATAGTCTGACGCCCCACGACCCACACACCAGTATATCTGGGCAGTTCACTATAACCGTGAATATGAAAGTGCTGAGACAGTATAAGAAATCAGGAATAGAAGGATAATGTTATAACGGAATCGAGCGCCGCAGACGCGAAAAAAATTCAGATATGTAACCGAGCTTTTAAATTTTCGGGACTGGGCCTGAAAATTTTAGTCATTGGCATAGCAAATGGAACCAAATTCTCGCTAACGAGAGGATAAGAAATGAGACAGAATCTTGTGGCCTATCTGTCAATTTCGCCTGTTTTGTAATTGTTTGCTTACCTCATTAATTCATTTAGTCTGAGACCGACTGCTGCCATGGGGGAAAACATTTCATAGAACAACATACTCACAACAGAATAAGAGTGACAAACATTTTTTCAAACATGACAAGGAGACATGGTTATTTTATACTATAATTTTGTGTGACGTATGTAATTTAGGCTCACGGATTCACACAAACATAGTATTTGGGATCTATTCTGGCATTGTTTGTTTACCTTATTAATTCAATGAGTCGCCGATGCATAATTTTGAGACCGACTGCAGTGACTGCACTTATTTTGAGACCGACTATTTTTCTCGCTGGGGGAAATTTTGTTCATAGACCAACATACTCACAACAGAATAAGAGTGAAACACAATATTTTTTCAAATATGATAAGTTGACAAGTTTATTTTATACTAAAGTTTTGCGTGAGTAGCGTGACGTATGCAGTGAGCACTTATTTTGATACCGACTGCTCTTATTTTGCGACCGACTGCACTAATTTTGCGACCGACTAGTTTTCTTCCTGGGGGGGTGTACCCCCCCCCCCACATTTACGCCCCTGCTGATCTGGTATTTCATTGAGAAAATAGGCATGACAAATCGCATATAATGATATGCAAAATTGTCCCCAAAACTAATACAATAACCTAAGCAGGGTGGAGCGCAAAAATGACCCAAGAGATTGTAACGCAAAGCACCCAGCGTCTCATTTATATACTAGATTATATATATTCTTAAATTACGATTGATTATACATCCATGTAACTATGTTAAATGTATTGAATTTGCAAAGGCAATTAGAATAAAAATTATTTTCCAAACTATTTATATATCCAAATGAACCGTATGAACATATATTTAGATCGCCATATTTTTTCTGTACATATATATAAATATTTAATTATCCATTAAATCCCTTTTCGCTCATCACATTGTAAATAATCTCACTATGTTCATATAACATATAATTGTCTGTGATATCACCTCAGTGGAAGCGGGCGTTAAGTAAAGCTATTTCACACACAGTGTCTATTCATCGCTACCCCTTTACCAGGAACAAGATATGTCTGCGTCGATTTCAACTAATAATAAATGTGTCACCTGTAGGAAAACCGTCCGGAAGAATCAACATGCTATTGATTGTGATATTTGCAAGAACTGGACACACCGATCTTGAGACACCGGCATTTCTAAAGAAGATTACCAGCAGCTTTTAAACTCGGAAACTGATTTCAGGTTTACCTGCAGCATATATATATGCCGTATACCAGTTGGTAATTTTTCACTGAATGCAACATTAGATACCATCATCAGAAACGTAAGTATTTTCAAATAGTTTTAAAGTCAAAATATAAAAATCACTTCTTATTAATATTTTTCAAACATACACAAGCGGACTTTCTCTTATTCCAATATTATTACATCAACAACAGATATATCTTTCAATGAGGACGTCTTTGAAAGATCAATGGTGGAAGATATGGTGTGTGAACCAGGTTCAGGTAAAACTCTACCAGAGTTTACAGTAGTATATAGAGGGTCACAGAAAGGAAAAAATAAATTAGAAGATCAAAATGGATATATATATGTAAAGAAGTCTGACAATTCAATACGCCCACATTTTTCAAGAGATGAATAGAGAACAAGCTAAACAAAAAGCAATTTTTCGTAACATCAAGGGCCATAATTCAGGAAGTTACGATCATATATGTGCGAATATCGACAGGAACCAAGATCTTTGGGTTATAAACATGCATTTCAAGTTTCATTAAAATCGGATCAAAATTGTAACCTCTAGAGGGTCCGCACACTTAATATACCAGATGTTTACACTATTTGCGTAAAGGAGCGGCCATTTTGTTTGGCAACTTTCGTCCGATTTCCACGAAATTCGAACTCAGCCAATATTACGGTATAACATAACGGTGATATATTTGAACGTTTTTTTTTTAAATCAGATAATAATTGTGACCTCTAGAGGGACCACAAACTAAAAAGGATTTTGCGTACAATCAGGGGCCTTAATTCAGGAAGTTACGATCCGATATGCGCAAACATTGACAGCAACCAAGATCTTCGGGTTATAAACATGCATTTTAAGTTTCATCAAAATCGGATCAAAATTGTGGCCTCTAGGGCGTCCACAACCTTGATATACCAGATGTTTACACTATTTGCGTAGACGGGCGGCCATTTTGTCTGGCAGTTTTGGTCCAATTTCCATGAAATTCGAACTTAACCAACAATACTGTGTAACTGTGGCATATTCCAGCGTTTTTTTTAAAAATCAGATAATAATTGTGACTTCGAGGGACCACAAGCTAAAAACGCGATTTTTCGTACAATCAGGGGCCATAATTCAGGAAGTTACGATCTGATATGCGCGAATATCGCAAGCAATCAAGATCTGTGGCTTATAAACATGCTATTCGAGTTTCATCAAAATCCGATGAAAATTGTGACCTCTAGAGAGTCCACAACCTTGATATACCATATTTTTACTCTATTAGCGTACGAGGAAAGGGCATTTTGTCCTGCAGTTTTGGTCTGATTTTCACGAAATCTGAACTCAACCAAAATTAGGGTGTAACGGTGATATATTCAAACGTTTTTTTAAATTGGATAAAAATTGTTAACTCTTAAAGGGCCACAAGCTTAAAACGCAATTCTTCATACGATCAAGGGTCATAATTCAGGAAGTTACCATCCGATATACGCGAATATCGAAAGGAACCAAGAGCTTTGTGATATACTCACCAATTTAAGCTTGCATCAAAATCGGAAAAAAATTGTGGCCTCTAGAGGGTCTACAACCTTGATATACCAAATAGTTACACTATTTGCGTTATACGAGGGGTGGCCATTTTGTCCGGCAGTTTTGGTCCGATTTGACGAAATTCGAACTCAGCCATCATTACGGTGTAACGGTGATATATTCACACTTTTTTGTAAATCGGATAATAATTGTGATCTCTAGAGGGACCACAAGCTAAAAACACAATTTTTCGTACAGTTACGGGCCATAATTCAGGAAGTTACGATCCGATATGCGCAAATATCGAAAGGAACTAAGACCTTTGGGTTATAAACATGTAGTTCAAGTTTCATCAAAATCGGATCAAAAGTGTGAGCTCTAGAGGGTTCACAACCCTGATATACCATATTTTTACACGGTTTGTGTTCGACGGTTGGCCATTTTGTCCGGCAGTTTTAGTCCGATTTTCACGAAATTCGAACTCAACCGTCATCAAGGTGTAACGGTGATATATTCAAACGGTTTGTTAAATCGGAATAAAATTGTGACCTCCATTGGGTCCACAAGCTAAACAACGCGATTTTTCGTACAATCATGGGTCATAACTCAGGAAGTTACTGTCCGATATACACGCGAATATCGACAGGAACCACGATCTTTGGGTTATAAACTAACTTTTCAAATTTCAACACAATCAGATAAAAATTGTGACCTCTATAGGGTCCACAAGCTAAAAACGCGATTTTTCGTAAAATCAGGGGCCGTAATCCATGAAGTTACGGTCCTATACATGCCAATATCGAAAGGGACCGAGATCTTAGGGAGATAAACCTATATTTCAATCGGATAAAGATTGTGACCCGTAGAGTGTCCACAAACAATTGTGGACGGACAGGGGCGACGACAATATACGTCCACATGAAAATGTGGGCGTATAAAAAGTCCGTGCATTACCATGTTTTTATTATAAGTATAGATTGATTAAAAAAAAACCAAGGGAATGTACGGACTATTTCTATTTTTCTCGTGTTCGCTTATTTAGTGACATTCAATTACTTTTTTGCATTATCAGATATCCTCTCATAACCTCACATAGGCTAACAACTTTTGGTCTTCGAAGGAATTATTAGTGAGCAGAAATTCGCCCGTGTAGATCTAGCCTGTCTGTTATCACTCGTCACTTCAATCAGTTATTTAGAAATCTTCATAACGCATCTATCGTAGCAATGAACACTGTTAAAATTACATTTGGAATGGTAATGACTGGCGTCAGTACGTCATCACTTGTCACTTCAGTCAGTTATAAAAGGATAACTCGTGTTTTCGTTTTGGCTTTTGCGTTAGTCACTTCCCTTTCTTGGAATCTTTAAACGCATATCGTAGCAATGATCAATGTGTTAAAATTACATTTGGAACGCGTGTTTAACCAGTTCTATCACATGGTAATGACTGGCATCAATACGTACGTGAAATGAAATGAAATGAAATGAAATTGGGTTTAACGTCCTACTCCTATACTGGGCTAATGAAGACGGGCATACGCCATCCAGTGTGCTATGAGGGAAATTTTGCCCGGGCAACGGCACTATCGCCTACACTTATATCGAATTCCAACTGCCAAGGGATCTTTTACGTGCATTCCAATGTTTACACGGGACCTCGGTTTTTCGTCTCATCCGAAGGACTAGACAGCTGTCCTTGTCAGGCCCTCCGTCCTGCATCACTGACAAGGGGAAACCACGTCGGAAAATCGGGATGAACTTTCTCGGCTAATGCAGGGATCGAACACCCGACCTCCAGGCAACACGTACGTAACTATATGGTAGCTGATTTTTTTTTTCGCAGGTAGCGCATCTCTGATGTTCAGAATGGCACCAATATTGTCCTTTAAAATTCTTCCGCCTTTCACATCATGACGTCATGTATATGATGACGTATATATTGCATAACGTCACGTATAGCAACATGGCGGTCCAGGATGGCAAATATTTTGGTCATCCCAAAACATTTCGCTTTTCTGGATTATTCCATAAACTGTACTAAACAGAATTGCCAATTCACGAAATGTGCATTAAATTTCGTTGTGGCGAGCAGGGGAGAGAAAGACTTGGAGGATTTCTGGCATTTTTAAACATTGGCATGGCTCTTTTTGGGTTTTGTCTTATTTGGGTAGCTGTTTACATGAAATTTAAGGTTGAAGTCAGGACAATTATTCTTGAAAATTACGACACAGGAATACTTCCACACATGTTGGTATCCATAGGATGCCTGCTGTTTGTTTTCCACATAATTGGAGCGAAGATATCTAATGATTGTGGTCATGCTGAAAGTAGAAGAACGTTCCATAATATGATGATGTGTTTTATTGTTTTGTTGGCAGCCATGAGCATAGTGTTGATTGCCGGTGGATCCATGTGTTTTGCTCACCGAAACTTTTTAGGAGATGCTTTTAAAAAAGGGTTGTTATCCTCTATGAAGTTATATAAAGAAAACGAAACTGTCAAAGAAATGATTGATCGCACACAACTGGAATTTCGATGCTGCGGTAGTACTAGTTATAAGGATTGGTTTGAAGTTAGCTGGATAAATGGAGAGGATATAAACATGGAACATCCAGATGTTCAAAGGTATAGAAGTGTGTGTGGAGTTACAAATATTTTGGGCAGTAACTCCGGCGTATGACCAATGTGTCGTTTCTTACTACCTATTCTGGAACAGCCCATGATCGTCTAGCATTGTCTCTGGCCGCGTTTGTTTCTTATTTTCTTTTTAGGACTCCAGTTTAAATATTGTGTATTTATTCTGCCACTCATTCAGTTTATGGTTACACACACAGTAACAATGATACCACATTTTGCTTCTACATTTTATATTAAGTACTGCTACACATAGGTTACAAAGTTACAAGCATAATAAAGTCATTCTCTCTAACCCGCTCTCATGCAGACTCGGTGAGTCTACTGATGGAAATTCCTACATATTCTCCCTACGAGAACTACACGGCTGTCTACCCTAGAGCGCACATTCTATTAATTATATATTCTCAGATTCACAGTCATTAATTATTCTATTGGCTAATTATGATGTAATTAATCATGTGATTGGTCACTCTTGGCAAATATGAAATGGTAACTTTCCTATCACGTGCTTTTAGAATTTATCCTTGAAAAATGCAAATGACCAACATGATTACTAAACTCTTATTCATAAACAATTTTAATTTGCGTTTATCAAAACTCTAATATTATTTTACATAGATGTTTCAAAGCACAAATTCTTTCCCTCCATATTGCTACAAATGCTTTAAAATTTTAGTCGTAGAAAGGTCGACACAACATCGTTGCGAAGACAAATAATTACAAGCTTTCTGTGCATGTAAGTGAGGTATGTCAAGGATGGTGAATTTTTTTTTAAAGCCCCATCGGACCATAACTTCCTGGATTATATCCCCTGATTGTACGAAAATCGCTTTATTTTTGTCCCGAAGAAAGCAGGAGACTATTAAAATGGGTTCGTCCGCATGTCTGCCCGTCACACTTTTTGGGACACAACAACGCCTTCTAATTGAGCTAGAATGTTCAAACTTGGTGTAGGTGTTTATTACTATTAGGTTGATGCCTTGATGGAGTTCGAAGATGAACATTTGCTGCTTAGGGTAAGCAGAGATAAGCAATTTGATTGGTTGATGCTTTGGGACACAATAACTGTAGTTCGGATTAAGTGAGAGTGATAGTTTCATTACATCAATACCTTGACTAAGTTCGATAATAACCATTTTCTGCTCAGGGTAAGCAGAGCGAGAAGCAATTTGATTGGTTGAGACTTTGGAACACATTACCTCTCCTTCTAATTGAGCAACAATGTTCACACTTGGTGTAGGTGTTTATTAGGTGAATGCCTTGATGGAGTTCGAAGATGAAAATTTTCTGGTAAGGGTAAGCAGAGATAAGCAATTTGATTGGTTGATGCTTTGGGACACGATAACTTTGGTTCTAATTAATTGAGAGTGATGAAACTTGGTGCATATTTTCATCACATCAGTACCTTGGCTAAGTTCGATAATGTCTGCTGAGGGTAAGCAGGGCGATAAACAATTTGATTGGTCGAGACTTTGAAACACAATAACTCTCTTTCTAGGTGAATGCCTTGATGGAGTTCGATGATGAACTTTGCCTGCTTACGGTAAGCAGGGATAAGCAATTTGATTGGTTGATTCTATCTGATAGAGAGTGTGAAACTTAGTGTATAGTTGATAATCAGCTTGATTGCTCGATATTTTTAAAAAAGATAAACGTTCAATTAACTAATATGTGTCATCTATTTTTGGGGGGATTTCGGCGAGGGACATCAGCCTCACTGTTGGCTTGTTGGTTTTTTTGGGGGTTTTTTTCTTTCTTTTTTTTTTAAATTGAATCTTGCATTTCCTTATTGAATCTTGCATTTCGTTCTTGAAGATGTTTAGTGTCATTTGTTATTTTTTTTCTCTTCAGCAATTTAAAACATGGTAATTATTATGGTGATGATGTTCCATTCAGCTGCTGTAGAATTAATTCATCAAGACCGTGTATATTTCATAAAGTTTCTCAAAGATCAGCCCATCCTCATTATGGAGACATCACGTTGAATAAAAAGGGCTGTTCAGGTGTTCTTTCCTTGTTTTATGAAGATACAGTTTTATTACCAACGGGCACTGCCGTGTTTTCTTCAATAGGGTTTGAGGTGAATAATAACCACCATATTGTTTAACCAGCAAACATATGGAAGTACGGAAGTAAGGGGATTTAGCAGAAGCTGGACTAGCCCTTGTCCTATAAACTGCAGTATCTAAGATCAAATTGGGTAGCTAAATGCTTGTTACGAGATGTCGAGACATAACCATCGGTGCCACATTCAAGAACGTGATTTATGCGAACTGGTGTTCTTTAGCCTAAAGTTGAAACTATTCCGACCGACTTTACTTTTCAATAAGTCAGTTGAAACTTTGGTATTTATTCCTAAAACAACTCTTCGTTAATTGATTTTCGTCATAATCGTTCTAAACTTGTCGACCGGTCATATCCAGATATAATACTCAACTTTCTAGACCCGTTAAGGTTTTATAATCAACCCACATTGACGATTATACCACGTCCAATTTAATAGCATTCAGCATTCACGTTTACAAATTTTGCGACCCCCCCCCCCCCCCCGCCCCCATACGAAAATAAAATAAAAAAATGGAGTGATCAAATCGACCAAGAAAAGGACTACGGCTAACATTAACCATTTTGTCTTGTTTCAGTGGTTAATAATTATACTTCTACGACACTTACAAACATCCATCAATGAAGCTATAGAGGAAGGTGATCCGGAAGGTGGTGGAGATGCTTATTGTTTCTCTCAAGCTCCATGCTGTGAAAGTGAAGATCCCTTAAAACCGCTTAAGCGACGCGACAAACTCGCAGGTGGGTAGCGGGCATACCGAAAAAAGAATTCGTAACTGAATTCTAATGATATAATATATTAATCACATTCCCCTTGTAATAAGGCAGGCACCCAAGCTCGACACGCAATAAACATAGTAAATAAAGCAAGTGGACGGCACAAGATCATGGAAACTATATCACTTTGTCTCCCCTCTGTTATTATTATTCGTATATTGTCGACGCCTCTGTTCGTGTTGATATTATTTTTCAAACTTACTGGGCTTTTAACGTAAAAGCTATCGAAACCTTATACTCGCTCCATTGACTAGAGATTTTGAGATGCCTTTGTGAATCTTGCTGAGTTTATTAAACTACTTATTTAAAGGCATGGAACCCGTCGGAATTCAGAGTTGTGCCCTCTATTATTCGCAGAGCTGTTGTCTCTGTCACTGAAACCTTTTTATTGCTGGAATAGTTTGACCAGTATTTGCGAATTCATTGCACTTGTCATCAAAACCTTGTAAACACTCTATGGGCCAAAATTTGTAAAGTTTTCTTTTCAAATATCCTGAGATTTACTGTAATCGGAGAAACCTTGTCGTCGAAATCTTGTAATTGGTCTCTGTGTCACAGTTTTTGAGATAATTTAAACAATGAAATGAAATGGGGTTTAACGTCCTGCTGTTTTGCTCCGACTGGGCTAATGAAGGCGGACTTACGCCATACAGTGTGCTACGCCCTACTCTTATATCGAATTCCAACTGCCAAGGGATCTTTTACGTGCACTCCAATGTGTACACGGGACCTCGATTTTTCGTCCCATTCGAACGACGAGACAGCTGTCCTTGCCAAGTCCTCCGTCATGCACCACTCGCAAGGGGAAAGCATGCCGGAAAATCCCGATGAACTTTCTCGTCCAACACCGGGATCGAACCCGCGACATCCAGGCTAGCGAGCCAGTGTCTTACTCACTTAGCAGTAGCCACTGTGGCTCCCATAATTTAAACAAAACTTGCTGTTATTGGTTGAATTGTGATAAGGATGGACCCTGTAGGAATCCTGTATTGGTTATTAACTTCTGACAGTCCATTCATTTGTAATTGTTGATTGTAATTGAATAGAGATCAAACATTGAACTGTTTCAGAACAAGATGATGATGACGATGATGGCGATGGTGGGGGTGGGGCGTCGAAAAAAAAGAAAAAGCGCAAAAGAGATGATAGTGGTGGTAATGATGATGGTGATGATGATGATGATGATGATGATGGTGGAGGCGGAGGTGGTGGTGGCGGCGGAAATAAGAGTAAAAAGGGTAAAAAAGATAAAAAAGATAAAAAAGACAAAAAAGACAAAAAAGATAAGAAAGATAAAAAAGATAAAAAAGATAAGAAAGACAAGGGCAAAAAGGGAAAGGATAAAAAGAAGGGTAAAAAAGAAAAGAAGGATAAGGATAAGAAAGGGAAGAAAGGAAAGAAGGATAAGAAAGGAAAGAAGGATAAAAAGGGAAAAAAGGATATGAAAGGAAAGAAGGATAAAAAGGGGAAAAAAGGTGGGAAGAAGGGAAAGAAGGGTGGGAAGAAACCCAAGAAAGCCAAAAAACCTAAGAAGAAAAAACCAAAAGGAAGAAAACGCCGGGGCAGGAAACGTTAATTGATATAACATGATAATTTAAAGAAATATTTGAAAAAATGCAATGATATACACCAAACAGTTATTACTACCGGTATTAATGAAAAAAAACAAAATATACGCAATGTTTAAATACATAAACAGGCGAAATAGTTAGGGTTCTTCATAAACATATTACATTTATTCATATGTATTCCTTTATTCCAGTATTGTTTGTTCTTTCACATTTAATGATATATTTCCTTGACAGTAGCGATACTAAAATATATCAGTTACCAAAACTCCCCGTATCTTTAGATATTTCAAAGGAAACTTGTTTGACAATATACAAAGCCACTATTATATTACATTTACAACATAATGAATGGAGACTCCGCGATAGCAAAGCCTGGCTCCGTGGTTGGCGCTCTGTTAATAATGATTTTACTATTGGTTTACCATGCAATTTGGGTCTACAATTTAATTTATCTTTATAATTTCAAATATAATTTCAGATACAATACTCTGAGCTGTTCGACCCAACTACGTCCGTCCGAGTGAACATATCTTCAAGGGGTAGAATTAACAGCTATGTTAAACCGTAATAATGTGCATGTAGATAAGAACAATCAAGTCAGGATATCCGTGTATCAACTCCAGCCCCAGATATCAAAATTAAAATCCAGTTTGTCAAAAGAATTGGGTTCTTCGGAGACATCAAATCTAGGAAGTTGTTTATAACTATCAGCGTTTATCATGTTTTGCGCATCTTTTGTTGAATTAAAAGTCGGGAATTTGGTGTGTAAATTTAGTTGATCACACATTATTCCAGGCGTTTTGCATAAGTTATTTTTCTGGAATTTAGGGTAAACAGGTTGAAATTCACGAAGTGGTACCTTGCCTGGAAATGGTTGGGGTGTAATTAGGCTTTCAAAAAATGTATCTGGAATATCTGTAATCTGACTTTTCATTCTCCTAGCATTAGTATTTAATTGTTCTGAATCGTGCGATAAAAGGTTTTGATCTTCATTAATATTGTTGGTAATGGTGCGCCGCCATTCCTTTGAAGAAGACGTCGATTCAGTAAAGTAGCCAAAGGCCTGGTAAGCATTCTTTGGAACATTTATATTCGACTTTGATGGACTGGTTGCCACATATCTCAAATCCGGCATAGACACAAAATCAGCTGATTTGTATAACTGGGTACAGTTTTCTTCCAAAACTGGCCACAAATTGTGTTGCTCATTATTAAAATTGTTCGAAGTTGGTATATGCCAACCCTCGTTATTTCTTGACATATTATAATGGATATTATCCATTGATCTGGTTCGAAGAGTAGACTGTAACGGGTAGTAATTTGGGTTATCATTCTGGTATTGTTGATCTAGTTCTACAGTAAAAAAAGATGGTAAATCCCCATAAACGCCAGCTGCTGTATTTGTAGATGATTCTATTGTGGATGATAACGTTCGTGGCATTCCAATGTCATTAGCAATGTGTTCATTTCCGATAGGGTCACGTACATTTTGAACGTTTTCCACACAATAAGAAACATCACGCGCCTCATTTCTATGTCCATTGTTTGCATCATTGTATATTCTCGGTTCCAATAAATCTTTTATCCACTTTTCATCTTCAGCCTTACTTACAGTCTTATTTCTAACTGAAAACCGTGGATATTTGTGCGGGCGACCCATCTTGATAGCTAAAAATACAGAAAAGGACACATGGGGACGTAAGGAAGAGTTTTTAAGCTCCAATTATGTAAAAGATAAATGTTCAGGACACATATTAGTTGTGTATAATTTTCACTGCTCCCTCTATCTTGCAAGGATCAGCGTCTAGTCGTTCGGTGAAATGAAAAACTGGGGACCCGTGTACACGTAGGCATGCACGTAAAATAACCCTTGGAAGTTTGAATTCGGTGAAGTGGGAGCGGAAACACCACTGTACGTGCAAACTTACCCCTACACCACACAGCATGACGTATGCCTGTCCACCTTATCCCGGTTGGTGCAGAACACTATTGGACCTTAAACCCCATTTCATATTTATATTTGTGGGTCTCAAAGGAGAACTGCACATCTTGGTTCCTTTCGATATTCGCGCATATTGAATCATAACTTCCTGTATTATGGCCCTTGATTGTTCAAAAAATCGCATTCTTAGCTGGTTTAAAAAAAAACATTTAAATATATCACCGTTACACCTTAATGATGGCTGAGTTCGAATTTCGTCAAAATCGGACCAAAACTGCCGGGTCAAATTTCCGCCCCTCGTACGCAAATAGTGTAAATATTTGGTTTATCAAGGTTGTGGACCCTCTAGAGGCCACAATTTTTATCCGATTTTGATGAAACTTGAAATACTTGTTTATAACCCAAAGATCTTAATTCCTTCGATATTCGCGTATATCGGATCGTAACTTCCTGGATTATGGCCCTTGATTGTACGAAAAATGTTCTCTATCCATCTCTTGCAAAATGTGGACGTATCTTGCCTGTCAGCCACTGGTTATTTTTATTATTAGCCTTCAGGCGACTCATTTCTTTTCTAGTCTTCCAAAGTCGATTGTTTAACTGGGCGATTGTTCTTTTATGACACTTTGACAAGCGCCGCAAATACCTATTTTTATAGCCCACATTTTCATGTGGACGTATGTTGTCGTCGTCCCTGTGCGATCTGCGAATCCACGTGCGCTGTATTAACCTTTGCTCACTCCAGAAAATCTCCTCACTGGTGCAGTCAGGCAGATAAGTGTGTCAGTTTTTATAAGGACACTATTTTAATGAGACCGTTTCCATGTAACCGGCGAAAACACGAAAATGGAAAGTCGCCAAAACATGGAACAGATATCTTTTGTTAATTAAGGTGGTCCTATTTTTATTTAATGGTCATGCATCGTTGACACGCGATGTTATGGATTGTTAGGTCATGGAAACTTGTTAACAACTGGGTCCGATTATCGACATGGAAACTAGTTAAAAACTGGGTACGCTTATCGCGAACTTGTAGCCTACATAATTTATACCAAACTTACCACTTCGTGACATGCCAACTCTTACACACTTCATATATCGACATAAACGACACGTATTTCTAGTCTTTGGGTTTATCGGACAGGTTCTCTTGTCTTTGCATACCAGAGTTGAATTTTCCAAAAGACAACGACGAAAAAACTTCTGTAAGATATAATAAATTATACTTTATATTATATCCTTTAATCATTATCTACATTGTGAAGGTCTTATCACGTAACACTAGCATTTGTCCTGATAAGACCGTGAACAATTTGTAATAGTCGATGATATCAATGGCGTGGGTGATTGGGGTCAGAGGGGCGACGAATCATGCGAAAGCCAAATAGATTCAAATGTCTGCAGTTGAGCTACAACATACAATGCCGAAATCGACAAAACAAGTGATACAAGAACATGATATGAATCCCCTGGGGCAGGGATCCCGAGCCAAACAAAAGGGCCCCCGAATCGGAGAAAAGTCCCCCTTTGAGTTCAGGGCTATGGAAAACCAAACAGCTCTTTATTCGGTGTTCTTAAAATTATTTGTTCTTAATTCATAGTCCTTAATTCTTATTTCTTCCTTTGTTGTATTTCGACATTTGTATACTAAAACTAACGTTTGTGTCTTAAAATCAATATTTGTTTTACAAATCAATATTTGTTTTACAAATCAATATTTGTTTTACAAATCAATATTTTCCTTGAATGACATTGCTTGATAAAGATACCTGTAAGAGTATTGAAACGTTGCATGTAATAAACCAAGAAGTAGTAAATCCATAAAGTTGTGTTATTATGAAAAATCAATATTTGTTTTACAAATCAATATTTGTTTTACAAATCAATATTTGTTTTACAAATCAATCAATATTTGTTTTACAAATCCGACATTTTTAAATTGTATCTTTGTTTAATTTAATTGTATTTTAATATAATGATCCATACATTAGTGCACATAGGCCAAGTTCTCGGTTGTTTTCGGTGGCTGGATATTCGTTGGCGTTGGCTATGGTGAGTGGTATCAGGACTTACTTGCGATGGTTTTGTCTAACGCGTGTTGGTTTATGTTTGGCACACTTATTATTATCCATGCGTCAGCGTTCTTCCCCCGATCTAATGCAAATCGCAAATCGCTCGCTACTAATGACTTGAATTCCACTATCAGATCCGGATTAAAATAATGTCGGCCCCTGCTGTGACACCCCCCCCCCCCCCCCCCCCCCGTAATATTTCCAAAATCTTTCATTTTCACAAGGCTAACGACGTTTAAAATTCAAACATTTGCTTTAGGTACATGTACTTTCTTTCAATCGAATTTCTCCACCCAAAACTATTTTCAGCATTTACTATTGAATTAACTTTTCACTTAACCTGCTGCAGTCCCTAATGCTCGTGCTATAAGCTGATCCTGCCCACCTTATTGTGCATAGTCATTAATTTTGGACCATAATCCACAGGCAGTTATTAACATGAAATGTCGTATGTTTAATGTCCCATAATCAGTGCTGTTAAAGTGTAATTTTGTTTCAATGGAGTCGGTGATTAATTCACCATTGCAGAATCACTATACAATTAGAATCCTCCATCTTTATTCAAACTACTTTTGTTGGTCTCCCCAACCACAAGAGGCTGGTAACAAGGGATAGGAAATTGAGTTAACATCCGTAACAGTGATGACTTCATGAAAGCCTTTCCAAATGAAATGTGTGGTTTCAATAAGCTTTCCATGATTCTTTTTATAACGTGAGTTTCATCTCTGCATACACCTTTGTCACGTGGAAAATGTCAGATGCTTTAATCAAGATCTCCATGACACAGGTGTTTACGTCCTACTTTTCTCCGCCAACCTGGTTAATGAATTAAAGTGAACTCATGGGGAAATTTGGCCTGGACAGTGGTGAATTCCTACTATCAAGGTTTCTATTTGTTAACACTGGGCCTCGGTTTTTTGTTCCACCCGAACGACTATATGCTTGCCAGGCCCTGCGTCCTGCACCAATTACATGTGGAATCCTCGCCGGAAAATCCCGATTGACTTTCTAGACCAACAAAGGGATTTTGAGGAAGAGTAGGCAGAAACGAAGCTATCTTGGAAAATTGGCCCGTCATAGACCAATGCATGGCGTATGCCCGTCTTCATAAGTGCATGGTGCAGAGTAGTAGTAGGTTAAAGGAGCTAAACTTGTAATTCAATATTTTCCGTAATATTCGAAATTAAAACACGAATTAAAATTCAATATGGGCCCTTTTCAATCAATATTGATGTTGTTATCTGGTCGGGAAAATATAGGTTCCTAATATCCAATATTCCAGACACAATTAACATTTTAAAATCTGTACATGAGTCGTGTACACTATGGTTTCGGGTGCCATTTGCAATGAACAAAGAAAATAATATCCTACAAGGCAATGCGGACGTAATTAGTAATGGGTGGTTCACGTATTTCATCTTACATAATTGATTATAAATTACAATAAAAATTTTAAACTTGAATATAAATCACTTCATAGGCAGTGCGGAAGTAATTAGTAATGGGTGGTTCAAAAACGACAAAATAATAGTTTTAATAAAACGCGTAGAATGGACTAAGCAGGCGGAAACGACTGCCGTTCAATTTGGACAGTTCAAGTATTTCACCTAACATATATATAATTGATTATAAATTACAATACGAATTTAAAAATTGAATATAAATCACTTCATATACATTCAAATTTCATTAATATTAAAATAATATTATGTGCGTCTATTATCTTTTTCGACTATTTTAAGGAAATGAAATGAAATGAAATGGGGTTTAACGTCCTACTGGTCTGCTCCTATACTGGGCTAATGAAGACGGGCATACGCCATACAGTCTGCTATGAGGGGAATTTTGCCAGGGCAGCGGCACTATCGCCTATTCTTATATCGAATTCCAACTGCCAAGGGATCTTTTACGTGCATTCTAATGTATACACGGGACCTCGGTTTTCGTATCATCCGAAGGACTAGACAGCTGTCCTTGTCAGGCCCTCCGTTCTGCACCACTGACAAGGGGAAACCACGTCGGAAAATCCAGATGAACTTTCTCGGCCAATGCAGGGATCGAACATCCGACCTCCAGGCTAGCGAGCCAGCGTCTTAACCACCTAGCCACCGTGGCTCCCCGACTATTTTAAGGTTCACAAGAATAGAGCCTTACGCCCTTTAAACCGACTTTCATTTGTTTTTCGCCAGATTTTGGCAACGAAATAAGAGACAGGTAAGTGTGCCAAATCTCATCTACAGCAGTGTAATTTTTAAAGATTTCTTGGGGAAGACCCTAGAACTGTTCGCTTAATCTACCCCTGAATTTAATGCATACAAATTATTTATTATTTGGTTCGTTATACCCCTTTCTTAATATGCATATTTCTCAGTAATATTAAACAAGGTAGAATGAATTTAGTTGTCTTGAAAATTGTTCTTACCTTGCATCCTTCACAAGTGTGAACGCCAAAATGGATGCCATTAGCTAAATCTCCACAAACTAGACACAAACATCGACCTTCTTTCGGTGATAAAAAATCTGGCTTTTCTAGATAAAAAAAGTTGTACGACAAGAATAAGATTCATTTGACCAGTTAAAACAGATGTGTTAAAAAGGAGAAATCACAGATATATTTCAGTGAATAAAACTGGTTATTAAAGGAGCTAAATCGCTAATATTTGGGACCTAGAGATTTACACAAATGAGTTGCAACGCATATAATAGTGTAATATGAATGTATATAAACTGATTTACATTCAATCGTTTCTGTTTTTTTCTGTAATGTCTAATCCATTATGTTCGGCGAAATATGCCAGTCTCAATCGAATGGCAGTCTCTAGCGTCTGGTTATTCCAGTGTACACCGATAGTATTTATTGCGCATGCTCCCCAGAAAAGAATAAAGTGTCACCGTTTGACATGACTTGTGGAATATATCTAGCGTAGATCTGTGAGGCCCTTGTTACAAATGGCACTGAAACGCCTTATGGTGCACGATTCGTGTACCAATTACCAATGGTAAAATGTTTATCGTATCAGAAGCCCATCTTTTCCCGGTAAGATCACAACCTCAATGTTGATTTAAATTGACAAATAATTCGTGTTTTCAATATCGAAGACTTTGGATGATATTGAGTTAGGGCACACTAAGAAAATGTGAAAAACCACGTGATCCCAATTGAGTATTCAACTGCATGGCGTCTACTGATAAGTTCATAGCTGTATTTTTCTTTATTTGGTTTGAGTCATTTTATGTGTCTATGACTAGTCTCTGTCTGCTGTTGTATTCAGTCTGACTTATCATGTTTTTATTTCGCAAAATTCAAATATTTTTCATATATTTTTATCCAGGTGTGCCGCTATTTTTTCATATGTTCCAAGGTGTGCCGTTGGCAAAAAAAGATTGAGAACCACTGAGTTATAGACTTGGCTGCTTTAATGTATCAAAGGTTCTTAATAACTATATACATATCTGAAGCAACTATGTTTTCAAAGAAAAAATAATGTCCAGGTTTGGGGGCGAACATTTGTTTAGCAAGCACTTTGTGCCTGGAAAAAACTTGTCTATAACTCTTTGAATGGCATTTAGTAATTGGAACATAATCAAATACAACACTATTTACGGATAACAATTAAACTATAGCAATTGGTATGCATAAATAGTGTTGTATTTGATTGTCTATATCTCATAGAAAAAGAAAAATTAAATTTACCGTTTCTTTTCATTCCTGATAGTACACATCTTTTATACCGACACTGTTGACATTTTATTCTGCTGTTCTTAAAGACATTGCAATTTTTGTCACATGTAGACGTAAACTGGGGCTCCCCGTCCTTAGTACAGCGTATAAAAAAGCTCTGAAATATATAAAATGCTTGAAATATCAATCTCAGTTGTCATACAAAAGAGTGTGGAGTTTATTTGTCACTGTGTAGTTCGGTCTGGAGCGGTTATATCCGTGGGGTGATTGGGGCTATTGTCAGACATCGTACATTGTCGTACATTCAGGGCCGGGTAAAGCCTGCATGGGACCCTTTGCATAAAATGTCACTGTGGCTCTTGCATCAACAGTGAAAGGGTGCACATTCTGGTCAGTGTCCGTCACACTCACACAAATGCAATTTGTATGACAGTATGGTAGTTAGATAGATGGATTTATTTGGCACAAGCATTATTGAACATAATAAATAAAATCATAATATTATAAAATGATAAATTATAGTATGTTTATATAAAACAATTTTAGAACTAATCTGTGGGCCCCTTTAATTATTGGACCCCCCCCCCCCCCCGCCCTTAATCCCTGCATAAACAAATACATCGTCACGTGACTTCAATTCATTGGAACATTAATAGTAAAATTATTGAAACCCATCAATTTCCAGTGTTGTTACTAAACAATTAACAGAAAAAATACATAAAAATTATTTATGTATGGACGTTTGTTAAAACTTAGAAGATTACACTTCATTCATTATTTACCTTGCATGGTAGACAGACAATGGCACCAAAATAATGACCACTTGCTTCCTCGTCACATACTGAACATCTGACTTCTTTCTTTAGCGTTTGTATATCATCTATACACCCTACAATTAGTATAATACATGAAAAATAGTAATAAGATAATATTAAAAAGACCGATCCATATATTGGGTTGAATAATCTAAAAATTTGTTTTTATCGATTTCTTTGTGTATATCCATGCAATATCTGTTGCTGTCAAAAACTTACCTTTGGTTTCCATTCTCTATAATTAAATGGCAACATTTAAACAGTTTCTATTACTTTTGTAAATAATGAATATTCATAAGATAGATAAATGCCACCTACATCTGGCAACGATTTCACTTTATCAGGAACATATCTCTTGACCCATTTTTTGTTAGATATGGAATTGACGTAAGACATCGTATTTATTCGTGCTTCAACCGTGTGCTTATAGCTTAAAGAGGATGAACCTCTTTTAAGTCAAAATTAATTGGTTTGATCGCATGTGTTATTTTGATATTAGGGAAATGAAATGAAATGAAATGAGGTTTAGCGTCCTACTGTTCTGCTCCTAAACTGGGCTAATGAAGACGGGCATACGCCATACAGTGTGCTATGAGGGAAATTTTGCCCGGGCAGCGGCGCTACGGCCTACTCTTATATCGAATTCCAACTGCCAAGGGATCTTTTACGTGCACGCCAATATGTACACGGGACCTGGGTTTTTCGTCCCATCCGAACGATTAGACAGCTGTTCTTGTCAGGCCCTCGTCCTGCATCACTGACAAGGGGAAACCACGCCGGAAAATCTGGATGAACTTTCTCGGCCAATGCAGGGATCGAACACCCGACCTCCAGGCTAGCGAGCCAGCGTCTTACACACGGAAACTACTTGGAATCCTAACGATTCCACTTTCCCGTTAAGAAGGACGAACTATACTTATGAAATATATGAGATGCGGCTTAATCGGATATCAAATGACTTAAGATTATATCTACTACTTCTTATATCCCTACCCAATGGTCCTTGTAATTAGTATATGAAATGAAATGGCTATAACGTACTACTCGTCTGCACCGTCTGAGCTAATGACTCTCACATCGAATTCCAACTGTCATGGTTCTTTTATCTGCACCTTTGTCCCACGCGAATGGCTAGACGCCCTCCGTCCTGCATCACGCACAAGAGAACCTACACTGGAAATTCATGGAGACCTTTCGGTCAACACCGGGATCAAACTCCAGGGGGCCTGGCAACAAGAGACAACGTATAGTCTTTCGGATGGGACGTAAAACCGAGGTCCCGTGTACACATGCAAGTAAAATATCCCTTGGCAGTTGGAATTAGATATAAAAATACACTTCTCCTTCATTGTAACCCTATCATTATGACGACAGGCGGAGCTACACACAATTGAAATGGCTGTAAAAATTATTTATTCCCTCTTCTTTTTTTTCCGTTTCGACATTTATATTCGGATTTATCGAGTATTAGATGGACAGTACAGTTGAATTAGAAAAACTTTACATTTCTGAAAAGCTGAAAAAAAGGTTGATGTAAATTACGTTTGTGTATAATTTGAAAGAATTAGTATGGGATTAGATTTTAACATCCGAGTAATTTAAAGTAACACGAAAGCAACTGAAGATAGGTAAGATAGAAATAAACTATAACACATACTTATGGAAGAACAATTACTGATTTATTTGGGCGACGTTTCCAAGAGTATTCTCTCAACGTTTTTAAGCAATTACTGATTTATTTGGGCGACGTTTCGAAGAGTATTCTCTCAACGTTTTCAAGCAATTTGGGCGACGTTTCGAAGAGTATTCTCTCAACGTTTTCAATCACGCTTGAAAACGTTGAGAGAATACTCTTCGAAACATCGCCCAAATAAATCAGTAATTGTTCTTCCATACTTGCTTAAAAACGTTGAGAGAATACTCTTCGAAACGTCGCCCAAATAAATCAGTAATTGTTCTTCCATAAGTATAGTTTATTGCTCTATTCAATTACTAAATGCCTCTAAAAGATCATTAAGATAGAAATGTAACGAAATGAAATGTGGTTTTATGGAACGTCAGCACCAACCGGAATATATTCCGCCAAACATTTGGTGATAATCTCGAGACAAGCTAAATTATATCACAGAAAAAAAAAATAATATGCATACGACCTTCCACTACAACCTGTCAGATCTTCATGTAGTGGAGGTCATTAAAGTATATAAAAAAGAAACGAAATATAGATCTGTATTTTAATCAGATTGTAATGATGGTTGATATGTAACACTACGGGGACAGATGTGACTTTAATCAGGAACTTCCAGAAAACGGCCAGTGACACTAGGGTGACGATTATAGTCAGGACATTCACGCTGTATATAAAACCTTTAGGATCAATCGACTCTGGAACACTGTGTTGTTAAAACTATTTTTATATATCAAATACAAAAAACTATACAACATCTATGATAGTACATTAAGGGGTATTGTAATATCTAGTCTGAGTTTAACAAGCCTAGAACTCAAACCTAACGGTTGAAATACAACATATTGTCTCTGTGCCAGCCTCGAATCAGAGGCACAGAGTGCGTCCTACGAACTCCGCATGATGTCGATATCCTGACCTGTAAGCCGAGGCGACTAAACATACGGCTAGGAGCGCCGGATGATGTCTGAAGGGAAATGTACCCATCTCGTTCTTATATAACAAATATAGATATTTCAACGATTAGGACGGGACAATTACCATGTTTTACGTCAACATTATTCTATTTAATTCGACTAATCGATCTGTGCACGAAATGACTGGACGATAGTAACCCCCTTCCAGAATTGGATAGCCTACTGGCATAACTGCCAGTGAGTTAGTCTAAGAAATTAGTAGAATAATGCAAAGTACTTCATTAGTCTAGTTTTCTTCACACATTCTGTAGCAGTGAATAATCGCTAGGCCTCTACAATCACCGATAAGGATGACATCAATGCGACTTAATGAGTCTCAAATATTAACTCTTTTCCGCCGACAAATTAAATTCCAAAACATTTTTTTGATGTATTAGAAAAATAAATAAAGATGTTTGAATTATTTGTAGGTAAAAATTATTTTCTATTCAGTGTAAATGGGTATTAAAATGACTAAAAGGCAGCATTCTGCCCGAAGCAGTAACGTCTTACGCGCCATTCAGCCAATGATTGACGCTGTGTGCTCTGACGGCACGTGTTAAAGGCAGTCATCTTTTACAGAGACACTAGAAGAATCGTAATTCTCTGTGAAACAGATTGATCCCGTAGGTAAAGAATTTCTATATTAGCCAGAACACCTTTAATAGAACTAAAATAACCCTATAGTACACTGTTAAAATTATATGTATATTTACAGTTATAAGAATAGTAAAAACACAGTATCAGATTTGTCATGTCACATGGTTTGTTAACTTACATTTAAAACGATGTAGATGCATGTGAATACAAGGCGTATGTAAGATTACATCAAATTTAGTGTAGTAATACAACCATATGTCAGTTTACATCACGGGGGCTGTATATTAACAGAAATGCCCTTTGAAATATTATTTTTACAGAAAATTGTAAATTTACTGTCAAATAGTGGTCACATTGGTTATTACCCCTTTGACAACATATCGAATTTTGGGCAAAATAATTACTGTTCTGTCAGTCAATTTAGTCCATTTTAGAGAAATAGGTTATTCAAAATATGAATGCTCCGAACTGGCTAATAGACAGGCATATGCTATACATTGAGTTGTGTGGGGCATTTTGCTTGGAAGGTGTCATACCACCTACTCTTTCCATTGTAAGGAGCAGAACAGTAGCACATTAAACCCCATTTCATTTAATTTCTTTACATTATCGAATGTTGCGTTACATACTCGGCTAAAAGTTCCGAAAAACTATCTGTGTTCGCCAAGATCAAACCTAGAACTAATTAGCCAAGCGGGGACAAACACATTCCTTTTAGTAATGTTACATCGGAAAATTACATAATACATAATTCTACAATAGTTATGAGGTACTAATACATAAACTCTGTCAAAATACACAATATGTTTTTGTTTTAAATGTTATTGTACAAATTAATGTAAATTAACATCATGGTAATTTTACATGTACTCCATTTACAGATATGTAATTTTACCTTGGATGTATAATAGCTAGAGGTAAAGTTACATTACAGACTCTGAAATAACATGCAATGTTAACATGCAGTTATTACGATGGCAATATTTTTGCCAGTAAAAAAGAGGTAAAAATACATAAAAATTTTAACAGTGTATTACAGCTAGGTAGAAGTGTAAAATTCTAAATTTGTTAGATGTTCATGCTAAACATGTAAAGCGTCAATGAAGAAGACATTTTTCGTCTTAATGATAGAAATAAGATGAAATAGAATTAAAATTCAAGCTGAACAAATAAAGAAATTGGATTATGCATTGTCTTAAATTAGAAATTACATGAACAGAAGTTAGAAATTAGACAATGGCACGACATTAACAAATTTAGAATTTTGAATCTAATATCCCGCCATGACTTATCGTTCTATAGTCAATAAGCACCCGAAAAGTATTGCGATTTTGAAACCTTTTTGCTGTTAAAATTGTTTAACTATCAGTTAAGGGTCCTTTCGCGGTCTAGGGAGCCGAAAATGTTTTGAAGTTTTGTAGTAATATCGGACTTCCTTGTTGTGTTTCTTTTGTGATAGTAAATAAAACCACAGGTTAGTTCGTTTCTACATCTTTATTGTTAAACTGTGTGGCTTCGAAGGTCCTCTTTCTCAATAAAGCATAGATGATAGCTGCTCGGAATATCTGGGTGAGCTCTGATGAATTTCACTCAACACCCTCTTTTATAACCTCCTAATTTCTGTACGTTATAGACTGACCTTGGCGTTAATTTCCTTCCCAAATATGGAATAAACATCTCCATTCTAGTCTACCAGGACTGGGGGGGGGGGGCAGAACATTACCTTGGCGTTAATTTCCTTCCCAAATATGGAATAAATATTCCCATTCTACCAAGACCAGGGGGGAGGGGGCAGAACATTACCTTATTTGTTCTACCAAACGCATGTCATAAGGAGATAGAATTTGATGGGGACATTTTGACAATGGTAAGGGTTTTACCAAATTATCACTGTATTTTTATATATAAAATATATCATTCACTTGCATTAGTCCGTGGGAATTGACTCTACAGACAGTGTGAACCAATAAAGTATTACAGTTTACGGAACATTTTGCTTAAATTCTACTTCCGATTGACAACTCATTACTGAGTACTATGCCTGAGCTAAATCTGCTTATTGCATGTCTTATTCTGGTTTCAAATATAAATATTATATTATTTAGACATTTATTCACATGACAAGCCCACGACTATTTAGATCAAGATATTAGCTAAGATATTGAGTGGATTAGACAATGCTCCACGCCTTCGTTAAACGTTGATGTGGACGAAACTCAAAGAGACTGTCAATTAAAGGACTGAAAAGCGAGACGTTATTATTAGGACAATGGTACTTGACAATGAAGACAATTTAGGCTATGTATTGTCAAAAATATTCATAACTTCGCTCAGAATAAAGTAATCTTCTATACATGCATTTTTAATTTTCTACTTTTGAACTGTTATAGCAAGAACTGCCAGCTCTTCATCTAAATCATACATCTTTAATGATTAGCTGTTTGCTTGATTTTTTTTGTTCTACAGTCACTTAAGTCTGCATGGCTGGCCCTGGAATTTTTGCTAGATTAGCCAATAGCAACAAAAATATAGGCCCAAGTATGCTATAGGTAACGGGGACACAAAAACATATGCATGGCCCTGATAATACTAATAACAAAAAACAGGAAAAAATTATTGTTTATATGTAGGCCCAAGCAGATAACAGAATTGACTTTACAAGAAGTAGACTAATGTATTGTAACTATTCAAGCTACCCAGTACCATTTATAATAAATAGGCCTAAATATTATGTGACGTTCAAAGTGCATTAAATAGATTTGATATGATTGCAAGAAAGAGACATACAGAATTCAGGTCAAACATTGTGAAACTGGTACGTTTCCTTTATAAGACAAGGTCTTTAATTTTTGTCAGAAGCATACAATATTACAAGTCATCCTTACTCTAAACTAATGTTTAGTACACTTGGTCAGCTGTTGCTTTGTCTGTAGCTAGTGGAAAGCGTTCAGCCCAACGAAAATTTTGGAAAAGTTGGAACCTGGAACTAATATCAAGTCAATGGGGAATTATGGTGGCCTGTATCCATAATATGATTAGAGTAACCCCCCTTTGCAAGCAGAGAGCGCAATCATAAATTCCAAGCGGGTTATTCAAAAGATGGATATTTCCATGAATACCTCAGCTGATACCGATGGATTAAATGTCTCGGTGTGCGACGTAAGTATTAAACACATGAACAGTCCACTTGTAATTCAATATATATCCGAAATTTTGACAAGGTTCTATCAACATTCAAACACATAACGTCGATGTGAAAGAAAGAAGTCGCAGACAAAAACAACGTGAACGTCTCTAGTCTGAAAGTCTAAACAAAACAAAAATCAAACAATCATTCATATCGTCATTCATTCGTTTAGTAATTGTCATCAACATCCCTTTTTACCGTGTACAGTCGTTTTTTTTTTTGTAACTGAAATACTAAGATAACTGCGTATAGGAAAACATCTATCACTCATTTATTTATTATTACATTTTTGTCCATTGGTGGATGGGTTGGATGGCTGAATGGTTAGCACGTGTGTGCTGTATCATACGGCCTGTCCGTGTCATTGAGTCAACTGGCGTGGTTTGGAATCCCCGGTTGTACATGACAAGGGGTAGGGTCGCCTGTCCAACCTCTTGGGTTTTCTCCGGTTTCCTCCCACTGCTAAAGACCCCTACGCGCAAGCGAATTATTGAAATAAAATTAACACATGTTAGTCCCGAAATGACCTAGTTTGTGTTGAGTGGACGTTAAACCCCATTTATCTCTCTCGTCCATTGGTATGGCATAATTGTGGTATTTAAAGTAGCTAAGTCTCTAACTCAATATCATCCAAAGTCTTACACGTTGAAAATACGAATTATTTGTCAATTCAAATCAACATTTATGTTGTGATCTTACCAGGAAAAGGCAGGCTTCTGATATCCAATATTTAAGACAAAATAAACATTTTACCATTGGTACACGAATCGTGTACCATAGTGCGTTTAAGCGTCATTTGCAACAAGTGACCAGAAAGAACAAGGCTAGACATATTCAACTGGAGAGCCTGCTTAATAGACTGGAATAACCAGACGCTAGAAATCGCTATAGGGTTGAGACACATGCTGTATTTCGCTGGACATAACTGATTTGTCAAAAAGGAAACAATTGAATGTAAATCAGTTTTTATACAGTCAGATTACATTATTATGTGTTTCGACCCATTTGGGTCAATTTCTAGGTCCCAAATATTAGCGATTTAGCTCCTTTAAAAATTTAAAGAAATTCAGAGAAATTAGAAAAGCTTTTCAAGATTTTTATAGTTCATATGGTAAATTAATATCAAAAGCAGGTGTCAGAACTTTAGAAATTAGACACATGAGATATAGCCATTGAGGGTTTTAAATTAGCTGGGGACAGACCTGCATATGTCACATTTAAGATCTGTTAAAAAATAATACTAGTTGTCGCTATTCAAACCTACTTCAGGTACCTAATGTTAATTCGGAAAAACATGGAAAAAATTCATTCAAATTCCAAGCAGCCAAGATTTGGAATAGCTTACCACAACATATCAGAACAACCACTAAGTTTGGTTTATTTAAAAAAGTACTGTTTACTTGGAATGGAACACAATGTGTAAGTCTATTATGTGATATACTAGTGCTAAAGTATGTATATATCAATTATTGACTGTGATATTTCCATTTAAATAGACTGTGATAAAGGGAAACTTTTAAATGTAAACTGTCAAATTTTATTAGATTTTAAAATAACTTATCAATATTTAAGTAGGAATGTGTTATGTTGTACTGTAATATATTTTAATGTAAATTTAGAATTTATTTTTTTAATTGAAATATTTATGTCGGTCTAAAAATTCCAAGGAGCTTGTGTTTTACTGTCATAATACGTACATACCAACTATAAAGATTATCTTATCTTATCTTAACACCCTCTCCCCTACAATGTAACATTAACATTTCTGTTAAAATAACAGAGTCAGGTAGCACGATTTACACAATTCCACCCAAATCCCACCTTTTTTCAACTTATATCACAATCGATATTTGATAATATACCTTTCTTTATACCAAATTGTCATTTTTAATTTAAAGTAGTTTTTCGTGTCGAAAGGCCCCTCAGAATACAATTTCCATGCAAGTTTGAAAGCAAATCCTTATTTCAACTCATTGAGTCGAGTCATAATAATAATATCAGAATAATTGATATAATTTTCAATATTTGATAATATAAGCTTACCATTCTTTATGCCAAACAAAAAAAAAAAAATTCATTCATAATGACATCGTCATTAATTCGTTTAGTAATTGTCATTGACAATTTATATCAATATTTGATAATATACCATTCTTTATGCTAAATTGTCATTTTTTATTGAAAATCGTAGCGGTTATGTGTGCCCTGTATTAAATGAGTTCAAAATGTGATTTCCAGTTTGGAAGCTGGAATCAGTGTCACTCATGTACATGTATTATACGAAATCGCTTGCTCGGAAATTTTATTTTAATGGGCCTTTTAAAGCTACGTTCCCAGAAAAGTATTTATCGGGTGGTTATTTCCAATAAAAGTATGGCAATTTTGGTATAGATATGGAAAGTACGGTATAAGCTTTTAAATATCCAATCTTACTAGAAAAATACTGGATTCCCTGAAAAACACTCATGGAGCGCATACAGGACAAAAATGTACAGGTTTCCCTAATCGACATCCCGATGATTAGGAGTGTCTGCACGCGTGATGTCGAAGTTTGCACGCAGAGATTGAGCACTTGACTTACATGTTGATAAACCTTATGAAGAGTTAGACGTACAACACTTTCTAACATAAAAATCACAGAAAAAGACGCGGGCAGTGGATAATCCGAAAATTTTAATTAGGCTTCGATATTTGTAATAAATAGTCAGCGATAAAGGCAACATCATCTTTTGTATGCAATGAATTCTCCTCAGACATCACACTCGTTGTGTCACATGACACAAACATGACCTCTTTTGATCAAGTTTTTATAGCCGGGTATTCCCTGACAATTGCAATGTTTTGAGAAGGATTTGAAGCAAAATTATGATAAATTAATTAGTTTGAATATGTTTTTAGTCCAAATATATCATAAAATCACTCAGTTTGTAGCCGGTAATGTATCTTTTTAAACGAAAACGTTACAGTTTTAAATTAAAAATGACAATTTGGTATGAAGAATGGTACATGTATATTATCAAATACCGGTACCGAGATATCGATATATTGTGGAATGAGTTGAAATAATGGTAAATAGTGCTACCAAACAGTCAGCTATTTTGCCTTTGGACTTGTACTAGGCTAGAAGGAGTAGTAGTGTACTAGAACTAGTACTTTCTTTTAAATAAAAAGGGGGATTGAGTGGCCGAATGGTTTAACACATGCAACATGTGTGTTAGAACACAAAGGTCTGTCAATGGTTAAAGCGTTGTGGTTTCGACTTCCCATTTCTGGCAAGGAATAGAGTCACCTATCCAACCAGGATCTTGAATTAAATTAGTATTTAAATTAGTGAAACAAAAAAGCCTATTGAATTTCAGCAATTTCCGTTAATTACGTCTTGAGTTATGGCCCTTGTTTCACTTTCTTGAACCTTGTGAACACTCGAATGACGCAAGTTATCATCTGATCTGTATGAAATTTATATGCTTCATTTAAATTAGTGAAACAAAGAATCCTATTGAATTTCAGCAATTTTCGTTAATTTCTTCTGGAGTTATGAACCTTGTTTCACTTTGTTGCATATTGTGAACGAGTTATCATCCGATCTGTATGAAATTTGTACGCATCATTTAAACTATTGAAACGAAGAAGCCTATTGAATTTCAGCCATTTCGGTTAATTTCTTCTAGAGTTATGGCTCTTGTTTCACTTTGTTGAATCTTGTGAACGCTCGAATGATGAAAGGTATAACTGATCTGTATGAAATTATATGCATCATTTAAATTAGGGAAATGAAGAATCCCATTGAATTTTAGCAATTTCCAATTATTACTTCTCGAGTTATGGGCCTTGTTTTACTTTGTTGAACAATGTGAACGCCTGAACGACAAGTCGTCATTTGATCTATATGAAATTTATGCATTGTTTAAATTAGTAAAACAAAAAAGGCTGTTGAATTTCAACAATTTTTGTATGTTACTTCCTGAGTTGAGGCCCTTGTTTCAGTTTTTAGCACTTTGTAAATCGTCAAAAGGACGGAAATTATAACCTGATCTGTATGAAATACTCGCATTACCTACAAAAAATTATACATGTGATAACCCTTGTTGCAAAATGTTTCATATCAAAACGCATTGAGAATGACCACAGCCAGATATTTTAGGAGGTGGTGTGTGTTCGCCAGACTAAAAAAAAATATATACCCCAAAACTAAGCTAGACTAGCTTATGAATCTTGTTGCAAAATGTTCAGCATATCCGCATGTATCAAGAATCTCCAATGCCAACCATTTTTAGTGGTGGGGTGGGGGGGGCAAAACTTGTTGCAAAATGTTTCATATCAAAACGCATTGAGAATGACCTGCCAGATATTTTAGGTGGTGAGGTGTGTCCGCCAGACTAAAAAAAAACCCAGGTACCCCAAAACTAAGCTAGACTAGCTTATTTACTAACCGCATGAATCTTGTTGCAAAATGTTCAGTATATCCGCATGTATCAAGAATCACCGATGCCAGACATTTTTAGTGGTGGGGTACCCCTGCCAGACATCCCTAATTGACCCACCCCAGCTAGACTAGCTTATTTACTAACGACATAAAACTTATTGCAAACTGTTTAGCATATATGTATCAAGAATCACTGATGCCAGACATTTTCAGTGGTGGGGTACCCCCGCCAGATGTCCCCAATTGCCCCACCCCAAAATCAAAGCTAGATTTAGCTCTTTTACTAACTGCATTAAACTTTTGCAAACTGTTCAGCATATATCCACATACATGTACATGTACATGTATCGAAAATCACTGTGACACTGATGCCAGACATTTTCAGCATATTCACATGTTCAAGAATGACCCCTGCCAGACGCCCCTAATTGTCCCACCCCAAAAGATAAGCAAGACTAGCTCATTTATTAACCGCATGAAATTTGTTCAGCATATTCACATATACAAGAATGACACTTTCAGACATCTCTAATTGCTCCACCCGCATAAAATTTGTTGAATAATGTTCAGCATATTCACATATAACATATATTAGGAACGACCACCGCCAAATGAAACGTCCCTAATTCCTCCCCCCCAAAAAAACCCCCTAAAAAAACAAAACAAAAAAACTAAGTTAAATAAAAAAAACTACCGGTAAGCTAAATTAGTCCATTTACTGACCGCAGACATGTTCATAGGTGGTGTACACCGGCAAGTTGTCCCTAATAGCTCCACCCCGAACGAACATCAATGACAGGACACCGGGTAAGTTTACTTATTATCTAAACTCTTATGTTTAATGTTTTGACACTTTTACTTAGAATTGACCAAGACATTTTCAGCGGTGGGGTATCCCTGTCAGACGCCCTTAGTATCAGTGAAAGACTAGTTTATGTCTTCTGGATCAGAATCAGGTTCACTCTTTGTAGTTTCACATCAACACATCTTCTTAATGCAAACAGCAAGGCACAGTCAATCTTCTTGACATTTTCAAGTGGGTTCTCCTGAAATAAAACTTTTCATAAATCACTCGGTGAATCAATATAGACAAACTGATGATAATATTATTGTCGAGACGAGAGACCATCCATATACTATACATCTGGTTTAGTTAAACAGAATTCATTCACACTACAATTAAGAAAGAATATTTTGTGTTTTTTTTAAAAATACAGATAGCTATGGAAGAATTTATATTACCTCATTGATTTTACCAGTAATTTGCACAAGTTTATAGTATCGTGCTTAATCGACATCTCGCTGTCCTATTTGTTCTCAGTTGTCATTGTTGTTTGTTCGGGGAAGGGGCGAGGAGGCAATTAGAGACATCTTGCAGATTTACACCACCACTGAACATGTGTGGTAGCACTTGGTCCTTCCTGATACATGTGAATATGCTGAACATTTTGCAACGAATTTCATGCGGTTAGTAAATGAGCTGGTCTAGCTTAGCTATTGGAGTGGGCCATTTGGTGGGGGTACCCCGTCACTGAAAATGTAATTGAAATATAAGTATATCTCCCAAAGATACATCTGACCTTAACTTCATGGATTATGGCCCCTGATTGTACCCAAAATCACGTTTTTAGCTTGTGGACACTCTATACATGTAGGTCACAATTTTTATCCAATTTAAAAAAACGTTTGAATATATCACTGTTACAGCGTAATGTCAGTTGAGTTCAAATTTCGTGAAAATTGGACCAAAACTGCCAGACAAAATGACTGCCCCTCGTACGCAAATAGTGAACCCTCTGGAGGCCACAATTTTGATCCGATTTTGATGAAACTTTAAATTTATGTTTAAGCCTATATCACAAAGATCTTGGTTCCTTTGGATAATCGCGCATAGCCTGGATTATGGCCCCTGATTTTTCGAAAAATCACATTTTTAGCTTGTGGATTCTCAAGAGGTCACAATTTTTTAAACGATTTTAAAAAAAACGTTTAAATATATCACCATTCCACAGTCCACCATTGCCATATTGAAGGTTGAATTCGAATTTCGGGAAAATCGAAATGAAACTGCCCGACAAAATGGCTGCTCTTTGTCCGCAAATTGTGTAAAAGTATGTAATACAAAGGTAATGAACCCTTTAGAGGTCACAATTTTTATCTGATTTTGATGAAACTTAAAATATACTCTTCAAAAAAAGTAGGGGATATTCAGAAACAATACAAAACTGCGGAAATGCACTGCTGTTTTTATTATAGGTAACCAGACCAGTGTATGTTAATAACAGGCCAATTGCCTACACATGAACATAAACAGTTCATATGGGCGGCTTATCTGACGGCCCCATTTCACTCGCAATGAGTAATAATGAGTAATTGCTCCACCAATCCTCAGACATTCAGCAATTCATCGTGGCATGCTCCTAATCAACCGTCCAATCACGATTTGGGGCAATCTGACCCACTCCTCTTGCAGTACCACAGCCAATTCTTGCGGTGTTGTTGGTTGATGTCGACGAACACGTCTCCTGATCAAATTAAACGTAACACACTAAAGCAAAGATACGCTAAACAGTAAATCTTATGCAAGAACCGATAGGAAAGCAAGTGTCAAATTTGACAATGAACCCCTCCGAAGTGTATGGCACTATTGCGTGTCGCATGTGCAGCTCAGTGGTTCTGTTGGAGCGATAAGTTCTTCATCTGTGAACATACTCTCAAAGCATGTCAAGTGTCCATGACTATTTATCATATCACAACCTGCATAGGTATTTGCATCTGAATATCCCCTACTTTTTTTGAAGAGTATATATCTTTATATCCCAAAGATCTCAGTCCATTTTGATATTTGCGCATTTCAGACCATAACTTTCTAGATTATAGACCCTGATAGTAAATTGCTTTTGTTTTTAGCTTGTTCTCTATCCATTTCTAGCAAAATGTGGGCGTATCTTGCCTGGCATCTGCTGGTTTTAGTCTGACGGACACACCCCACTGCCTAAGACAGTCTCGATACATTTTGATTCTCATAACATTTTGCAGCAGGTTTTCCGCGGTTAATAAACAAGCTAGTCTAGCCCAATGTTTGGGTCCAATTATTTTCTCCTGCTACAAAACAATGTAATAAATATTCGAAGATGGTTCAGGTTAAAATTAAACAAAAAACGACAATTATTCTTTCAGTTAGTGTATAAATTTATGCCTTTAAAAAAAAGGGATAACCTATCACCTCGGAACCCTTTAATACACGAGGCATTATAATGAACATATAATAAATTTCAGCTATGAAAATAAATATAACATTAAACTGTAACTCTTGATAATTAATTCTTTACTTGTTATAACAGGATCTTAATCTTAGTAACACAGAAGATGATGCTTTTATTAAGAGTAGAAGTGCGAGGAAAAGGAAAGCACAAGGCATACGACATCGTTTGAATTCATCAAGTAAAAAGAAGAAAATAATATCCTGTAAACTAAGTACAAGTTGTAAGTGTATTTTTATATCTCAACAATTTGATGTGACTGTTAGTAAGTAAATAATAATGATATAAACTTGCGTCATCAATAGTGCCAGGAAGGAGTAGAAGCTTATCAAATTTTAATAATTTCTGATAATTATATGTACATGTAAGTCATGATACCTGCAAAAGAATTAAAATGTATTATGGACTGCTCCAACGACTGAGGGAATATGTTTTGTTGCCTGGCATCAGACGAAGTATTTTACTAGTATTTCCATTGGCTTTATAAACCTGTCACCCCTGCCATAATATTATTACTGCCATAGTGAGCTGATCTATAACCCCTGTTCACTCAGTCTCAGTAGAATGACCCCCCAACAACATGTTTTTAGAACTTCCTGTTTAAGAATATATAGTAGAATTGTTCCACCCTATTAAAGATACATTAGTTAAGAGTTTAATAAAGATTTAATAAAGAATTGGCCATTCTTGTCTTAATAGTTCGAAAATAGATAATGTAAAATGAATAATTTGAAAATATGATTCAAATTATTCTATTGTGAGCGAATATATTAGCCACTAGAAGAATGCCCGGCTTCGCTCAGGGGTCATAACCCCGAAACCGAAAGTGGTAGACTAACGCCACCTGGCCTATGTTACTCCCCGGTCCGAGCTACCCATATACCCCAAATTTCAGACTCGGGGCCAGACCTAGTGTAGCCGCCAACCCCGAACAGACAAACAGACAGACAAACGACAGTCACAAATATTAGTATAGATTGAAGGTTTGACAAGACGTGTGTGATAATTGCAACTACCGTACTGGTTGTTCGAAGCTAAGTCTCGCTCCTCCATTTTTAAAATAATCAAGATATGGCTGAACCCGTTCTAATCTATTTAATATCGGCGAAATCCGATGCCATCGAGAGTTGATTATGGCATGGATCAGTTAATTAATGTTTAATTAATAATTTAGATAACATTTCAAGCCTAAAGAGAGACCTACAATAGGCAGATTTAGCTCTTGCATAATGTATGTTTAAAAGTATAAAACAACCTTTTATGTTTCATTATCAAACAAGATGATGACAAAGCATACTGCATCAAATATTCTTATGATTATAAAATTTGCTTATTATTAAATGTACATCTAAATGTATCAGCTTATTCTTTATTCTTTAAGCAATAGGTTCATTTTCTAAAGAGAACCTTCGTGGAAAGAACAAAAAACTTGCTGTTGATCTTCAAAAGTTAAAGATTACTCTCAGTAAACTTAACAGAGAATATGTTGCTCTTCAACAGTATAATCAGGAAGCCATGGTTACTGTGCGCAGAAAAAGAACTCAAGTAAACGATATACAAAATCGTATTAAGAATGAAACAAAGACACGAATTCAGGTATGTTATAAGCTTACTACATTTAGCGCTTGGTGTATAGTTTCAGTGCATCAATACCTTGACTAAGTTTGATAAAGAACATTTTCTGCTCAGGGTAAGCAGAGCAATAAGCAATTTAATTGGTTGAGACTTTGGATCCCAATAACTCTCCTTCTAATTGAGGTAGAATGTTCAAACTCTTGGTGTAGGCTTTCATTAGGTGAATGCCTTGATGGAGTTTGAAGATGAGCATTTTCAGCTTAGGGTAGGCAGAGATAAGCAATTTGATTGGTTGATGCTTTTGGACACGATAACTTTGGTTCTAAATAAGTGAGAGCAATTAAACTTGGTGTATAGTTTCGTCACATCACAACCTTGACCAAGTTCGATAATTAGAATTTTCTGCTTAGGGTAAGTGGAGTGATAAGCCATTTGATTGATCAAGATTTTGGAACTTGACAACTTTGATTCTAATTGAGTGTTATTGGTCAAACCTTGTTTATAATTTTATTACATCAATACTATTTAACATAGTTCGATGCTGACTTTGGAATGCAATAACTCTCCTTCTAATTGAGCTAGAATGGTCAAACTTGGGTGTCTATTTGGTGAATGCCTTGACAGTGTTTGATCATGCGCATTTTCTACTTAGGCTAAGCAGAGATAAGCAATTTGAATGGTTGAGAACATGGAACACGATAACTTTGGTTCTAATTGAGTGAGAGTGATGAAACTCTTTGAGTATAAATTCATTATATCAATACCTTGACTAGGTTCGATGATGAGGATTATATGCTTAGCTAAGTAGCGATAAGCAATTTATTGGTCGAGACTTTGGAACGGAACAACTCTGCTTTTAATTGAGGTAGAATGTTTAAACTTGATGTAGATGTTTGTTAGGTAAATGTCTTGACTGAGTCGATGACTAACATTTCCCGCTAAAGCTAAGCAGAGCTAAGCAATTTCATCGGTTGATGCTTTGGGACAAGATAACTTTGATTTTAACTGATGGAGAGTGATAAAACTTAGTGTATAGTTTCACTACCAGGTACTTCAACACCTTGACTGAGTTTGATCATGAACATTTTATGCTTACTCAATACTTTTGAAAAAGATTTAATGTGCAATTAATCAATATGTATTCATCTATTTATTTTGGGATTTTGGCGGAAGACATCAGCCATATTGTTGGCTTGTTAAAATCACAATGAGTTGACATCTCCACCATGTTATGTTGAATGATGGACCTTTCTAGACCCTTCAAATAATCACAATACTTATTATTATACAAATTTGTTCTCCATCTTACTTTTCACCTTAATTTACATTGGATATACGTAATGAGGTAACAACTGTCAAGTATCAATTAAAAGAAGGATATACATAATACAACATGTATCTTCAATAATTTCACTATTTTGTTTTTGTAGAATGGTATGAGCAAGGTACAAGATATAATTAGTAAATCTTTGACCAAAATGGTTTCTCATGCCAAATCTTCGATTACTTCTCCTCTTGATAAATCATCAGTTGATAACAGGTGAGCTCTATTAGTTTAAACAGCTTCATTCTAGAAATATTCAGCTGAACACAGAAATAAAAGTTTTTTAATGTTGTTAATAAACATTAATTTTCTGTCAGACAATTGGCAATATCTCTAAAGGTAACTCCCTTCTTAGCAATACATTAGATGGTACTGGTAGAATTTGAATGGATGCATTAATGTTGACATCACTTTTGTCATGTTATTGTCTTGACACATAAATTTAATATGTACTATCTCATATTCTTTTACAGATACAATATTGTAATTCTTTGTTTGTATTCATCTCTAGATTGAAATATTTTCTTTTAAGTATTAGATTACCTACTTATTTTTCAGAGATTCCTTGAAAACATTTGATGTTTTGACTACACAAGTTGACAAAACAGCAAAATTGAATACATTAACACAAGATTCGGAGCCTGTTCCTGAAGTGAATAAATTGGAAAGAAAAATACGGAGATCAGCCCTTGTTTATGAGCCCCCCAGATGCCATAATCAACAAAAGAAAAGAGTGGAAACTTTAGAAAAACCAACAAATAGTTTACTAATAGAACCTTCGCGTGTTTGCAATAAATTGCAGTCAAGTGTGACCCCTGGTTCATCGGATATTCACAGTAACTTAATACCAGAGACTTTCGAAGCTATACCTATGTTTGTGATTACACCAGAAGATAATGACTGTACAACGTACCCTGATGATGAAATGAACACCACCTTAGTTTGCGCTACCCAGCCAGTAAATAATTTTCAAAAGGACACCCCAATGTTGAAACCCAGAGGAAATGGAGTAAAGACTGCATTTCCTGTTAAAAAATATAATTTTGAAACGCTTGAAACTAAAACGCTTCATGAACAGTCTAGTAATTTACCAAAAGTGAATTTGAGTCCCAATCCTTCAATTAATAGTACCACAAAGAGCACCATAGAAAATACACATCAAATGAATAAGATTTTCGTCTCTTCTCGTGATAGAGAAAAAACGTGTAATTTACGAGAAACATTTATGCCCAAACAGAAAGTCAAACCTAAGCCTAAAATAAAGAAAAAAGTGGAAGAGCTACCCCCAATTGTTACCCCAAATATACCAAAAACTAAAAGCATTTTTGATTTTCATATTGAATCCCCTTTAGTGCTACCAGATAATAAATCCACTGGAGATGCCAAAAATAGTCAACAAAGTTTAAAATTAAAATGTCCATACTCTAACAAATCAGAGACTATTCCTAAAAATAGACTGAAAGTTTCTAAAATTACTAGTGAGTATCTTAAGGAGGATGGTCCTGAGAAATGTGTGCAGCATTATAGTGCTCCAGTTAAAATTAAAAGCCCAGATTCAAAATATATTGAACTTAACGGTCGCGGTAGATCTCGCAGTAGAGGTAGACCGAAGAAAGATGTGACTACTACAGCAAATGCAGTTGAAGATCCTGGTTCAAGTCAAACCTATACCATGCCTGTTAATTTGAATAGTCCAAAGAAAACAAGTTCTGATCCTAAGACAAGAGGCAGATCTCGTAGTAGAGGTAGACCTAAAAAAGATATTACTAGTAGTAGTAGTACAAAAAATGCAATTGAAGATTCTGGTTTAAGTCAAACCCATACCATGCCTGTAAAATTGAATAGTCCAGAGAAAAAGGTTTCTGATCCTAAGACAAGAGGCAGATCTCGTAGTAGAGGTAGACCGAAAAAAGATATTACTAGTACAGAAAATGCAGTTGAAGATTCTGGTTCAAGTCAAACCTATACCATGCCTGTAAAATTGAATAGTCCAGAGAAAAAAGTTTCTGATCCTAAGACAAGAGGCAGATCTCGTAGTAGAGGCAGACCGAAAAAAGATATTACTAGTACAGAAAATGCAATTGAAGATTCTGGTTCGAGTCAAACTTATACGATGCCTGTAAATTTGAGTAGTCCGGAGAAAAAAGTTTCTGATCCTAAGACAAAAGGCAGATCTCGTAGTAGAGGTAGACCGAAAAAAGATATTACTAGTACAGAAAATGCAGTTGAAGATTCTGGTTCAAGTCAAACCTATTCCATGCCTGTAAAATTGAATAGTCCAGAGAAAAAAGTTTCTGATCCTAAGACAAGAGGCAGATCTCGTAGTAGAGGTAGACCGAAAAAAGATATTACTAGTACAGAAAATGCAATTGAAGATTCTGGTTCAAGTCAAACCTATACCATGCCTGTAAAATTGAATAGTCTAGAGAAAAAAGTTTCTGATCCTAAGACAAGAGGCAGATCTCGTAGTAGAGGTAGACCGAAAAAAGATATTACAAGTACAGAAAATGCAATTGAAGATTCTGGTTCAAGTCAAACCTATACCATGCTTGTAAAATTGAATAGTCCAGAGAAAAAAGTTTCTGATCCTAAAGCAAGAGGTAGATCTCGTAGTAGAGGTAGACCACAGACAGAAATCAGTACTTTAATAGAAGATACTACTCAAGTTTATAATGCACCAGTTAAATTGAATAGTCCAGATACAAAATCTACTGATGCGAAAAGGCAAGGTAGATCACAAAGTAGAGGTAGATCAGACAAAGATATTACAACAGAAAACTCAGTTGCCGATTCAGATTCTAATCAAATTTTTGCTGTGCCTGTAAAACTGAATTCTCAAGACAACGAATCATTTGATCCAAAAATGAGAGGTAGGTCCTGCAGTACAGGAATACCCGAAATCAACAGTTCAGAAAACCCAGTTGATGAAACTAATCAAGTTTATAGTGCTTCTGTCAATGGTACTACTCAGAGTAGAGGATACAAGAAAGAAACAAATAGTCCAGACAAAAAATCATCTGATCATAATGGTCGAGGCAGACCTGAGAGCAGAAATAAACCCAGGAAAGAAACCAGCGCTTCTGAAAACTCACCTGACCTATCTAAAGATGTTTATAGTGCTTCTGTCAAGATGAACAGTCCAGATTCAAAATCTGCAAATCTCAAAGGCCAAGGTAGATCTCGAAGCAGAGGAAGACCCGAAAAAGAAACTATCAACATAGATTTACAAGAAAATTCAGTTTGTGGCCAACATGCCAAATTGAACAAACCGGACATCATTGTTAAAGAATACCTAGACGATGACCCTGAATTGAATAAAGCTTACAGTGCACTAGTTAATATGAACAGTCCAGATACAAAACCTTCAGTTGTAAAATGTCGTGGTAGATCTCAAAGTAGAGGTAGACCAAAGAAAGAAAAGATCACAAAAGATGACCTAGAAAAACTAGAAAGAGCAACTATAGACAAGTCGGTTGAAGATTTTGATTACACTGCACCTGTTAATATGATCAGTCCAGATACAAAACCTTCAGTTTTACGTAGAGGGAGATCTCGAAGTAGAGGAAGATCGAAGAATAAAATCACTGCCATAGAAAATGCTGCTAAAGAACCTGAATTCTTTTCAGATTTTAGTGCACCATTTTCATTTAGCAGTCCAAATACAAAATCCTTGACTATAAAATGTCAAGTTAATGATGAGAATAAAGGTAGATCTAAAACCATTACCAATTCAAAAAACTCTGCCAAAACTACAGAAAAGTCAATCGAAAATTCTGTATTATGTGACATTTATAGTGCTCCTATTAAAATGAACAGTCCAGTTTCAAAATCTTCTGAATTAAAGAGTCGAGGTAGATCTTGTAGTAGAGGTAGACCAAAGAAAGACATGTCTGTAGAAAGTGTAGTTAAAAGTTCTGAAACCAATGAATCTTATAGTGCACCAGTTAAACTCAGCAGTCCAGATTCAAAGTCTTCTGATTTAAAAAGTCGAGGTAGATCTCGTAGTAGAGGTAGACCAAAGAAAGACACGTCATTAGAAAGTGTAGTTAAAAGTTCGGAAACCAGTGAATCTTATAGTGTACAAGTTAAACTCTGCAGTCCAGATTTAAAGTCTTCTGATTTAAAAAGTCGAGGTAGATCTCGTAGTAGAGGTAGACCAAAGAAAGACCAGTCTGTAGAAAGTGTAGTTAAAAGTTCTGAAACCAATGAATCTTATAGTGCACCAGTTAAACTGAGCAGTCCAGATTCAAAATCTTCTGATTTAAAAAGTCGAGGTAGATCTCATAGTAGAGGTAGACCAAAAAAAGACATGTCTGTAGCAAGTGTAGTTGAAAATTCTGAAACTAGTGAATCTTATAGTGCACCAGTTAAACTGAACAGCCCGGATTCTAAATCATTGGATCTCAAGTTCCAAAGTCGAGGTAGATCCAGCAGTCGAGGTAGACCTAAGAAGGACATGGCTACTACTGAGGGTGCAGTTACAAATTCTTTGTTGAGTGAAAATCATAGTGTTCCTGTTAAAATGAATAGTCCTGATTCTATTTCCAAAAATAAAAGCTGTGGTAGATCTATTAGCAGAGGTAGACCAAATAAAGATCCTGCTACAGATTCAGCTAGTGTCCACATTATTCAATTTAATAGTCCTGCTTCAACAGTATGCACTGAATTGTCACAACAAAAGGTTCACTCAAACAATTTAAGACTATCTGTTAAAGATTTATCAAATAAAGATTCTCATTCTCAACTTCAGTCTAATGGTACACATGAAATTGAATCTGAATCCAGCAAGAAACCCAAATTTTCTCCTGCATCAAAAATTCGAAAAAGGAAAAGTGAAGATAATGAATTACCTATGCAATCAAAGAAGGCAGCCAATGAGAATAAAAATATATTATTAGAAAGTCAGAAAGATAATGTTAATTCAAATGTAGAATTAGCTAGTAAAAAGGAAAACTCAGTTTCAAAAGTTAATCCATGGGCATTAAAGGCACAGAAAGCAAGATCAAGAAGTAGTAAATTGCTTAATCTACCTACTAAACTAATTCCTTCCTTAGAACAGAGCAACTTAATAGATCACATGACATCATACCAATCTGAAATATCATCTAAAAGGGTATTGTGATTTGAACTTAATTTGTATTCTAATTACATTTTCTGATCTATGATTAATGAATTTAATTGTCTATAACTACCATAAAGTAGAAAGTTGAATTATTTCTTTTAACATTGCAAATTCTTATTCTAAAATGTCTAATTTTAATGATATTTATTACTTAATGCTATTTTTATATGCCCAAATTTAATGTGCATATTGTTGTCACCTGCATATTTCGATCTAAGTATCTTACCTTTTTTTTCGAAGTCTCTTTTCAATTTACACTACAGTTGGATTCTTTTCAGATCTGTAGGGATAGTTCATACAGTCGTAAAAAAGAATCCCATTAAAAATAAATAAATTCAATCAAACATTTATAGGAAAGAATCCTGTTTGAGGTTTGAATTGTAAATTTTGAACATGTTTTGCAGCGTTATCCTTCCAGTCACATGTTGACTGTTAAAGCTTGTGACTGAGATATAGAATTTTTTTTATAAAATTTATAAGAACTTTGTTAGATTGTTTTTAGCAAAATTTAGAATATTTTTATTGTATATTTCTGAGTCATCTCCTGCCGTTTACACCCAGATTCATAAAATCTTGTGAACATGATAAACTGTAGAGCTTTTGACCCAGTTTTTAAAACAGTGTGAGATAAGAAAGATTCCTATCTGATTTCAAAATTATTGCATCGCAAATGTTGATGTCTGTATTCTAATTTGATGTGTATGATATACTATGTACATGTATTATACTCACAATGCTTTTAAATGTTTGTTTTGATACATATTAAACTGTTTTGTTATCTCTGTTTAAGTTATCAGACGTACATATCAACCCTGATTCCCTGTCAGATGTTAAACGTATCAGTATTGATGAAATAACTGGGTAAATATTAAAATCTTAGGAGCTTGACCCTGTTTGATTTAAAGTGTTGAATTGCTGGGTTCTTCTGATGTTATTTAGATATGTAATTAGTAATTTCAGTTCTGTTCAAAAATTAAACAGTCTCCCATATCATTGAATTAATGATAAAACCAGGCCAGATTTACATAAACATGAAAGAGTATGGTGTAATATAACAGTAGTCACATTTAGCATAGTTTTTCATGGAGGAAATAGATAGACAATTGTATTAAAAACAGTGTTATTTGCGTATCTCAATTGTAAAGTCTGATATTAAGATTATTATGTTTTACTTTATAGTGAAAGAAAAAGTAGAAGAGCAGCATGTGCTGTATCTTATAAAGAACCTTCACTCAGCAGGTAATATTAATTCAATATTTTCATATACACTCAAAGCCATTAAAAACGCAATGCCAAATTCAAAGTTTATTTACTGCAATAACAACTTTTAAGAAGTGTACATAGCAATTGACAAAATTGAGATAAAAAGCATCTGTGGATAATTTCATGAAAGAATTCACTACAAATGCACAAAACTGAAACGTCAGAGAACCATGAAACAGAGCAGGGGTCAGCTGAAGTCAATATCGGGTATGTCCACCCTGAGCTCTTACACATGCCTGAAGTCGCCTTGGCATGGACTGGCACATATGTTACACTACATGCTGTGGGATTGTTTGCTAATGATTTTGGTGTGCCTGTGCCAACACTGCAACAGTTCGTGGTGGCACAGCTTGAGTTCGAACCTGTTGTCCATGTTCATCCCAAACATGTCGGGAGACAGCAGGCCATTCCATAACACGGACATGGTGATTGTTCAGAAAGTCTCTTGTCAACCTGGCAGTGTGGGGTTGGGTGTTGTCATGCTGGAAAACCATCTGTCGAAGGACGCCATGTTGGGCCAACATTGAAAGCCACACTGGATGAAGGATGGCGTCAACATAATGTTAAGTGTTGAGATTGCCTTGGACCACCACCAACTGGGACCGGAAGTTGACGTTGATAGCGACCCAAACCATGACACCACCTCCCCTGAAACGATCCCTTTCCAGCACACAGTTACAAGCAAAGCGTTCATGTCGACTGAGGTTGAATCGGGATTCATACGAGAAGATGACATTTCACCATGGTGTCTTGTGCAGATACCCCTGATTTGAGGCCCATTGCTGTCTGGCAAGTCGATGACGATGCAAAATGATTTGACCTTTGGAAAGGTCGACAGCAGCGTACCCCAAGAGTAGCCAGACACCTTCAGACTGTTTGAGGGCTGATCTGACGTTGCCGTGTTCCAACAGTTCCCCTGGCAGTAGCTGACTGGAACCTGTTGCGCAGATGCTGTAGTCGGATGTGGCGATCTTGAGCAGCGGTTGTTACAGGTGGCACTCCAGGTCTGTATTTGATCTGTATTTAAAGGGCCAGAGAGCAGGAAACGCACGTGTAAAACTTGTGACATGGGACTGCTTAAAATCGTGAAAAAAGACAAGTGTTGCGTTTGCACGAACAAAGTTCATTACCGAGAACAGATATTGGGTTTAGATTAAGAACTCCACAAAAAGAGACCCATCACAAGTTTCACCTATGTGCCATAAGATAGGAAAGCTCAAGAAAATGTTTACCAGAAATATTTCACGAATTAGGCATTGCGTTTTTAATGGCTTTGAGTGTATTATTACTTGAAAGTGTTGACGAGGCTAAAGTTAATATCCAATTTATACACAGTGTTTACGGTCATGAGACGAAGAAGCTTATTGATTTAAACACTTTCTGATAATTACTGCCAGAGTTATGGCCCTTGATCACTTTAAAATATCTTGTGGATGCTTTAGAGGCTATAATTTATACAGTGTTTAAGGTCATGAGACGAAGACGCCTGTCAATTTTCAACGATTTTCATTGATTATGACAATTGTTAAAAGTTTTGTATGCTAAATTTTAGAATAGGGCAGAACTAAAGCCAAATAGGTTGTTACTTGTAATCATATTTTACATTCCTGACAAAAGAGAAAAAATATGTGACAACCCTTGTTGACTCCCTAGAAACCTATTTTTATCCGATTTTGATGAAACTTAAAATATAATTAATCATATCATGAAGATCTGGGTTCCTTGGGCATATCGGATCGTAACTTCCTGGATTATGGCCTTATTGTACATAAAAAAAATATTTTTTTTAACTTGTTCTCTGTTAATCTCTTGCAAATTGTGAGCGTATCTTGCATGGCAACCGTTTGTTAGCTTATAGACACTCTAGAGGTCACAATTTTTATCCAATTTAGAAAAAAACATTCAAATATATTATATACTCTTAAAAAAAAGTAGAGGATATTCAGAAACAATACAAAACTGCGGAAATGCTCTGCTGTTTTTATTAGAGGTAACCAGTGTATGTTAATAACAGGTCAATTGCCTACACATGAACATAAACAGTTCATATAGGCGGCTTATCTGACAGCCCCATTTCACTCGCAGAGATACACTGTTGAAAGTGAAAATGGATGTTTTAGATTTTTGTCTTAATGAGTAATTGCTCAACCAATCAACAGACATTCAGCAATTCATCGTGGCATGCTCCTCTTGCAGTGCCACAGCCAATTATTGCAGTTGACGTTGATGAACATGTCTCCCGATCAAATTACATGTAAATGTAACACACTAAAGCAAAGATATGCTAAACAGTAAATCTTAAGCAAGAACCGATAGGAAAGCAAACATGGATAGGATAAACCGGCAAAAGGCAGTTTTCTTCAATCCTTCCTTGAAGTGTCAAATTTGACAATGAACCCCTCCCACGTGTATGGCACTATTGCGTGTGGCACATGCAGCTCAGTGGTTCTGTTTGGGCGATAAGTTCATCATCTGTGAACATACTCCCAAAGCATGTCAATTGTCTATGACTATTTATCATATCACAACCTGCATAGGTATTTGCATTTCAATATCCCCTACTTTTTTTTGAAGAGTATATATCACTGTTACACCATAATGACAGTTGCACGTATCAGACCATAGCTTGTACTCTGTCCATCTCGTGCAACTGGGCGTACATGTATCTTGCATGGCATCCGCTTGTAGCATTTGTTCAGTTGTGAAAATTAGATATTGTCTGAAAAATGCAATGACTATCAGTGGCTTTATTATATGTTTGTGTTATACCAAATATAGTAGCAGTCCATAGAGTATTACGATGTTGTTGGATTTTAATGTTATATTACTTTTTATTACATTAAGATTATTATCATTTTACAGCAAAATGAGAAGAGAAGATGTTTTAGAAAAACAAAAAGCAAGACTAAATGAACAAAGTGAGCTCTATATTATGTATTCTATTAAAGTTTAACCCTATTTTTAAAACATGTAGCTGGGTTTTTTTTTTCATTATGATTTAGAAAATCAAAAAACAAATAGTATATTCTATTAAACTGTGGAACAAAACCATAACAGTCATTTTCAGTGCTGGCATGATATATCGTTGAGTCGCAATACCTCGATTCGTGTATTAAATTGTGAGATGCTGAATCGATGTAACACAACATTTTTTTGTGTTTTTTTGTCGTTTCAGTAAGTAACCTGTAACCTATCACTCTTAATTATCCACGACACACATTATCCATAGGTACACAAACACACAATATCGCGGTATAAAACAGTTTTATTTCTTCGACATTGGTAGGACTAAAAATATCAATTATTCATTTTTCCTGTTGTTTTCTTGGTAAATATTGACCTGGTTATGAATCGTGATACAAATCATATCGTAGCACCTGAATCGCTATCCATGTCGTCTTGTGACTGCAGTGGCAATACCCAGCACTAGTAATTTTACAGATATTTGCAACTGTTCTTCAGGAAAAATTCATCTCTCATGCGTGGCATGCCATAGTAAATATAAATAACTCTACCACTTGGTTAGTTTTAAATTGAAGTTTATTGATCTAGGTATTCAGTATAAAAATTCACTTAAATGTAAGATTCAGATAAAGAGCTAACAGTTCTCGCTATAATAGTTAAAATATAGATAATGAAAAGGGAATGTGTTGAAAATTCCATTCAAATTACTTAATCTGAGCAGAATTGCCATTGGAAGAACAGTGTAGTCTTGATTGTTATCGTTACCATTGTTACGATTATTAACAAGGTCTTGATTACCCATTACTCATTTTTTATACGCCCACATTTTCATATGGATGTATATTGTCCTCGCCCCTGTAGTTCCATATTCAGACGTCCGTACGTCCGCCTGTGTGTCCGTCCACAATGTTTATCTGATTAACGAAACTTGAAATATTGGTCTATCTCCCAAAGATCTCAGTTCCTTTCGATATTGTTACAATTTTTATCTGATTTTGATGAAACTGTGTAACCCAAATTATGACTCTTGATTCTACGAAAAATTGTGTTTTTAGCTGGTGAACCGACTAGAGGTCACAATTTTTATCGGATTTAAAAAAAACGTTTGAATATATCACCGTTACACCCTAATAACAGTTGATAGGGTGACCCATGCACCTACAGAAATACAGTCAACCGCTGATAGTTCGAGACTACCACTGAAGCGTGCACATTCGCCGTGTCGAGGCCAACTTTCTGACAGTATGATACTATAAATAGCCATGGCACGTGCAATTCTCTACAAATCTATCAACTATTACAGCCGTAAAAATATTTTTGTTGACGATTTTGAATAGCAGTAAAATTAAGCTTCTTGGTTATTACAGCAGATTTAGAAATTACGTATGTTTCATTTTTTAAATCGCTTTATCATTAACTGTACCGTTAAGAGCGGCATCTTTTGGTTTAGTACAAATAATATCTCTGAAACACTCGGGTTAGACAGGAACATGATACTAGCAGTAGTTTCATTTTACTTTTACAAGCTTCTTAAAACAATTGTTGAGCTAGCTAACGTGCTCATTTCTAAATTCAATTTCTTGTTCTAGCTTTCTGTTATGTTTCGTAAAAAAGTAGTCTTGATTATCCCGACCTGTCAATCAGCCCTAGAATGGTCGATAGACTGGTTAAGCGAGACTAATTTCAAAACAAGGGCACGTAACCTATCTTTTACTCAAAAGTGTCTGGATGTTATTGACGACACATGGAACCAGTTTTCAGTCTATTATTTATAGATGATTAATGGTCATAGCTTATTAAGTACAACATGATCGTTTATTTAGTGACTATAATTGTGTGAAACTGATTTGAGGCTTGGCATATATAAAATATTGTGGCGAAATTGTCGAGATATATGGAGATATTTATTTATGGTGGGTCACCCTACAGTTGAGTACGCAAAGAGTGTAAAAAATATGGTATATTAAGGTTGTGGACTCTCTAGAGGCCACAATTTTGATCTGATTTTGATTAAACTTTAAATTTATGTTTATATCACAAAGATCTTGGTTCCTTTCGATAGTCGCGCATATTCAAACGTAACTTCCTGGATTATGGCCCCTGATTGTTCGTAAAATCACATTTTTAGCTTGTGAACCCACTAAAAGTCACAATTTGTATTCAGTTTTAAAAAAAGTTTAAATATATCACCATTACATATCAATGAAGGATGAGTTCAAATTTCGTAAAAGTCTGGCTGAAACTGCCGAACAAAATGGCCACTCCTTGTATGCAAATAGTGTAAAAGTATGTAATACCAAAGTTATGGACACTCTTGGTTCCTTTCAATATTTGCTTCCTGGATTATGCCCCTTGATTGTACGAAAAATCACGTTTTTAGCTTGTGGACCCTCTAGAAGTCACAATTTTTATCTGATTTTAAAAAACATTTAAATGTATCACCGTTACACCCTAATGACAGTTTAGTTCAAATTTTTTGAAAATCGGACCAAAACTGCCCGACAAAATGGCCGCTCCTTGTACGCAAATTGTGTAGAAGTATGTAATACGAAGGTTGTGGACCCTCTAGATGTCACAATTTTTTTTCGATTTTGATGAAACTAAAAATATATCTTTATATCCCAAAGATCTCAGTCTCTTTCGATATTCGTGCATAATATCTTGGATTACGGCCCCTGATTGTACGAAAAATCACATTTTTATTTTAGCTTGTTCTCAATCCATCTCTTGCAAAATGAAAACCAAAAGCATCCAATGATCAAGGAGTTGATTATTGGCTTAGCATGTGAATAAATGTCTAATTAATGATGTATATAATTCAAGATAAAGACCTACATTAGGCAGATTTGATGCATCTTTAAGGAAAAGATATTTGTCTCAAATTTTTATAATATATATATATATTTTCAGGAATTGATGACAACACATGATACCATGGGGTGTGATAAAGTTTACAGTTATCAAACTAAATAAAGAGTTGGGATGGTAAACCCCAGGAGCTTTGGGAAAAAGAATTGATCAAGAATATATCAAATTCAAATGTTGATGCACAAGTCTTTGATTTATTTTATGATTGGAAATTCAACTGGTTTCAGTTAGGACGTTTTATCAAGACTGTGATTCAAAAAGAGATCTGTGAAATTCAATTTCAATAAGTGAATTACCTCCCTTGATTTATCTCAAGCAATGTAAAAATACTTAATTTCTCCACTTAACTAAGTGTGTTACCTTAAATCTGTATTCAAAAACTGTATGTCACATCTCCTTGGCTATGTGAAAAACGTAACTGTAGACTTAAATTAGGGAATACCCGCAATTGCTAAAAAGTATGAATTTCCAACTTATGGAATACCCGCCACTGCCAAAAATCACAAATTTCTAACTTCGCACGCAAGTTATGTCTCGTAACTGTACAATTAAATTAGGGAATACCCGCAATTGCCAAAAAGTATGAATTTCCAACCACCCGCCACTGCCAAAAATCACAAATTTCTAACTTCGCATGCAAGTTATGTCGCCTTAAGGGCACCACTATACTCACACTAAACTTTCACTGTCTGTCTAAAATTAGCTTCGCTTGAGAACAGACACTGAGAAATATATATTCCGCTTCAATTTAATATCATTGAAAAGGTTTATTTATTTGTGTGTATGTCAGATATGAAATTGAGTAGAACCACATTACAAAATAGTATACTATTTAGGGCAGAGATCTATTCTCAAAGAAGATGGTTATCTGTGTATGGAATGCACTATACTCCGGTTAAAAGAAGGCATTATAATCTCACTTAACTTTAAGGTACCTCCCATAGGTCACTTAAAAGTTAAGGCAGCCCAGCTAACTTAATAGAAAATTTTATACTTTGAATACCACTTACCCCTAACTTTCAGAAAGTTATGTATATTTAAGTGAAATCTAGAAGTTAAGTGACTATCTTAGACTTAAGACCTCCTTTGAATAAAGACCCAACATATAGTGATTGGGAACATGATTTATACATGTACATAATATTGTAGGTTAAGCTACTGTCCAGAAATAAACCCACCAGCTATGAAAACATCCCGGACAATATTGTGAAAAGTGCTAATTAATATTATTAATTTTTATGTAAAATTCTGTAATTGATGTGACAATTGTATTCAGAATATTAAATGCTATGCCTATGTGCAGAAATTTGTGTGTTCCATATTAAACTTTGAAATTACAACTTTGTAGCGAAGCGTTTGCTTGGCAATGTTTGTTAGGATGGAGCTGGTGTGATTTGTAATCATAGAATGATTAACTAAACTTAACACTTTGTTTCATGATAACAAATGAAATGAAATAGGGTTTAACGTCCTGTTCTTCTCCAAACTGGGCTAATGAAGAACGGCATATGCCATAGTGTGCTGTGAGGGAAATTTTGCCTGGACATCGGCACTACGGCCTTCTCTTATATCGAATTCCAACTGTCAAGGAATCTTTTACGTACACGCCAATGTGTACATGGGACCTTGGTTTCTCATCCCATCCGAGTGACTAGACAGCTGTCCTTCTCGGGTCCTCCGTCCTGCATCACTGACAGGGGAGAACCACGCTGGAAAATCTTGATGAACTTTCTCGGCTAATGCAGGGATCGAACACCCGACCTCCAGGCTAGCGAGCAAGCGTCTTACCCACTTAGCCTCTGTGATCCCCTCATGATATCAAAGTATAGCTAACATAACAATAGATTCACTTACACCAGTCACAAATCTCATTTTGTGAATATAAACATTTACTCTCATATGAATGAATGGGGGATGTCTTTGGCTGGGGTTACTGTCTATGTCACAAAAATTAATCATTACCTTTTTTATACGCCCACATTGAAATGTGGTCGTATATTGTCGTCGCCCCCGTCCGTCCGGCGTCCACAATTGCTTGTGGACGCTCTAGAGGCTAAAGTTAATATTCGATTGACTTTAAATTTATATATACTATTCAAAAAAAGTAGGGGATATTTGATTTTTAAGTGTTATTAAAGTCACCTAATGAAACTGACGAAGAAACAAATGACAAAATGAAATGAAGTTCACATTCATCGATTTATTCCAAATGATCGTTAGACTAAGTAAGGCACAGACTGACCATTATAAGGGTAAAATGATACCCGGGGTCAAACAGCAAAGTTACCACAGCATCACAACCAAGTCAGTAACGGGTAAATCCTCCTCTGTTTGCCAAACAAGCATTGATCCGACGTGGCATACTCCTAATGAGACGTCTAAGGTCATTTTGGTCCAGATTGTCCCATTCCTGTTGCAACGCAGCAGCAAGTTCTTGGACATTGGCAGGACGTTGTTGACGTTGACGTAACCTCTGTCCAAGCATGTCCCAGACATGCTCGATGGGGGAGAGGTCGGGACTCAGTGCTGGCCAAGGTAATGTGGTGATGTTCTGTTGTTGGAGGTAACCTGTAACGATCCTAGCCCTGTGACATCTTGCGTTGTCATCCTGGAAGATGAAACGGCGGCCATGACGTCGTGCGAACGGCACAACATGGACTGCCAAGATGTTGTCCCGGTAGTACTGGCCTGTAACACGCCCTGCAACAACATGTAAAGCCGTTCTTCCAGCATCAGTGATGCCTCCCCACACCATAACAGAACCACCCCCCAATCGATCATGTCTGATGACGTTAACGTCTTGGAAGCGCTCGTTTCGACGATGCCACACCCTCCTACGTCTGTCCAAAAAATCAACAGTGAACCTTGACTCATCTGAAAACATCACATTGCTCCAGCGTCGATTATCCCAGTGTTGACGATCCCTACACCAACGACGTCTTGCCTGAATGTGATGATCTCTCAAACAAGGGATCACGCGAGGACGTCGGGCGCGAAGGTGACCCCTATGCAGTCGATTCCGAATCGTCTGGCCACTCTGTTTGAAGACGAGCGCTGATCTGATTTGCTGTGATGACACGATTTCTCAAGGCCAAGGTACGGATAAATCGATCCTGGGCTTGAGTTGTCGCTCTTGGTCGACCTGAGCGTGGTCTGTCCTGTACAGATTGTGTATCACGGTATCTGGACCATAGCCTGCTTATGACAGACTGAGAAACATTCATCGTCCGCGCCACAATCCGCCTGTGTTGTGCCGATCTGTAGCATGCCAAGGGCACGTAACCATTCATTTTGGGTAAGCCGACGCATATCAAAATTTGTTTTCTGGCCACTAAAACAATTAAACTGATGTTTCCACCCTGGAATTCAATGCCGCAATGACTGTAACATTCAAAGTCAGAGTCGTGCAAATCTTGGGTTGGACCCCCATGATGATTCAAAGCATCACCTGCATTCCATGCGGTAGCTATTGGTGCGTTTGGGCGTCACATGTAACTGGAAATGTTTCTTCTGTTAGGTTCTATAGTGACTTTTTTCGTAGTCATTTGCATATTTTAGTATTATTCCCCCAAAATCAAATATCCCCTACTTTTTTTGAATAGTATACAGTGTTTAAGTCCATGAAGCGAAGAAGCCTATTGATTTTCAGCGATTTCCGATAATTACTGCCAGAGTTATGGCCCTTGATCACTTCAAAAAATCTTTTGGAGGCTCTAAAGGCCAAAGTTAATATCCGATTGACTTTAAATTGATACACAGTGTTTAAAGGCCATGAGACGAAGAAGCCTATTGATTTTCAGCGATTTCCGATAATTACTGCCAGAGTTGACTTCAGATTGATACACAGAGTTTAAGAGCTTGAGACGAACAAGTATATTGATTTTCAATGAATTTTTATGACTTGAACAGCTAAATCCATGATATTAAAAGTTTTGTATACTAAACGTTAGCATGGGGCAGAACTTTATAAAAACCGAACAAATTCTAATCGTTTTCTGATAATTACTTCATGAGTTGTTACTCTTAATCAGATTTTAGTGTATTATAAATGTTTCATTACCGAAAGAAGTAAAAATATGCGACAATACTTGTTGACTGCCCGGACGATTTAGCTGCTGTGGGCGTATGTTTCGTTGCCTGGCAACCTATCTTTATAGGCTCACATGGAAATGTGGTCGTAAATTGCTGTCGCCCCTGTACGTAAGTCTGCCATCCACAATTTCTTGTGAACACTCTACAGACTACATTAATCATCTGATTGTTTTGAAATTGATATATGTTGTTTACATTAGGGAGATGAAGAAGCCTATGTAATTTCAATAATTTCCGTTAATCTCTTCTGGAGTTATGACTTTTGTTACAACTTGTGAACGCTCCAGCGACAAAAGTTATCATGCGATCTTGTATGAAATTTATATGCATCATTTAAAGTAGTGAAAAGAAGCCTTTTGAATTTCAGCAATTTCCATTTTTTTAGGTCTAGAATTATGACCCCTGTTTAAATTTGGGATCCAGCCCTGTTGTGTTAACAGATTACATCAGAATCCTGACCATCTGGTGTATTCTAATCAGTTGAATAGGCCTCTTGATTGTTTAATTTTATCTTCGTGACAATGTTTCTAAAACCAATGTATTTTAAAGAGCTGAAGAATAAGTATTTAACACGTTTTCATTCTTATACGCCACATCGTATATTGTCGTCGCCCCTGTTTGTCCGTCCACAATTTAAATTTGGGATCCAGCCCTGTTGTGTTAACAGATTACATCAGAATCCTGACCATCTGGTGTATTCTAATCAGTTGAATAGGCCTCTTGATTGTTTAATTTTATCTTCGTGACAATGTTTCTAAAACCAATGTATTTTAAAGAGCTGAAGAATAAGTATTTAACACGTTTTCATTCTTATACGCCACATCGTATATTGTCGTCGCCCCTGTTTGTCCGTCCACAATTTGTTTGTGGACACTCTACAAGTCACAATTTTTATCCGATTTCTACGAAACTTGAAATATAGGTTTATCTCCCTAAGATCTCGGTTCCTTTCGATATTGGCATGTATCGGACCGTAATGTCATGGATTACGGCCCCTGATTGTACGAAAAATCACGTTTTTAGCTTGTGGACACTCTAGAGGTCACAATTTTGATCTGATTTTGATGAAACTTGAAAAGCATGTTTATAACCCAAAGACCTTGGTTCCTTTCGATATTCGCGCAATTTTTATCCAAATTAAAAAAACGTTTGATTATATCACCGTTACACTGTATGAAGGTTGAGTTTGAATTTCGTGAAAATCGGACCAAAATTGCCAGACAAAATAGCTGCCACTTGTACGTGAATAGTGTAAAAATATGATTGTAGGAAAAATCACTTTTCTTTTTAGCTTGTTCTCTATCCATCTCTCGAAAATGTGGGTGTATCCTGCCTGGCAGCCGCTGGTGTTTTATTTGTAAAAGAACTGATCTATTCTAGCTACGAGGGCTGACTGAAAAGTTCTAAGTCTGAAAAGGACAGATTAATTAGGTTAAAAAAAAAAACTTTTCTCACCAAAAAGTACAATCATTGAATGAATTATAGACATAAGGACTGCAACTGTAGTTTTATTATTGATACCAGACCATCCTGTAAACCTACCCATTGAAATCACCAGAAATGGTCAAAATTGACTACATGGCATCAAGTACCTGCATCTGAAAGGACTAACCCAAACACAGATACAAGTTGACATGATCTCCATTTTAAGGGATGATGCCCCTCCCTATTCCACGCTAAAGTGGGCTTCGGAATTTAAGCATGGCAGAGGGAGCCTTGACGGTGACCCGCGTCCCGGAAGTCCATCAACAGCAACCATTCAAGAAAACATTACCGGGATGCATGACATGGTGATGGCTGATCGAGGATCGATTACTCGACACATTGCCGGTGTTGAAGGCATCTCTCAGGAGATAATTTAGCACATTATCGTCAGAGAGTTAAGAATGACAAAAGTTTCTGCAAGATGGGTGCCAAAACTCTTGATTGCGGATCAGAAACGTGTCAGATTCCTGACGTCGCGTGACAATCTGTGCCATTTTTAAGCAGACCCTGAAAATTATTTGGCCAGATTTGTAACAATGGATGAGACCGGTTTCCAAAAATGAAAAAGGAACTAGCCAGTTGCCATTTTCCTAGTAATGGTGACGTCATGTCAGCTGTGAACGACTTTTTAAGGGTGGTTGAAGAAAATTTCTCCCTGATCATCGTTGGCAAAAGTGTGATCACATCGAAGTTAACTATGTACAAATATAAATGGAAACCATTGACTTTGTACAGGTCTTTGACAGATAGGCTTAGAACTTTTCAGCCATGCAGCCCTCGTATAATATAAATTCGAACAAGTGGTTGCCATGCAAGATACGCCAACATTTTGCAAGAGGTGGACAGAGAACAAGCTATAAATATATTTGAAGTTTCATCAAATTCAGTTAAAAATTATGACCTCTATAGAGGGCACAACAACTAAAAACGGGATATACAGTCCGATATGCGCAAATATAGAAAGGAACCGAGATCTTTGGGTAATAAACATACATTTTAAGTTTCATCAAAATCAGATAAAAATTGTGACCTCTAGAGTGTCAACATGCTAAAAAAATATGATTTTTCATACTTAATCAGGTGCCATTATCCATGAAGTTATAGTCCGATCCGATACATCGATAGGAACTGAGATCTTTGGGACATTAACTTATATTTTAAGTTTCATTAAAATCGGATAAAAACTGTGACAAGGGTCCACAAATTGTGGATGGATGGACAGGGACGACAACAAAAAAGGTCCATATGAAAATGTGGGCATACAAACAAGCTCATAAACATTTTGTCTTTTTGTTAGATAAGTATTTAATACAAGTCCTTCTTCTACTTTTATTAGGCCTACTTCAGCATATTCTACGTCATTGATTATTAACCTCTATGGACAGCAACAACATAATTTTATATGGTATAAAATTTCAGGAACCCTGGTGGCTCAGTCAGTAAGGCTTTAGTTCACCAATAAAGTTCCTTTGGCTTTTCCAGGGAGATTTCCCTTGTAATTGGTGCCTGCCAAGGAACATCGTCTAGTTGTCCTACTGTTCTGATCCTAACCTGGGCTAATGAAGACGGGAATACGCCATACAGTGTGCTATGAGGGAAATTTTGCCCGGGCAGCGGCACTATCGCCAACTCTTATATCGAATTCCAACTGCCAAGGGATCTTTTAAGTGCATTCCAATGTATACACGGGACCTCGGTTTTTCGTCGTTTTCAGGCTCTTGAAATTCCAAACAGTATGGCTGATGTCGCCAGCCAAAATCCCAAGATAAATGGATGACACATATCAAAGATACATTATGAAAGATAAGACAAAAGGCTAGCAGCTCTCACTATAATAGTTAAAAACTAGATGATGTTAAGGAAATATACTGAAAATTTCAATCCAATATGGATGACACATATTAAAGATATATTATGGAAGATTAGACAAAAGGCTAGCAGTTCTCATTATAATAGTTAAAAACTAGATGATGTTAAGGAAATATACAGAAAATTTCAAACCAACTGCTTCACTCTAAGCCGAGAACACCTTATTTTAAATTCACTGTAGCCTCGATTGTTACTGTTACCGCTGTCCCGATAATTAAGAAAGTCTCGATTATCCATTTTTGTATTTAATCAACCAGCATTGAACAGCAGATTGGATTCAAATCCAATGAAAATCGGACACATAAGATGGCGTCAAGAGTTGATTATGGCCCTTTCATGTTAATGAATGTCTAATTAATAGTTTATATAACATCTCAGGCCTAAAGAAAGACCTGCAGTAGGCAGATTTACCTCTTGCATAATGCATGTTTAATTAATTGCACATTTATCTTTTTCAAAAGTATCGAGCAATGAAACTGATTAACTATACTTAGTCTAAGCATAAAATGTTCACTATCAAACTCAGTCAAGGTTTTGAAGTACCTGGTAGTGAAACTATACACAAAGTTTCATCACCCTCGATCAGTTACATTCAAATTCATCTTGGCCTAAAGCATCGACCAAAGAAATTGCATAGCTTTAGCGGGAAATGTTATACACTGAACTCAATCAAGACATTCACCTAAAGAACATCTACCTCAAGTTTAAACATACTACCTCAATTAAAAGCAGAGAGAGAGAAATGGGGTTTAACGTCCACTCGACACAAACTAGGTCATTTCAGGACTAACGCATGGTTCTATTTTATTTCAATAATTCGCTTCTGCGTGTTGGGGTCTTTAGCTGTGGGAGGACCCAGACAAAAGCCCACAAGGTTGGACAGGTGACCGGGGCATCGAAACCATGCCAGTTGGCTTAATGACAGACCCTATAAGGCACACGCTAACCATTCGGCCAGCAGAGTTATGTTCCAAAGTCTTGACCAATCAAATTGCTTATCGCTATTTAGCCTAAGCAGAAGATTCTGATCATCAAACTTAGTGATATAATGAATCATACTCAGTTTCATCGCTCTACTCACCCAATTAGAACCAAATTTATAGTGTTCCAAAGTCTCAACCACTCAAATTGCTCATCTCTGCTTAGCCTTTGTGGAAAATGAGCATGATCGAACTGTCAAGGCATTCAACTTAATAAACACCTACACCAATTTGGAACATTCTACCTCAATTAGGAGTGTTATTGTGTTCCAAAATCTCGATTAATCAGATTGAAGTCTCTACTTTGCCCAAGGAGAAATTGCTCAGCATCAAACTTTGTTAAGGTATTGATGTAATGAAACTATACACAAAGTTTCACCACTATCACACAATTAGAATCAATTTGTCAAGCTCCAAATTCTTGACCAATCAAACTGCTTATTGCTCTGCTTACCCAGAGTCGAAAATGCTCATTATCAAACTCAGTCAAGGTATTGATTGATGTTTCACCACTCTCACTTAATTAGAACTAAAGTTATCATGTCCCAAAGCACCAACCAATCAAATTGCTTATCTATATCTCTACTTATCCGAAGCAGAAAATGCTCATCTTCGAACTCATCAAAGCATTTACCTAACAAACACCTACATCAAGTATGAACATTCTAGTTCAATTATGTCCAAAAAAGTGTGACGGATGGACGAACAGACCCATTTCAATAGTCCCCGGCTTTCTTCGAAAGGCAGTGGAGAATAAGAGTAGGCCTCAGTGCTGCTGTCTGGGCAAAATTTCTGTCATAACACAGAAAAGTAGCATGTTAAACCCCATTTAATTTCCTACACTGATTTCAAATAGTGAATAATAATGATTAGAATACATCAGTTGCCAATGCTAATACTGGATATGAAATTGATCTGATAATTTTTAGCTCCCTCAAATATTTGGCCTTTAATATTGGCAACCAATTTCTGTCTAATATAGACTCATTCGTTTTTAAAGAGTGACCTTGTCCTCTCCCCACCCTTGACTTGTTTCCTTTACTGTAAACAAACATTGACTCTGCATTGATGATGTGACTATATGAATCAAAGAACGAGGCAGCTGCTGTAACAATTATAAAGATAGGTTGCCAGTCAACAAAATATACATCCACACTCAGCTGAGTTGTCAAAATGATATGAAATTGGGTTTAATGTCCTACTGTTCTGCAAACTGTCTAAACCGGTTTGCAAGAATCTAGAAGAACTGTGAATTTCCAATGTGTTCAAAGCTACGACCAGTGGAAACATTCCAACTCTGACCTATGTTTACAACTGTGGCAAAAACAATATCTATTAACATGTGGGCATATAAAAACTAAATACATTTATACTTTTAAAATATTATTTACATAATCATACAAAATACATATTGTGTATCTCAATAAGTTTTTTTCAAAATAGAAAATAATTTAAAACATGATTTATTAGCAGTAAAGAACATGCATATTCCAGAGATGAACTAAGAAATACAACTATAAATAAAAAAATATGCATATAGTAACATAACTTGATATAGATAAGGTGTTTGTAGGTTTGGGGCTAATACTAATCACTATGCCTTTTATGTTTGATGGAAACATTTTTCAGACATTAAAGGGAGGTAACTTTGTTAATTTACAGGTAGGACTTTTTTTTTCTTTTTCTTTTTTATATGAATTCAGTATATAATAAAAAGCAAAAAAACAAAATAACAGAAAAATTGATTTAAGCAATATCTGTTACACAGTCAGGTTTTTAGTCAGACAGCATGCAACACTTTACCCTGTACATATCTTAATCTGTATCCATCTAATTAATTACCTGTAATTGTCAAAGGGATTCTCCCACATATAAAAATATTTTTTTCTTACGATTTAAAAGTTTATTTATTATTAGTGTACATGTATCAGTATTGTATATGTCTAATTAAATCTGAAATAACTTTTTTCAAAAAATTGGTAATGCCAATTATTTACACATTTTCCTTTCATTTATGCTGGTGATTACGAAATAAAATTTTTATTTTTATGTACATGTACTTCCCTTAGAAGCAGTTAGGAAAATGTATACAGTACTTCATCCATTTACTTTCAATTAGTTACATGTCTGTTGGTTGGTAGTAAAAACAAGCCAACAGTGAGGCTGATGTCCCCCGCCAAAATACCAAAATAAATAGATGACACATTAATTTATCGCACATTTATTTTTTTTAAAGTATCAAGCAATCAAACTGATTATCAACTATACACTTAAGTTTCATCACTCTCTATCAAAGTTATCTTGTCCTAAAGCATCAACCAACAAGGCATTGACCTAATCAACACATACACCAAGTTTGAACATTCTAGCTCAATTAGGAAGAGAGTTATCGTGCCCCAAAGTATCAACCAATCAAATTGCTTATCTCTGCTTACCCTAAGCGGAAAATGCTCATCTAATCAAATTGCTTATCTCTGCTTACCCTAAGCGGAAAATGCTCATCTTCGAACTCCATCAAGGCATTGACCTAATCAACACATACACCAAGTTTGAACATTCTAGCTCAATTAGGAAGAGAGTTATCGTGCCCCAAAGTATCAACCAATCAAATTGCTTATCTCTGCTTACCCTAAGCGGAAAATGCTCATCTTCGAACTCCATCAAGGCATTGACCTAATAAACACATACACCAAGTTTGAACATTCTAGCTCAATTAAAAGTTATCGTGTCCCAAAGCATCAACCAATCAAATTGCTTATCTCTGCTTACCCTAAGCGGAAAATGCTCATCTTCGAACTCCATCAAGGCATTGACCTAATCAACACATACACCAAGTTTGAACATTCTAGCCCAATTAGGAAGAGAGTTATCGTGTCCCAAAGCATCAACCAATCAAATTGCTTATCTCTGCTTACCCTAAGCGGAAAATGCTCATCTTCGAACTCCATCAAGGCATTGACCTAATAAACACATACACCAAGTTTGAACATTCTAGCTCAATTAGGAAGAGAGTTATTGTGTCCCAAAAAGTGTGACGGACAGACAGACAGACAGACAGACAGACGGACGGACGAACCCATTTTAATAGTCCCCTGCTTTCTTCGAAAGGCGGGGGACAAAAAAAGATGGGTTACCAAAGAACAAACATAACCTCACAGCAGCTAAGTTATCCGGGGAGGCCACAAAGATTGTTCTAGGTGGCAACAATATAAGACCACATTTAAATGTGGGTGTATGAAAATCAATAAGAATAAGAGACAATCTACAATATGTTCTCTTATTATGATACAATTTTTAGGGTATATTTATGCTATTGCTAATCATCAAAAAGTATTATATGCACATTGCCACATCCGCCATAATATATATTACACATGTATTATTATTATTATGATTTTCATAAAAATATGGTACATTATTTTTATATAATTCTAAATTTACAATTGTTAAATAATTCCAAGAGTGATTATCCTTGGCCATTACTACACATTTTACAAGTTCTAGCTAGGCTACATGTCTAATTCATATTAATGAATAAATACACACTTCCACCCTTTCCAATCACACAGTATAATAAACTATATTTAAACTAGTGTCAATCAAGTGTGTGATTTACTCCAGCTTTAGCTTACATAATCAAGATGAGTATTTGACTGGATATTCTTAAGCTTTTGGCTTTAGTTCAGCATGTAGCTAATAAATTTCATATTTTAAAAGTAAAGGCACCACACTATACATTATATTGTATTTAAATACTTTTTAGTTAATATTCACTAGAGATTAATGTATGTGAAGGCACCACACTGAGTAAGCATGTTTGGACACATTACATTACATAATAGAAGTATTCCATCTTGTACAACTTGGTCAATATTCAAATATGTCATAGATCAATGTTCCGATGAGGTACTGTTATTGTTCGGGAGTAAAGCACTTACTGATGCAGGTCGTCTAGATTGAACATGACGTTGTCGAGCTAAAAATGATTGGCCACCACTAGAACTATTTGATAATCTCTGTTCAGTTGCTTGTCTATGAAGTTGAAATCCCAAGTTATACCAAGCAGAAACAGCTATTTTTTCTTCATGATCTATCACAGCCTTAGCTTTAGCCAAGTCTCTCTCGAGATATTCAACATATCTTTGACGATCTAATAACTGACTCTTAAGAGCATCAGTTTCACTTGAGCTGCTTTGTCGTGGGTCCATTATCTTTATTATGTGCCGAGCTTTGTCCAAATATTTTTTATATTTGGTTTCTAACATTTTCATTTCTTTTTCTTTGTTTGCAAAATCTGTCTCCAACTGGGTGATTTTTTGTTGTTTTTCTTCAAGAGTTTGTGCCATAGCTTTATTTTCTTGATTGTTTTCTTCCAATTGTCGGTTACAAGATTCAATTTGTTGTTCCTTTTGAAGCAATTTTTTCTTCACTTCTGCTGAACCATCATTTATGGGAGTTTGATTTTCTTGAAGGACTTCAACCTGAGCTTCCAGTTCCAAGATTCTCTGGTTTAGCAAGCGAACATCTGTTTCTAGTTCATTCTTCCTGGCATTGGTTTTTTCTAAAGCAAACTGCAAAGGTTCAGATTCTTCTTCACTTGTTGTACTCATCTTCAACATTTTATTCTCGTGGGCTAATCGTAGTAATTTTTCTTTCATTTCCATTTCACTTGGTGTTGAGGCCATACTATCAAGATTACTAACATTTGAAACATTAGGTGTCTGCATACATTTTAACTCTTCATTCAATTCTGATAAAGAATCTCTTTCTGCTATTACTCGTTCCTTCTCCCTCTGTAATAGCACCATCTTTTCCTGTGACTTTTTGTGCTCAAATTCAACTTTATCGGCCCTCTTTATTTCTTCAGATAATTTATTTTGTAGTTCATGATTCTGTCGCTGGAACCATTCTAACTGTTGTTTAACTGAGTCAAATCTTTTCACAGCCTCCTCCATTTCTATTTTTTCTTGTATATACTTTGTTATTTGCTCGCCTAGAGTTTTATTTTGACTACGAAGCACTGTTATTTCTTCTATTTTCTTTTTATATGATTCAATGGAAGATTCATATTTGGCAGCTTGGTCTGCAGCATGGCGTAAACAATCAAGTTCGTCTTTTAGAGCCAGAGCTTCTTTTGCAAGAGGCGCCAGTTCTGCATTTTTATCTTTCAGCTCTTGATAGTCTTTTGTGGCAACTTCAAATTTAATTCTATAATCATCTCGTGCTTGTTCGACATGATATAATTGTTCTTGCATTTGTTCCATCTGACTTTGTAATTTTTGAAGCCTTTTTCCTGCCGGTGTACTTGGATCATCCAGACTTTCAGCTTGATGTAATCGGTCAACCAAACGTTCATTTTCAGTTTGAAGTGAATTCTTTTCTTCTAAATATGTAGCTACCTGCATATCCAATTCATGACATCTCTGTAGTAATTCTTCTTTATTCTCTAATGCAGCATTCAGTTCTTCTACAGTCTTCTTTAATTGTTCTACAATTTCACTATCAACTTCAGGTGCCGATTGGATCTCTTTAGACATCAATTCTTGAATAGCATTCATTATCATCTGTTGTACAGATTCCTCCATTTTCATGATATTTTGAATATGGAACTGTTTTTCTGAACATCTGACAGCACATCCCAATACAAGTTGTAAAAGACGACTAGTTTCTACACTATCATGACGTTCACCTATTAAATTCACATCTGGCATTTGGAAACCTTGTATCTGTATTCCTAGTACCTCAATATTGTATTCTAACATGCCATTCAAGACTTTTTTCAGGTTGCTGACCTTTAACCTCCAATTTAAAGATTCTTCAACTTTTAATTTTTTGAACCAGGCATCATTAAAATAATCTGGTGCTATTTCTCGGAGGGCCTGAGCAACAGCAATACCATCACTTAAATCTTCTACTGTTTGATTGGGTACTGTAACCTATAACAATAAAATGTAAATATTAAAATTACAAATAAACAGATATTTTCAGCTGTTACTACGTAACACTTGGCATATTTTCAAAATTAATGGCATGGATAAGACAGAAGGTATTTATCTATTATTTGTTTAAATCATGATCAGACTCTTTACTCTGTTTCTGATTGCTCTGATTGCTTGAATACAAGAAAATGATATCTAGAAAACAAAGCTGTTTGTTTAAATTGATGACAAAATAATTAAAAAATATTATAGGTCACTGGAAAAGCTTCATAAATTTTTTTAATTTTGCAAGTAATTATGTCAACATATTATTTCCATAAGTATAACACGAACCCGAATGTCAATATTACCTGCAACAGGTAAATTTCAACGCAAGTAATTTCCGCCGTTCTCCGTGGGTAGTCGTAACTATCCGTCAATAAACAATCTGTGACGTCATTTTAGTCTTTCTGCTCATAGAAATATAAACAAGACAGACAGACAGGAAGAGTGTCATACGATAGCTCATTGATCGAGCTATCAAACGTTACATAAGTTGTTTTGATCCAGTAATATCCAACTGAGAAATCACGTTTTTCACAAAAGTACCCATTTTTTACAAGTTTTTTTCAAAGATTGAGGCCCTTTTTGGACCACTTATATTACTTCAATGCTTTTGCATTTGGATTCACACCCTAGAATTTGTATCATTTGGATGTCATATAGTTGTCCATTGTTCGGCTATCCAATGACACTTTTGACCCAGTGACATCTAGCGTAGTAATCATGTTTTTTGCAAAAGCACCGGATATTTTTTCGACTACTTCCGCTTTTTGCATCATTGTTGGGATAGTTTTATCAAGGAGCTAAATCGCTAATATTTGGGACCTAGAAATTGACCCAAATGGGTCGCAACGCATATAATAATGTAATCTGATTGTATATAAACATATTTACAATCAAAGGCCATAATCCAGGAAGTTACATTCCAATATGCATGATTAAGGAAACGAACCAAAACCTTTGTGATATAACTATAAATTTTAAGTTTTGTCAAAATCGGATCAAAATTTTGGCCTCTAGAGGGTCCACAACCTTTGCTATGACATGCTTTTACACTATTTGCGTTTGAGGAGCGGCCATTTTGTGTGGTAGTTTCAGTCCAATTTTCACGCAATTCGAACTCATCCCTTATTATGGTGTAACGGTGATATGCTTAAACGTTTTTTAAATCAGATAAAAATTGTGACCTCTAGTGGGACCACAAGGTAAAAACGCGATTCTTCGTACAATCAGGGGGCATAATCCAGGAAGTTACGGCTCAATATGCACGAATATAGACAGGAACAAGATCTTTGGTTTACAAGCCCCTAGAATTCTTTAACGATAATCCGGAAGCTACACGTTGACATGCAGTCCTTGACAAGCTTGCCATAGGTAGCAGTATTAATCTATAAATTAGTGCGTAAAAAGAAAACTTTTTTTGGAAAATATTAGAAATGGCAATGATCAAAGTGGGTAATTAAAGCTGCACAGTTCTTTAGTGGACGAGGGAAAACGTGAGTTGTCAATCAGCGATAATGGCAGCCATGTGTTGATTCGATTATTCCGACTCGCGTAAAAGACATTTAGGCTTTCACAATTATAAAAACATTAGCAGTATTACTAAATATACACAAATTTTCAACAATATTGTATTGTCAAGTTCAATACTCGCCTATGAAACAAAACTAAATTGAACAAGCAGTGTAAAATCAGTGTTATCTTTTTATTAGCGGTCTCAAGAATCGCCGATCAATTAATAAAACAAAACAACTATCGGACTCAAATAAAACGAAAAAAAACAGCTGTTACAAATATATCACACAAATGTTCAACAGTCTTTTAATTATTCATCCGAGTCTGAAATGTCGCCAAACCGAATCCGAACCGTTCTCAAGTAAAGTCCGAACCGTCGTCTAACTGAGTCCAAAAGGTTGTCTGTGTTGAGTCCGAAATGACACGGGACTGAAATGATGTGCTGCCTCTGTAAGCATGATGATGGATTTATGATTTTATTCTTGGACATATTAACTTACTACTACTGTAGTACTAGGCACAACAGATTGGTTTTTGGGTCTTCAGCCACTTCAGGAAGCAAATATAACATTAACATCATAATCATAATGACCAAGTGCATCACTATGATCATTCATAATCGATTTAGTATTACTTACACTCTGAAATGTTGAAATTTGGTTAGTGTTTGTTTATACTTTACCCTGCCTTCTCTATGCACAAAAACTGGTCTTAAAAGTAAAAATAGTGTTTGAGGCCCCACAGGGCCTCCACTGACTATCCCCTGACTCAAAATAAAACTTGTCAAAACAGAAGAGCGGAAACAATCATTTATAATTACAAATAATTCAGTTTTGAAAGCGTGAAAATATATAAATAACCTTGAATGTATTGAGCCATTTTATTAGGCTTAGGCACAGTTGAGCCCTGTCCATAATTAGACCTCAGAAAAGTAATTGGATGTCAGAAATGTTCTTTCAGACTTCACTGCCAGCAATGAAAGTTCACTCTATCTAGCATTCGGGTTACTTCTATTATAAACACCCCCCCGGAAGTATGTATTCGGTATGTATATTCTAATAAACTGAAAAGTTAACCACCGTCATTTAATAATGTTGCGTTACTGTAAAGGACATGAAAGTCAGTATTTTATGTTGAGAAATGATAGAAGCAGTCAGATTGTTTAAAATATATTCATGATAGTATGCTATTTATTGTCACTGTGTCGTAGCTGTACAAAGTTACGAGGTATAAGCGAGTGGTGATGAAGAGTGACTGGAACAAGCTCGTCTACAAAAAGATAAGGACTGGAAACATCTACTTACAAGGGAGGCTACTCCCCCCCCCCCCCCTTTCTCTAGAGAAAGCATTAATTTGCCAAAGCCTGATATTAAAGTATTAAAGATCTCATGTAATCAGAATTAATTCATTATTCTTGTAAAGTAGTACATGATTCACAGTTTTATTGTTGTTGCGATTTGATATAAGTGTAGTACTAGTGTAGAGGCAGCAGAAGGTATTAATTATTTGGATTATAATTAAACATGATTATTTTAGCGGTTGACGTTTATTCAAAAGAGATGTCTCTCACTCTCAGACTCCTTCACCTTATATTCATAAGAATCCCTTTCATTGTCTTACAGGGAATGGTAAATATCATAAAACAATGCAAATATAGTTATTTAAATAATAGCCCCAGGTGACAAATAACCATGCAGCTTTCAGCAAAGCGAAATATAGAGAATCTGTCATTTTATGTAGCCTACATGGAAATAGGACAAACTAACACTCAAATTTCTGTATTCTATATTATTTAGAGTGGGTACAGCTTCTGGCTTTCGGTCAACAAATATATACCGGTAACGAACAAGTGTGGCTAATTACTCCTTTCCATCCTTTGCTGTCTTGCAATGGAATAATTACAAAATCAGTCCACTAAATATTTTTAGGTTATTTTGCAGATTTGAAATACTTTTGGGTACTATTATATTTCAGAGCTAATCAAGGAAATGCGACCCGATGAACATAAGAAAAAGAAAAGTGCCCAGTACAGACAGAAACATGGTGGAGCAAATTCTTCTCAGAAAAATACTTCTGAACACAAAAGTAAGGCATGAATCAACTTGCTTACCTACTCACTGTACTGGTAAAAGCAAATCTTTCTGCCCACTGCTCAGTATACAATAAATTGTTAATTCTTTTCAGTTAACATTAAAGTGTCATTGCGTCATTTTAACGCAATAGGAATCCCTTACTAACTACAAAATTGTGAAAGTTTAATATTTAATAGGAATATCGATCTCAAAATGGTCCAGTATTGATAATAATAAGGATTTGTATATTGCGCTAAAATCCAGAACAAAAATATCTGCTCAAAGCGCTAAGAAAATAAGTTCATCTTTAAGAACTATCAAAATTTAAATGTTGTTAGCAGTGGGTCAGAGTTGAGAGATAAAGGTAGTGAATTTCACTTGATTGCAGCTGCGACTTCCAAGGACTTGAATCCAACTGATTTCAATTTCCATGTAGGCACAACAAAGTTAAGTTGAGACTGAGATCTAAGATTTCTTGGTGGTTGGTAAACTCTGAAAATATCATTGAAGTATGCAGGCATTTGCCCCCCCCACCATAAATCTGGTCTGCCCTGCCCTGTTTCCCCCCCCCCCCCCAATAATTTTAGAAAATAAAAAAAGTATTAGGTCGGATAGACTAGTGATCAGGCGAGAGACGGCATCGAATCAGCTCTATTTATCTCTACAATTGGTGCCTCAATACTATTAGACAGCATTTCCGACAGTCTATCTTTCAAAATTTTCTTGGGGAGGTGCCCAATACCCCCCACAAGGACTTGCTACTTTGGCGCTCACAAGGGGACTTCGTTGAAGTCGTAAGTCCGTTCGTTTGACATTTTGTTCTCTGGTTGGATAAACTAGTGATTAGTTGACGGAACGTATCTGGTCAGATCTATTTGTCTCGACGATCGGTGCCTGACTGAATACTGTCAGACAGCATTTCCAACAGTCTATTTTTCAAAATGTTGGGGGGAAGGTCCGCAAATCCGTTCGTTTGACACTGTACCTCAACGATCAGTGCCTGAAATACTGCCAGGCTGCATTTTCGGCAGCCCGTTGTTCAAAATTTTCTGGGGGAGCCCCCCCCCCTACCCCTAGTTAAAACTTCTGCCTTTGCCCCCTTAAAGTCAATTCTTTCAGCGATACAGAGCCAATAAAGTGATTTTTAATGCAGGGGTTATGCTGGATCTAACAGGAGTTTTCGTGACTAGTCGAGCTGCTGAATTTTGAAATTTGAATTAACTCATACCTGAGTTGTGTACTTATGTATAAGTACATACAATTTTGTTTGGCCATTTTGTGCATTTTCAGTATAAAAAGTATAAAAGAAGCCATAAAGACAGGAATTCATATTCTTTTTAAACATATAAAAGATCAAAGACTGTAACAAACCAGAGATTGACAAAATGCTGCTTTAACTAAAAACCCAACATAGAAAACTCACTCAAACTTTACTATTATGTCGGCGCCCCTGTCTGTGGGGGTGTATGTGTGTGTGTGTAAATTGTGTAAAAGTATGTAATATGAAGGTTGTGGACCCTCTAGACGTTACAATTTTTGTCCAATTTTTATGAAACTTAAAATATATCTTTATATTCCCAAGAAATTAAATGAAATGGGATTTAACGTCCATACTTGTTCCTTATACACTAAGAATGACCTCTATTATTTTTGTTGCATGCCCAACTCCCAGGGACAGAGCCATGCCCAATTTGTGTGTGTCTGTGTCGCTCGCCTACAGGCCACAATTCTTAACAGATTCTCTTGAAACTTTGCATACCTATTCCTTATACCCAAAGGATGATCCCTATTGTTTTTGATGAATGTCCAACCCCCAGGGGTAGAGCCACACCCATTTTTCTGTGTGTTGCCAACAGGTCTCAATTCTTAATGGATCATCTTGGAACTTGGCATGTGTATTCTATATAGCCTAAGGGCGGCAACTATTGATTTTGGTGCATGATCCTACCCCCTTGGGCAGTGCCACACCCACTTTTTTGTTCATATTTTTGTCAGTAAATACTCGGAGGGTTGCAATTATGAACATATTTTGTTCCATTTCGGCATGATCCATCATAGGGTTGTACCTATTTATACCTTTCCATGTCTAACACCCAGGGGCAGAGTCAGGGCAATTTTTGTGGTTTTTGTCTACAACCTGGAATCTTGAATGGATCATCTTGAAAATTGGCATATTTATTCCTTATACCGTAAGGACAGTAACTTTATTTTTGTTCATGCCCCACACCCAGGGGTTGTGTCAGACCCACTTTCTTGTTAATATTTAGTCATTCTTTTCATTTTAAAAAGTACCATATCAATCAAAGCAGGAATGTGGATGTATATTGCAGCTCTTGTTCTATCCACTATTATAATGATTGTTATATTTGCCAGGTAAAGGTGAAAAGCAAAAGACAAAACCGGCTAAAGATGTTAAAAAATCTGTAGCTGTGAACCCCACATCTACAACAATTTCAGATTCATCAGAGGTATTTATGTTAATTGTCTACTGCCTTTCTAAGAAAGCAAGGGACTGTTAAAATGGGTTTGTGTGTCCATCATACTTTTTGGGACAGAATGACTCTGCCTGTAATTGAGCTAGACTGATCAAACTTGGTGTAGTTGTTCATTGAATGAACATTGACTGAGTTTAATTATGCACATTTTCTGCTTAGGCTAAGTAGAGATAAACATTTTGATTGGCCAAAATTTTAGAACACAATAAATCTAATTGATTAGAAATGATAAAACTTAGTGTATAGTTTCATTATATCAATACCGTTATCAGTTCCTTAACTATTGTTTTCTGCTTGGATTATGCAGAGTGATAAACAATTGATTACTAGACACATTATATATAAAGATAAATGTGCAAGTAATTGATGAGTTATCTAATTATTTTTGGATTGAGAGGTGGGACATCAACCTCATTGTTGGCTTGTTTAATTAGAGAAACGTGTACCATTAGTAATTGTTTTGTAATTTATATAAGAAGATTGTTAATTAGAATAAGAGAATGTGTATATAAGTTTTGTATATCAAGCAGATTTCTAATGTAATTAAGTTAAATATATATTTTTCATATCAAGCAGATTGTTAGTTTATTGTTCTATATGTTAGGAAGATGATATCAATTTGCCCCAGTGTATTTTTGAAAAAAAGACATTTCTACGACGAAAGATTGTATCTAATTGGGATAGATATGAAATACCAATTGTTGAGGATAGCAATGAAGAAACGAGGGGAACTGATTTTACACAGCTTCTGAGTTTAACAAGTAAGTATACTAAAATTGTGTAATGTAAACTGTACACATGCTATCTGTATAGTTAAAGCAAAAGAAATTACCCGGTATGAAGAAAATGAAATGGCTGTCATATTTAATTTAGTCCCTTAAATGAAATGTATTTTTCAGGTGGTGCTGGCTCTCAGTTTAGACTTAAAGATGAAAAGGAATGGGAAAGTGAATTGTCTGCTACTCCTAATCAATATTTAACCCTTGATCTGGAGGATTTGTCAGACTCATTGAACTGTATTCCACTATATAAAAGATTAGGTGTGGATAAAAGTCTGTTCACAGTAAGGCATTATTCCCTTTTTTTACTACCATGTATATTTGTCAGTTGAGCCAACACTGAACTAAAATGGTCAGGTATTGTCATCACCTCTGTCTCTGGACTACAATTGCTTGTGGATGCTTTAGATATACAGTGTTTATATTCATGAGGTGATTTCTATTAAATTCTATACAGAGTTATGCCTGAATCGAAGAAACCTATTGATTTCCAACAATTTCTGATAATTACTGTCAGAGTTACCATCCTTGAACAGTTTGAAAAAGATTGCTTTTAACTTGAACAGTTAAAGTTACCATCTCATTATATGTTTTATATAACAAAGTAATAAATGTTAGCACTAGGAAGTCCTAGAAGCCAGTCACACAACAGGATGATTTTGCTGCTGTGGGTTTAATTGCCTGGCAACCTATTTTTAAATGACTTTGTGTAGGATGTTCATTCGTGTTTCCACCTGATAATTCTTGATTTGTGGCAAATTTTATTTCAGGAATCTCAGTTACAATCAATGGAAAAGGAAGCAGAAGTGAACAAACAAAAATACAAACTTACCAAAATGCAGCAGATAAATTCTAGTTCAACAAAACATGTGATACAGATTTTGAATACTGAAGAAGAGCAAGACCTCCATAAATTAATGGACGATATAGATTTAAATGATTCTAGAATGAACACTGAAGATGGTTTTCTGAGCAGTGCGAACACTAAACTTAGTAATATTGAACCAAACGAACAATTGTCTACGAAGACGGACATTAATGTGCCTTCAATACATAAACAAGAAGAAGAACTTGAATTGCTTTTATTACTCAATAATTCACCCACACCAGATCAAGCAGGTAGTTATATTAAATGATATAACCATAAACATTGTTTTGCATACTGTATTAGTGCAGTGGCTTGATTTGTTCAGAGGGCATTGTGTCTGCAGTGGTGTACCCATATTCCTGAGGCAATGTTAACAAGCATTATTAGCTCAGTAGACATGGCTTTATTAGATACCTGGGTTATTGCCCCTGTCCTATACCATTGACAAGATGGAACCATACTGGAAAATCCTGATGAACTTTTCTCGGCAATCGCAGGGATCAAACACAGGACCTCCAGGTTAGCAAGTCAATGTCTTACTCACCCAGCCATACAGACTAATCATGAGGTGGAGGTGAAGGAAGTCAGCGATGAGAAGTTGAAACATTGGGCATACTCGATTGAACGTTCCGGAATTGAATTCTCTCAATCCCAAAAATAGTGACAATCAAGAGAAAAGGGGTATTTAGGGCTACAACGCATGCGTCGACTGGATAAGTACATATCTCAACCAACCATGCAGCCAAAACCTATTCGTTGTGTTAAATTACATCACTATTCTACTCACACCACCTCCGTAGTCGGGACTGACAGAACTGTGACAGGACTGAATTCCGCATCACTCGATTGCAATTCTGTCAATTCGAGACGCTCAGGACTGTGAATCGAGCATCCCCATTGTAAGCAGTTCTTTTGATGTACTCATAATATATATTCATAACACACTATTACAATTCCCCCCCCCCCCTTTATCCAACGTTGCTAGGAGCACTCTCCAACATCAAAATGTCTACATTGGTGACTTAATGTTTTATTTTAAGATCTGTGTATATATAGGCCTATATGTGACAGAACAGAACATATTCTTTTATTCAGTTTCAGTAGCTAACAAAGAAAATACTGTAACTCAGCAAGTGGAAGAGTCTTTAATACAAACACAAACCAACTGTAAAACATCTAAAACTCAAGGTAATTACAAATCATTGATATATAATAAATGAAACTATAATTTAGCCAATTTAATGGATTTCTCTCATATTTTTAGCAATGTTGTAGGCAAAGTCTTAGGGCAGCCAGGCAGTAGCAAAGGCCTATATTCACAGACTGACAGTGATAGCACCAGGGGTTAAATGAAGGGGTTGGAATAGCCCTGTTTACACTTGGCCGCAATAAGCGGGCCATTCTCGGCATGGTACCAGGCATGACAAAGTTAATTTTAGTCCAAGTGCAAATTAGTCTCATCATCCAGATATGTTGACGCCCATGAAATTAATTTAAGAATTATCTGTCACCATTTTCGATTCAGAGGAGCTATATATGTCAACTGATAAGCTGTGATTAAATATCAGTGGTTTATTTGTTTATATTTCAAATTAATAACATCAAAACAGCTCACAATTTAAATTTATAAGTAAACTGATTTCACCAATTTGCCCTTCTACTGGTAAGTATAGTGGTAATTAATTAGAGTGGTAAGTTTACACAGTGACACTAATTAATTAAGACAGACTATAGTCCTACACCCACAGTCCAGTAACCTCCTAATACCTATCAAAACAATCAGATTTGGGAATAGTGAGGTTAAACCGCTTACTTAAACAAATTTTTATGAACTGATAGTCTGTGATGTGTGAAATCGGGGTCTCTTCTTTTCAAGAAAGTGATGTCCACAACCCATATGTTGGATGCAAAGCTTATGAGCTAGTACAGCTGTGCTATTCTCTATTACCCAGAACTATATATATATATACACTGTATATATATTATCTATACTCTCCATGAATCTATAGTGACTTGGATGGTCAATTGACCTAGTGTAATACTATTTGGTAATTTATGCAAAATTACATTAGGCGAATAAAAGTGAACCAAAGGACATGATTTATAATTTGATAAATACTTATGTTTTATTTGTCTTCTCCATTGTTCTTAAATTCATAGACAAGGAATGGAGAAATATGATGGCTGAAACAATATTGTTATCTTTATTATTATTGATTCTAAGTTCATAACCAAAAATATAGAAAGTATATGCTGGTATTTTGATACGTTAACTGAGCTATAGATTAATGAACATGTTGGTCATTTACATGTTTCTTTGTTATAAAACATATATCATATTTGTTGACCAAATTAGGTAACAATCCCTGTCGATATCCAGGTTAGGGGGCATGTCCATTCCATATTTGAAATTTAGCTGTTTTCAGTCTTTTATGTAAAAATCACAGACAAAAGAATAGGCACCTATAAAAGATGGAGTGAGGGCTAGAATAGTCAGACATGCATTCTTTAGACGACCATTTCATGATGTAGTGGTTTTCTGACTTTTACAGGAGTGGGGTTGAGAGAAAGATGTTAATTTTAAATATTAATGTGTAACTGTTGTGACATAAAAACATTTAGCAAAAACACTATCGTTGTTCCTGTTACTTATTTGATTTTGGTATCATAAGAAAAGACAGCAGTGAATTCTTAAGAAAAGAGATACAACAGTAGCCAGTCCAAAGTCAAAAAAACACTTAGACATCATGCCAAAAGAGAGGTATGTGTCAGCGGTAGAACTACACTAGTCTAGTATACTTAGAATTAACTATGACTTCCTTGTCTGCAGGTCAAAATTCGAAGAGTACAATAAGTGGATTAATATCAAGAATAACCAAAATAGTTTTTTCTTCGTTATGTTTGACAATCCAGCGCACTGATTAATCACATGACTTTTTTCTGAGTTCCATGTGTTGTCAAAAATAAAATTGCGGTACTTTAGCTGTTGTATATTGTGCAGATTGAGAACCGATTTTACACTCAGGCTCCTGCAAGTGAAGTTATTGAAAGTGACATTAATATTTTAATCAAGACTGAACAGTAACATTATTCAGATAGAAAACCTCGCTGACTTAGTATGTAGTGTGGGTGTTCAAGACTAGTTTTGTACCATTCTGTCAGGGGTATGTCAAAAATGATGTGATTGAAATATGTATGAATGATTGATAATCATATTTGTAAAAATTATAAATACAATGTGTACTACTCTCTATTTACAGTAGAAGTTGGTTTACCTGAAGAAGAAAATTTAGAAGATTGGTTAGATAGTGTATTGGACAGTTAGCATTATATAGTTAACAGATGTAAATAGTGCAATAAAATTTATTCTATAAAAATAATCATTGAGTTCCTTCTTTGAAGAAGTTTAATCTTCTATACTTATATTTGTAACTGTCGTTTGTCTGTCTGTCTGTTCGGGGTTGGCGGCTACACTAGGTCTGCCCCGAGTCTGAAATTTGGGGTATAGGGGTAGCTCGGACCGGGGAGTAACATAGGTCAGGTGGCGTTAGTCTACCACTTCCGGTTTCGGAGTTATGACCCCCGAGCGAAGCAGGGTATCCTGCTAGTTATATTTAAAGTATATCTTAAATATTTGCACATTTTGGTGTTTCTGAATACTAAGAAATGTTGGAATATGTACATGAATCATTTGCAGAAAAAATTATTAAAAATGAAAATTGGTGGCAATACATGTATTGCAAGACCTTTGTAATACATGTACATATTCTAAGAACAGTTAAGAGAGTTGCCGGAGTATTCTAGAGTAGGCCAAAACTACAGGTAGATTTATGCTGTCTACTTTTATAAAAGAAAATGTTCCAGAAACATACAAGAATGACATGAAAATATACAGAGTACACTTCAAGAGACATTTGTATGATTTGTCTTTTTCCCCCTCGAAATATATGTTTCATATATCCATACTCTTATGAAACTGCTTTTAATTTGAAGGGCAGAGATTATTGCTTTTGTCGAAGTGAATAAACCCATCTAAGTAGCTTATATTATATGGCATTCAAAAAATTTTACAGGGAAATACACCACTCTAAGTCTTTTTGTCCAATGGAAATCCAATCAAGTTTTAAAAGGTAGCCACGAAACAGGGAGGTGTTTGGTAATGGGTTCATATTTCTGATGTTTGGTGTAATACTAGTTTACCGTACAATTTCTGCTATAGTTCTGCCAAACTGTGGCCAGTGCCGGAAGGCGCGGCATTTTCTAACAAAGATGAAAATAACAATTTAATTTGTTTTTCCAGTTCAAGTTACGTGTGCGAGTTCAGTTTAAGCAAACTTGCATCGATTGACCTCACGAGTTTGTGTTTGCACGTGTTTTTCAGGTTTTTCATCTTTATATGCTCAAAAGTCACGAGATCCACGTGACTTTACAATTTTATGAAATTAAAGGCTACTTACTATCGTTAGAAACACTTTAAAATTTATTTGACTTACCAGAAAAAAAAAATTGTTGAAATTCATCAGTGTCAAGTTTTTAATTTGGCTGAGTATATAATGTCTGGACATAGGAGTATACGATAACACCAAATACATGCCTATCCGGGTGGTCCAGGGCCACATGGGGCGGCCCTGAAAAGGAGGGCACAATCTGTGTTTTGAACATTTAAAAAACCAAATTCTACCCGCAAAATACGAAAATAACTCCCACAAAACTAGGTAATATACAGTTTAATCCTTTAGTAGTGTGCCTGGTCGCAACCTCCGACAGCACAGGCGCAACATACTGTACATTCTAAGCCATCCCTACAGCAGTTAAAAGCAAGCGTACTACTTGGCGTGTCACTCTTGCATCCACATCTGATGAGTCACAGGAGCAAGTTGCCTGGTTGTAATGTTATCAATTTAGTGACTTAATCTAGCAATACAGTTCCAGATCAAGTTCCGGCGGATTACGATCTTCCCGTGAACACCACACAATAGCATGGTAGTGGCATCTTTTTACGTTCCCTGCAAATACATCATTCGTTGGAGCACGACTACATGGTTTAGGTGGGGATGATGATGATATATTTCCAGTTGTGGATGCCTATACCCGCCAGCGTGTTTCAGGCATCGATTTGCATGAGCCCTGTCAATAACAAGCTGAGAAGTATCGCGTTACAATGGAATCACCAATCAAAGAAAGAACAACTGTTGATATTTTGTCAAACTACGGAGAAACACATGTCAATTATCATTGTGTGTGTGAGTTAGTTGTATTTAACGTCCGCTTCCACCGAGGTGATATCATTGAAATCCTGCCAGCTTATATACTCTTACTCGATATGACACGGTTACATGCTGCTACGTCGTGGGGAAAGGAACAGCTTTTGAAATGGTGAGAGCTTGATTGTATTCTCTCTTCCTCGTCGGATTAAATAGTGCTTACACGGATCACTGTATTTATGTCAGATTGTTATGGACAGAGTTCTAGCAAATAGGTGCATGAAACACACTGGAGGGTATGGTGGGCATCCAAATCTGGAAATGTATCGTCATCATCCCCACCAAACCATGTTATCTTGCTCAATGAATGGTGTGACCACGTTGTTTCTGGTCTTATAAAATTAAGACTAAGTCAAGGTAACCTCTATGTGATTTATTAAACATAGATAAATCAACAAATATTTACAAGAAAGAGAGAGATCCGATCTGTTCTAAACCATAGCTCACTCTATGTTTGAAATACAATTCTACAAAATATATAATAGACAATTATGACACATTGACAAATAAACTATAAAATATTGCTTCTAAGTTGAAATCTAATACAATGGTTCATTCTATGGAGAGTTTGGTGACCAATACTTAATCCCTCCATTGTTTAGGCTGTAATGCTTCGTCTAAATTATATCTGGCGTAATAGCCAGTGGCTAGTTTAATAAGGTTCTATAACCCAGGAGCCAGTTGATATTTGGTTGTAAAGAGTTAATTGACTATGTGTTTTTATAAGAACAATAAATCACTCATGCCAGTGTCTGTTTAATTCAACACGTATCTTACTTGAGAAATAAATAGGTAAATAAAATATATTTAAAATATATTAATATTGTCCAAGATATCTTTACCAAAATGGGAAAAGTAACATTGGTTTTTAATATATAGAAATCATATGACTTAAGTCGGTCATAATGGAATGATACATTTGCAGTGAACGTTACGAGCTCATCACCGAGCTATTGTGTGGTGTTCACTGGAAGATGGTAATCCGTCGGAACTTGATCCGGAACTGTATTGCTGGGTGAAGGATTCTAAATTGAGAACATTACAACTGACCAACTTCCTCCGGGGTCTGTCACGTGGCTCATCTGATGCGGATGCAAGAGTGACACCCCTGCAGTACGCTTGCTTGTAGATGCACTAGGGATGGCTTAGAATGTACAGTATTTTGCGCTTGTGTTGTCGTAGGTTGCAGCCAGAAACACGATCAAAGGATTAAACTAAATATTGCCTAGTTTTGAGGGGTTTATTTTTGTCTTTTTGTGGGTAGAATTTGGTTGTTCAACTGGTAAAAAACCCAGCTTGTGCCCCCATTTTCAGGGCCGGTCCATGTGGCCCTGGAGCCCCTGATAGGCATGTACATGTATGTGGTTTTATTGTATCACTCATATGCTCCTTGGTCCAGAAATATAGTCTGTCTCTAGATATAGTTTGGTTTGATGAAATAATGGCCCTCAACCGCCTCTTATAACCAGTTAATTAAAGGGCCATATTGTCTGGTATTTTAGATTTTAATATCATCTAATCACCCCACAACATAATGAATGATTTCAGTGTATTCCCTGACCCCTGGAACATACACATTTAGACACCAAAATTATCATCCTAGACTAAATAGAATGGGAATAGGGGATTATTTGAAATGGCGGCCGTCTCGGACGCCATCTTGAATTTCTCAAAACGATCAAGGGTGACCGAGATTCACCCGGCAGATTCAGAAAGAGGACACCATAGGCTACTAAAATCACTCATAAAAAAACAAACTTAGTAGACAATTTCCAGGTTCACTCAAAATATTGGGTTAAATTCCGGGAACTAACGTATTGATTTTGAATTAATTTATGTAGTCAGGTAGCGAGGAAATACACCCACACAGCAGCTAAGTGTCCCACTGAAGACTGGCTTGCTTCTATCGCGTTTAAAGACCAATTGTTGCGGGCAGTCTGATATGGTGACATAATACGACCACCCAAATATTTCGTAAATTAAGAAGTAAATGGGAATGTAACACTCATATGTGTGGTATAATTGGATTTTCGATGGGACAGGCGTGGTATCTGTTTCCCTAGAAATGGACAAATATACCTATGTTTACACGTTTACCCCAAGCCAACCCTACTAAACTTTATTTCTGATTTCCCACCAGGGCTGTAACTCGCTCAGAGCAACGAGGAGGGCGAGAGGTGTTCTCAGGGGTGCTGTAAAATTGATGGACAATGTATATCTAGTTTTTTTACGGTCGAAAATTTTTTCACAGGGGGAGGGGGGGGCGAAACTTTTTGCAGACCCCCCCCCCCCCTTAGTTACGGGCCTGCTTCCCACGTCCTATTATACATCGTTCATGGTGTGGTTTTTTGCAGACAAAACAGTCCGAGTATTTAGAATGGCGCGAAAACGGCTATACAATGCATGTATGCATGTAGGCAATGTAACTTATTAAAAGATTAATTTATTATTAATTCGATCTATCCAAACCCCGCGAAAAAAAAGGACTTCCCAACCCTATTTTGGGGCCAAGTGACCAAAGGTATTCATTTGTTTGTCTACGACCAGTGACCCGTACGTAGACTCAGTGCAGGTAGCACAGAGTAATTTTTACTCTATGCAGGTAGTTAGCTCGCAATATTAACCCTTTTCCTTCTGCAAATTAAATTCTAGAATGTTGTTTTGAAGTATTATAAAAATAAAAATAAAGGTATTTGAAGTATATCTAGATACAAAATATTCCCTCTTTAGTGTGTAAATGGGAAAATAAAATGAGTAAAAGGCGCCATTCTGCCCAGACCAGTTTCCCTACAACGTTTTAAACAATGCACACGCCATTAACTTAAGCCAATGATCGACGCCGTATGAACTTGAAGTGACGTCACATGTAGACGACATACTTGAACTAACAATAGGTCCGGCATACAGAGGTATAAGAAGGCTGTCGCAATACCTATGTGAAATCACCTCGATGGACGCGGACGTAAAATATACTAATGTCCAAAAGAAAGTATACACTGTGCATTTCGTCCTGCTTCAAACAAGTTCGTTTTTCCATTGTAGGCCTATGCGGTATTTGGGTACGATGTCCATTTGTTTTGCCTTTTATTTGCTTAGAAATATTGAGTTTGGACACACGAGACATGTTCAGTGTAGTTTTATCATATTTTGTTGATTTAAACAAAACATAGTCATATTTTAGTGTGTATACTTTCTTTTGGACATTAGTAATAGTATGCAACTAACTCTTGCATTGACGAGGCCGAAAAACACCGGAAAAACACTGAAGAACTTTTTTTGCCAACAACTCGTGGATCGGAACTGGTTAGCGAGCTTGCGCCTCTGTTACGAGACTTACGCTGTCTTGCTACAATTCTAAAAGTTTTAGGTAGTTCTCTGTGGGCAGAATGCCAGTGGGTCAGTACTATTGGCAAACGACATCACTCAGTGGGTCAGTACAAAGCTCTGTATAGGGCTTTGGGTCGGTATTGACAAACGACGTCACTTATATAGGGCGTTGGGTCAGTAGGCCAATCGACGTCATAGAAACGTTTTGGGTCGGTATTGACAAACGACGTCACCCCCTATGCGTTGGGTCAGGACAGTAGGCCAATAGAAGTCATAGAAAAAAGATATGGCATAGAATAACTAATATGACGTCATTTACTAGGTTAGCATGACCTGACTATAGTGTACAGTTGTGTGCAAATGATCGACGCCTTACTTACTGAGCCTTTAAGTTTTACCATACGTGTGTATATGAAATGAAATGAAATGTAATGGGGTTTAACGTTCTGCTAATGAACTTGAAGAGAGGCTTACGCCATGCTGTGTGTTATGACTATGAGATAAATTTTTACAGGACAGCGGCGCTACTTTCTATAGTATACTTCTAATCTAAGTTCTACTTCTACTAGGCTTAATATTTTCACGGCAAAATAACAACATCAATATTGATTGAAACTGACCAAGGGCAATAATGAATTCTAATTCGTGTTTTAATTTCGAATATTATGGAAAATATTGAGTTAGAGAGTGATCACGGTGGCTAAGATCAGTGTGACCAATAATGAATTCTAATTCGTGTTTTAATTTCGAATAATATGGAAAATATTGAGTTAGAGAGTGGTCACGGTGGCTAAGTCAGTGTCAATTAAGTGTGTACGACGCTGGCTCGCTAGCCTGGAGATCGGGTGTTCGATCCCCGCATTGGCCGAGAAAGTTCATCCAGATTTTCCGGCGTGGTTCCCCCTTGTCAGTGATGCTGGACGGAGGCCTGGCAAGGACAGCTATCTAGTTGTTCGTATCGGACCAAAAACCGAGGTCCCGTGTACACATTGGCTTGCACGTAAAAGATCCATGGACAGTTGGAATTCCATATAGATAGAGTACTGAGTAGGCCTTAGTGCCGCTGTCCGGGCAAAATTTCTCTCATCTAGCACACTGTATGGCGTATGCCCGTCATCATTAGCCCAGTTCGGGGCAGAAGTACAGTAGGAGGTTAAACCCCAATTCATTTCCTTTATAAAGAAACTATTGCCCCTTTGGCTTTCCGTAGTACGGAAGCCACCAAGGAGTTATCCTATTATATTTACCGTAAGGTGTCAGGGATTACAACATGGCAGACGGAGTAGCCTACAACTTTTAATAGAATGAAAATTATATTTTACTAAACGGCCCGTTGTAAGTATTCCAGTAACATTGATTTTGACTCCGAAATGATTTAGACACAGTTCTTGTTGTTGTAATTAGAATTAGATTTAAAAACACAGTGGTATCCACGATCGTTGACGTCAATATTTTTGACATTTTAGATCTCTTTAAAAATCGTAAACAAATGAATGAGGTAAACATAAGTGTAAACATAAGTGTAGATATTAATACTCACTGCCGCTAGTCCTACCACATTCACATAAAATATATGACAATTATACGATATTTTTTATCACAAAATTTACCTGGCTATGTTACCAATGTGTACATTTTATATTTTACCTTGGTAAATTACTTTTTAAATAATTACAACTTTTCAGATGATTTTATTAAAGGCTCAATACCACTCTTGTTGTAATGGTGCCTGTCATTTTGTCCTGACATTTTGTCAGGTACATCTAAACCGTTATTTCCAGGCCTGGATGTACATCAATATCCCAAAAAATATTTTCTAACACATTCTAAGTAATTTCCCTTTGAAGATAGCGTTTTTGGCTTTCTGTATAAACTGTGTTATAACTATGTGATTGACATAGATAGAATTAAAGGCTCTATCGCATCATCTAAAATAATGATTCATAAAAAAATTCATACAAAAGTATTTGGACTTTGTATCTCAGAAAGCATGACTGTTTTAACCACTAGGGTATGGGCTTCAAATTAGCTATGCTGGAGCTTACTCTCAGACATGATCATCCTTTCTGGCGAGTTTCTTACTTTTTTTAAGGATACATTCAACTTATTCTGCTATATCACCCTCAGTAGTGGAAGTAGATGTTAAACAATACTGATCAAATGAACTCAAAAGTATAAGTTGGATGTCTTGTTCAGAATTCTTTAGAGTGAATAAATAAAGTTAGTTTTCAAATTGTGTCCTGTAATGTAAACCAAATCGACAACAGGTGATGAAACAGACATAATATGACTAATGCTAGCATATCTAAGAGAATAACAACTGTTTCAATTTTTAAATGGCGATATATGGAGTTACTGGCCATTTCCTCAAAAATATCACTGCTATAATAGTTTTAAAAACAAACCTTAAAGCTACGTTCTTAGAAAAGTATTTATTGTGTGGTTATTTCCAATAAAAGTATGGCAATTTTGGTATATATGGAAAGTAGAAATATCCAATCTTACTAGAAAAATACTGGATTCCATGAAAAACACTCATGGAGCGCATACAGGACAAAAATGTAAGGGTTTCCCTAATCGACAGCCCGATGATTAGGAGTGTCTGCATGCGTGACGTCGAAGGTTGCACGTGGAGATTGAGCACTTGATGTACAAAAATGTAAGGGTTTCCCTAATCGACAGCCCGATGATTAGGAGTGTCTGCATGCGTGACGTCTAAGGTTGCACGTGGAGATTGAGCGCTTGATGTACATGTTGATAAACTTTATGAAGAGTTAGATGTACAACACTTTCTGAGATAAAAATCACGGAAAAAGTCGCAGGCAGTGGATAATCCGATAATTTAATTAGGATTCGATATTTGTAATAAACAGTCGGCGATTAAAGACAACATCGTCTTGTGTATTCAATGAATTCTCCTCCGACTTCGCCTCTGTTGCTAAGTACCGAGAGAGGCACGTCACGTGACACAAACATGACCTATTTTGATCTATTTTTTATAGCCAGGGTATTCCCCGACAATTGCAGTGTTTTGAGAAGGATTTGAAGCAAAATTATGATAAATTAATTAGTTTGAATATGTTTTTAGTCCAAATATATCATCAAATCACCCGGTTTGTACCCGGGAATGTATCTTTAAAGTGAGAGAGAGAGGGGGTTTAACTTCCACTCGACACAAACTAGGTCATTTCGGGACCCGGAGAAAACCCATAAGGTTGGACAGGTGACCCTACTCCTTGTCACGTATAACCGGGGAATCGAAACCCCGCCAGTTGACTCAATGACAGACTTTATGATACAGCGCGCACGTGCTAACCATTCGGCCATCCAACCCCCTATCTTTAAAGTAGCTAAGTCTATTAACTCATTCAATATCATCCAAAGTCTTCGACATTGAAAACACAAATTATTTGTAAATTTAAATCAACATTAATGTTGTGATCTTACTGGGAAAAGATGGGCTTCTAATATCCAATATGTAAGACAAAATAAACAATTTACCATTGATACACGAATCGTGTACCATAATGCGTTTTCAGCACCATTTGTAAAAAGGGACTCAAAGAGCAAGGCTAGACATATTTCACAAGTGTCGCCATATTCTTATCTGGAGGGCATGCACAGTAAATACTAACAGTGTAGACTGGAATAACTAGACACTGAGATTGCCATTTGATTGATACTTCTGGGCCTGGCGTATTTTGCCGAACACAACTGATTTGAAATTAGAGTAAAAACGGAAACTGTTGAATGTAAATACATTCATATTACATTATTATATGCGTTGCGACCCATTTGTGTCAATTTTAGGTCCGAAATATTAGCGATTTAGCTCCTTTAAAAGCTCTGTCCTGTAAGGCTTTCACTTAACTTCTGGAATAAGACTTAATACTATATAGTCCCATATTTATTCCTTATGGTTAACACTAACAAAATTCTTAGAAAATGTGTTGAAAATGTTTGATGTTTTGTTGCTATTTATGAATTTTTTATCGTTTCACGTAGGATAAAAAAACATGGTGTTATGGTGTTGACTTTAAGCTGGAATATAAATCAAAAATAGAGTACAAAACCATATTTAATGAAAAGTATGCTACCGCCTAAAACATACTATCCAAAAATTATTCTGAATGCACAATCCTAAAATGTGTTATGGCCGTTTGAAACTTACATTAGAATCTATCGATTTCCCACAGCCCTCTTTATGCAATATTTTTGATGGATAATATATTATATACTCTTCAAAAAAAGTAGGGGATAATTGAAATGCAAATACCTATGCAGGTTGTGATAAATAGTCATGGACACTTGACATGCTTTGAGAGTATGTTCACAGATAAAGAACTTATCGCCCCAACAGAACCACAGAGCTGCACCTGCGACATGCAATAGCGCCATACACGTGGGAGGGGTTCATTGTCAAATTTGACACTTCAAGGAAGGGTTGATGAAAACTGCCGCTTGCTGGTTTATCCTATCCATGTTTGCTTTCCTATCATTTCTTGCATAAGATTTACTGTCAAATTTGACACTTCAAGGAAGGATTGAAGAAAACTGCCTCTTGCCGGTTTATCCTATCCATGTTTGCTTTCCTATCGGTTTTTGCATAAGATTTACTGTTTAGCGTATCTTTGCTTTAGTGTGTTTAATTTGATCGGGAAATATGTTCATCAACGTCAACCGACAACACTGCAAGAATTGGCCGTGGCACTGCAAGAGGAGTGGGTCAGATTGCCCCAAATGTCTGAGGATTGGTGGAGCAATTATACATTATTAAGACAAAATATTCAAAAATGTCCATTTTCACTTTTGTTGGTGTATCTCTTTGCAAGTGAAATAGGGTCGTCAGATAAGCCGCCCATATGAACTGTTTATGTTTATGTGTAGGCAATTGGCCTGTTATTAACATACACTGGTTACCTCTAATAAAAACAGCAGTGCATTTCCGCAGTTTTGTATTGTTTCTGAATATCCCCTACTTTGGTATCAAGATTCAAGATGTTATCTAATCGAACTTAACCCTTAGACGGCTAAAAAAAAATACCCAAAACTAGTTCGTCTTATTTAATGAGAGCACCCAAAACTGCCTGATTCACCTGAATATTTTGGGTGGTTTAATGTGGTCTAGGAAACTGTAGTTGCATGAAATTCATGCTGTCTAGAGTTACACCAGTATGAGATATATAACTTTTCTCTAATTTTGTTCAGGGAACTAGGGTAGTCAATTTTTACATGTCCCAAGGACTAAAGGGTTAAACCTGTATTTCCACTGCCAAAGGTTCAGTGGGTAATAGCTGACTGTCTACTGTTGTGAGTAAACATCTAGTTTTTTTGCATCTTTCAACTTGCAGGTGAATGGGTTGGAAAATATTCAATTATAGCACAGTCATTTGAGACACTGGAATAGATCTATACAGTATGCCAATAGATTTTATTGAGTTTTTGAATTGTTCAATACTGTATCACACATTCTGTCATATAGCTTCCCAAAATATTTTGAGAAAAACATTTATTATTGGACATATGATTACGGTTAAACAACTTTACATAGTGTCTCAATGACATAGTGTCTCAATGACACCCATAGGCTTTTATGCAGACTTATGTTCACAGAAAGGTAGGCACTAGGCAGGATCCATAAATCATTACTTAAAACCAAATTATTGATTATCATTCAGGAATCTTCCTTGTCCAACTCTTCTAGTAGTTGTCGTGGCATTCACATATTTTTCAATTGATAAGATATCAGCTGCACTGTTATGATAGAAAGACAAACTAGTTGATTTCCTATTATTATGTAATATAATTAATGGTAGATGTAGTATTTGTTTATGTCAACTATAGAGTATCAGACCGATATGAACAAACATCTTCGAAATGTGCCGACATGGATGGAGGATCTGTTTGGGGCAAATGTAGGTTATCAGTATTTTCTATTTTTTTCTGAATTTGATAAAAAAAAAGGTACAATTACTTTCTTAATTTTCAAACTAATTGTCTATTTATAGAATTTACAAATATAGTAAAATTAGTTGATTTGGGGAGTACCTGAGTGTCTGTTCATTCAAATGGAAATGATTGTTACTGTTTAGATTTGATAATAACTAATTGCTAGATATAGGTGGAGAATGATTCACATGTTTGTTGACTTTTTATATCACAGTTGGCCTGGAACCACAATAAATATGGTGTATATCAGTTTTTCAGTAGCATATTGAGGATACATGTATTTATTGAGGAGTCATATTGTGGTGGTAGAAATTCATCTTTATGTATTTATTTATAAATAGGGATGCGCAATAGATAGTAAATGTTACTATAAAATTCATACCTGTTTATTTTGGAATCACAGTGGCTCAGTGTGTAAGACGTTGGCTTGCTAACCAGGAGGTCCCCTGTTCGATCCCTGCGTTGGCCATGTAAGTTCATCAGGATTTTCTGGCACGGTTCCCCCTTGTCGGTTGTGTGAGATGAAGGGCCTGGCAGAGGACAACCTATAGTCATTCGGATGTGACAAAATAAAAACCAAGGTTCTGTGTACAAATTCGCATGCATGTTAATTTGATGTAAGACTAAGAGTAGGCTGTAGCGCTGCTGTCCGGCTAAAGTTCCCTCATAGTGCATGGGGTATGCATGCCTTCATTAGCCCAGTCAGAGCCGAACAGTAGGACGTTACACCCCATTTCATCATCATCCATCCATACCTGACCTCTCAGATAGTTACAGTTGCCTTGGACATGATACATCATATGCCATTGTAGTTCTTCTAACGAAATCTTATTGCAGGGAAAGTTCATACTAAGGCTATCTGTACATAAGCTAAAAGGATCTGAAGTTACTGGTGGCTAATTAAATTTCAATTTTAGTCTGCACTTCGCCTTATTGTCCTCTAATATAAGATCTGAACAATGTTATTTTAGAGATTCTGTCTGGATTATTGCCCTCATTGTTAAAATTATTTGACGTTGGACCTCTCATGACGTCAAATGGCAGACTAGCGTCTTTCAAGGAACGACCACCATCAAGATCGGTCGCATTACTTCTGTTATGACTTTCTTGTAAATCATTTTTCATTTTGAGTGAAGTCTGTATCATTACAGACTCTGGGCTGTACAGCACATTCACTTCATTTGATATTTGTTGTTTATTTCTTGCATTGTATATGTATTCTGTCTTGTCCACAGGTTCATCTTGTAGATTTTGTTTTGCGTGTAGTGCTGTCCTCATGGCACTTACTATTAGTAATTTAGAAGATTACAACAAAAATTATGTAGATAAGATAATCTCTTGAGTTCAATCTCTGTGAGTACATATGAAACATTTAAAAATATTACAGGAAAATAAAGATGGTGGTGTATGAAACTAATGTAAATTTCAAAGTGACATAACTTAAGTTTGTATTGATATTAACTTGTTTGTGCATATTTCATTAAATTACTATATTAATATATTTTTTTTAGAAATTTTCAAATAATTTTAATGTTTACCGTAACACAACGACTCCTTGTTTTGCAAGTCTTCATTTTGGCTTCAAATGTTGTAAACTATTATTTTAACTTTCTAGGCCATTGGATAGCAGAGATTTAAAAATTTAATGATAAAAGTCTTGATTGTCCAGTACCATTGCTAAATAATAAACAATCAAAGCTACAAACATGTACATCTTTCAACGTTCATAACTTAGTTCAAAATAAAGTAATTTGAATAAAATTTTCAATATATTCATTTCCCATTATCTATTTTAGAGCTATTATTATTATAGCAAGAATGGTCAACTTTTTATCTGAATCTCACATAATGCATCTTTAACTATCAGATATTTCTGTCAGTTTCTGCTGTTATTTTCTTACCCACTTTTTTTTTAAATAGCGGTGCTTAAGTTACACAATTACAACAATCTCTGACTCTTTATATGTAGACAGTACCTAAGCTTGTGTCTTTTTATAATAAAAACAAGTTGTTTCAATTATTTTCTACACCAGTGTGTGATTAATAGATTACTCAAAATATACTTATAAAATCATCCGATCTCATTGAAATTTTTTTGCATTGTTCAGCATAATAAAATGAAAAATGTTCCATCAATTCCCATTAATCACTTCTAGAATTATTATCTTTGCTCACTATGTAAAATCTTTTATCCTTTTTTTCCCCAGAAAAGTATGGCAGAAGGATACAGTGAAGCTTTTGAGGGTATGTATTTACATGTTTTTTATTTGATCACATTTGCATAATTCAAGACTTGTACAATTTTAATGAAAATTACAGCTTCATAATGAGAGGTTCACACTGTACAGAATTAGAGAGAGAGAGAGAAATGGGGTTTAACGTCCACTCGACACAAACTAGGTCATTTCGGGACTAACATATGGTTTAATTTTTATTTACATAATTCGCTTGCGCGTAGGGGTCTTTAGCAGTGGGAGGACCCGGAGAAAACCCACGAGGTTGGACAGGTGACCCTATTCTTTGCCACGTACAACCGGGGATTCGAAACCACGCCAGTCGACTCAATGACAGACTTTATGATACAGCGCGCGCACACTGGACAGAATTAGTCTCTGCCAAATTAAACCAAAATATTAAGTACAGCAATTTATATGGTCATGCATTGGGGGAGTTACTATACTCTATAAATATGACTGTTATTTTCGTTTATTCATTTCTTACATATTTTTGTCAATTGATGGCTGTGTATTTAGAATTGTGACTGTCAATGAAGTATATATTCACAGAAAATGTGAATTGTATTGTATAATTCACATTTTAAAGGTGGGGGTTTGAATGGCTGAATGGTTAGCGTGCGCGCGCTGTATCAAAAGTCTGTCATTGAGTCGACTGGCGTGGTTTCAAATCCCCGGTTGTACTTGGCAAGGAGTAGGGTCGCCTGTCCAACCTTGTGGGTTTTCTTCGGGTCCTCCGGTTTCCTCCCACTGTTAAAGACCCCTACGCACAAGCGAATTATGTAAATAAAAATTAAACCATATGTTAGTCCCGAAATGACCTAGTTTGTGTCGAGTGGACGTTAAACCCCATTTCTAATTTCTAACATTTAAAAGTAAATATTATATCGGTTAGAAATGTTAATGACTAACATATTTGAAGCCATCAAACAATCTGCCTTGTTCTATAAATATACAAGAGTGTAACTTGACTTGTTTTAACGGAAACCTAGTAATAGATGCTTCAATGTCATAGAATTAATATGAAGTCTGATATTTTTCTCCCTGAAACCTTATAACGGGGAAAAACAAGATTCACTACGAAAATAGAAATCAGTCGAAAACAAATATAAGGTCTTTCAGCCCTCTAAACAGACGAACTAATTATTTCTACACATCGGAAAATTTACAAAAGATTAAAAACATAAGTGTTATCATATCAAACTGAATTCTGTTCTGATATTTGTATTACAGAATTCAATAAATGTTGGTTCTTTTGATAAGAAATCGCCAGGATGCTTGTCATCATTATCAATGATAATTATTGACTGTTACCGGATATTAGATCAATAGTTGTTTTATTAATATCCAAGTAAGGTATGGTTAACCAGGTATCAGCCCCTTGATCATGTGGGCTTCACTGCTGTAACACTCACTGATCTGTCGCTGTTAACCTATTAAAGGTGGTTAGGTCACTGTTTCTTACAACTCTTAATACAATATAATGATGTATGTAAGATTGGGTTAGTGTGACATAAACGGTCATTGTTCTAGGCCAAGTAAATTGTTAGTACACAAATGAGAAGATTAGTAAACAGATGTTTATTGACATGACTAGATCACATGAAATGAACTACACTGTTTTGATTTTTTTTCCTTCAAAATATGACACAGATTAAAGTACTGTTATACAAACAAAAGTTAAAACTGGTGTAGTTATCCATGTACATGTAATACTGTATAAAAAAGGCAGGGAAGATGTTGTCTTGCACATGCTGTATATCCCAATGTCTATTAAATTTGCAAGTCATCATGGGTTTATTGCTTTGCTCTCTAATCTGTTCTGTTGTTTTATACAACAGAAATCCATAAAGAAATTAATGTGACTGTCGATAAATGGCATTTGGCATAAATATGTGCATTGTCACTATTCATAAATGTATTCCACAACTTCATAAAACTCTCTATAATCTTACCATAAAAGGACAAACTCGAGTAAATCAGAGTTTTATATATCCTATATTTAGGATAAAATGAAAGACTTCAACTGATAATGTGGTTGACAACAGGGCTCTATAAAAGTTGAGTGTGCCTGCACACACACTTGAAAATGTGCCTGCAGGGTCATACTGAAACACAGGGATGTAGCCATGATTTGGTGAGTGTTGTAAAAATATATGTGGCGAGCGGAGCGAGTGCCCAAAAATTTTTTGGGAGGGGGGCGTGGTCTTTTATGAAAATTAAACCCTTCTTTGTGTATTTTCAGAGCATCTGCTGCCTTTTGTATTTGGTTCAGTGCAAATCAAATTTCCATTTATATATTCAAATTTTACCAAATTCACTTAATTTTCATCAATGATACAGGGATCTAAAAACTTTTTGACACCACCCGACCGAGCATAAAATTGTCCCGCCCCACTCTGTTTCTCTGGATAGATAAGTTGAGGACCTTTGGTATTTGTTGTTTTGTTGGGTTTTTTTTTTCAAATATTACTTTATTACTTTTATTTGAGTACAACGAACTATGACAACAGGTAGATATTGATAATTAAAACACGTTGTATTATTTGACTTGTTTGTAAAGTTGTTGTACGTGTCTCACGAATATTATTATTATTACGGTGGAATGAGAATCAGGTCAGGAAGAAACTGAGAAAGCTCTCATCGTCCTCCTAGTCCTACTCTCGGGCCGTAGCAAATCCACGGTCAACACGAGTAAGAAATAAAATAAGAAATGTCGTGAAAATTTGCAGGCATGTGTTGGACAATTACGACATTCAAACCTTTAACATTGGAGTGCCGTAAATTGGTCTGGGTGACCTATTTACGGCAAATAAACAAATATAAAGACCGTAGAATAATTGGAGGGTCTGGAGCACAAGTGATCTAACAACCAACTAAAATGGTTGGTAGTTAGATCACTTGTGCTCTAGACCCTCCAATTGTAAAATGAATAGACCAAGGCCTACACATCTTCTAAGTCTAAATAAACAAAATACCAATACATCTTTCTTTAAACTAATTTGGGATGATAGGGTCTACTACGGCACACAAAAATAAATTATGCCGTGACATGGTTTACGTACGTACGTTGGGTTTTACCATGGCATTGCCGTTTTTGCCGTGGTAAATTTCGAGTTTTAAAAATGTGCCTGCAAAAATTTTTTTGAAATGATTGTGCCTGCGCACGCCGTGCGCATGTGCGCGGAAATATCGATGCCTGGTTGACAATGACATATATGGAAGTAAAACTTTATTTGGCTACATTACTTTTATTACAACCTTGAGCACACAAATTTGTATTAAAAAAAATGGTCTCGCTTTTAGGAAGATAGGTTGCCAGGCAACAAAACATACGCCCACAGCAGCTAAATCTTCAACAAGTGTTGTCGCATATTTTTACTTCTTTCGGTAATGAAACATTTATAATACACTAAAATCTGATTAAGAGTAACAACTCATGAAGTACGGTAATTATCAGAAAACCATTAGAATTTGTTTGGTTTTTTATAAAGTTCTGCCCCATGCTAACGTTTAGTATACAAAACTTTTAATATCATGGATTTAGCTGTTCAAGTCATAAAAATTCATTGAAAATCAATATACTTGTTCGTCTCAAGCTCTTAAACTCTGTGTATCAATCTGAAGTCAAATCTGGCAGTAATTATCGGAAATCGCTGAAAATCAATGGGCTTCTTCTTCTCATGACCTTAAACACTGTGTATAAATTAAAAGTCAATTAACTTTGGCCTTTAGAGCGTCCACAGATTTTTTGAAGTGATCAAGGGCCATAACTCTTGCAGTAATTATCGAAAATCGCTGAAAATGAATAGACTTCTTTGTCTCAAGACCTTAAACACAGTGTATAAATTTAAAGTCAATCGGATATTAACTTTAGCCTCTAGAGCGTCCACAAGATTTTTCAAAGTGATCAAGGGCCATAACTCTGGCAGTAATTATCTGAAATCACTGAAAATCAATAGGCTTCATCGTCTTAAACACTGTGTATAAATTTAAAGTCAATTTGATATTAACTCTGACCTGTAGAGCGTCCACAAGATTTTTTTAAGTGATCAAGGGCCATAACTCTGGCAGTAATTATCGGAAATGGCTGAAAATCAATAGGATTCTTCGTCTCATGACCTTAAACACTGTGTATAAATTTCAAGTCAATCGGATATTAACTTTGGCCTGTAGAGCATCCACAAGATTTTTTGAAGTTATCAAGGGCCATAACTCTGGCAGTAATTATCGGAAATCGCTGAAAATCAATAGGATTCTTCGTCTCATGACCTTAAACACTGTGTATAAATTTCAAGTCAATCGGATATTAACTTTGGCCTGTAGAGCGTCCACAAGATTTTTTGAAGTGATCAAGGGCCATAACTCTGGCAGTAATTATCGGAAATCGCTGAAAATCAATAGGCTTCTTCGTCTCCTGACCTTAAACACTGTGTATAAATTTAAAGTCAATCGGATATTAACTTTGGCCTTTAGAGCGTCCACAAGATTTTTTGAAGTGATCAAGGGCCATAACTCTGGCAGTAATTATCGGAAATCGCTGAAAATCAATAGGCTTCTTCGTCTCCTGACCTTAAACACTGTGTATAAATTTAAAGTCAATCGGATATTAACTTTGGCCTTTAGAGCGTCCACAAGATTTTTTGAAGTGATCAAGGGCCATAACTCTGGCAGTAATTATCTGAAATCACTGAAAATCAATAGGCTTCATCGTCTTAAACACTGTGTATAAATTTAAAGTCAATTTGATATTAACTCTGACCTGTAGAGCGTCCACAAGATTTTTTTAAGTGATCAAGGGCCATAACTCTGGCAGTAATTATCGGAAATGGCTGAAAATCAATAGGATTCTTCGTCTCATGACCTTAAACACTGTGTATAAATTTCAAGTCAATCGGATATTAACTTTGGCCTGTAGAGCATCCACAAGATTTTTTGAAGTTATCAAGGGCCATAACTCTGGCAGTAATTATCGGAAATCGCTGAAAATCAATAGGATTCTTCGTCTCATGACCTTAAACACTGTGTATAAATTTCAAGTCAATCGGATATTAACTTTGGCCTGTAGAGCGTCCACAAGATTTTTTGAAGTGATCAAGGGCCATAACTCTGGCAGTAATTATCGGAAATCGCTGAAAATCAATAGGCTTCTTCGTCTCCTGACCTTAAACACTGTGTATAAATTTAAAGTCAATCGGATATTAACTTTGGCCTTTAGAGCGTCCACAAGATTTTTTGAAGTGATCAAGGGCCATAACTCTGGCAGTAATTATCGGAAATCACTGAAAATCAATAGGCTTTTTCGTCTCATGACCTTAAACACTGTGTATAAATTTAAAGTCAATCGGATATTAACTTTAGCCTCTAGAGCGTCCACAAGATTTTTTGAAGTGATCAAGGGCCATAACTCTGGCAGTAATTATCGGAAATCGCTGAAAATCAATTGGATATTAACTCTAGCCTCTAGAGCGTCCACAAGCAATTGTGGACGTCGGACCGACTGACGGACGGACCGACGGGGGCGACGACAATATAGGACCACATTTCAATGTGGGCGTATAAAAATGAGTTCAGAATTATTATAATTGTTCGTAACAGACTGACAGACTATGACCGAAACTTGTATTTCAGCTATGGCTTGATTCTCTAATTTTACATGCTGTCTAACTCTTATTTTAACATCCTAATGTTACTTGTGTGGCGATTTCACATCAAAAATCAAAACAAAATTTATTTTTTACTGACAACTGGCAACCAAGAAAGCGCTAATGCCTCTTTAAGTCAATAGTGAATTAGAAATATTTTTGAACTAATATGTTTTGTTTTTCTTTAGTAAATAAGATTATGTAATCGAGTATGGTTTTAAGACTCTGTTGTTATATTGTCAAATTCTCTCAGTGCAAAATTGCAGAATAGCATGAAAGAGTACTAGTATATGGTCTATCTATAGAGTTGTTCATAATAAATATCTTTTTTACATTTCAGTATTAGAGGGTGGTAGTGAATTAAAACTAGAAACAAGTCCGACACCTACTAATAGTGGTAGATTCAGTTTTTCACGTACAAGTAGTACTGGTTCTAATGCTGCCGGTTGTGCCTCTTCAGCATCATCTGCTCAAAATACAGGTAATTACATGTATGATACTTTTTTCTTCAGCATCTGCTCAATTTACAGGTACAATAATTATACAATATCTTCTAAATCCACTAGAAGTATGAGTAATGGTACCCACTTAATATACAGGATATTATGTAATATCAAGTATCTACAGAGAAAATATAATAATTTTATAGTAACTATCATTACTAATCAATTTGAATTTCAAGAAATTATTTTATATTAAGCCTGAAAACTGATTGACTTCTGATCTTTTCAATATACGCCTACTGAATTTCATTGCTCACACTATTTGGATTTAGTGTAATATTGTGATCTTTACCTTATAAAAGAAATAAATTAATGAATAAATCAATCAGTGCACTATAGTATGACCACATTCCAAATAAAGGTTTCTATATAACCCAGGGTGAAAAAACCCCAAGGCATTCAAACACATTTTGATTCACTTTGCAGATGCAATTCTCAGCAGAAGAATGATGGATCCTCCACTGATCTTTGGTTGATTATTTGCTAATCATGCATTATAATATCCATGTCTTTGAATTCATAATAGTACTGATAATTAATTTTTTGTTATAAAGCATATGAATGATTTGTAAACGGTAGTGAATATTGTGTATTTTTATGTAACCTGTGTCTTGTATTTATTTTAGATGATGAAGACAGTGATAAACCAGCCATGTCATATAAAGATAAAAGACGTGAAGCTCATACTGTAGCTGAACAGAAAAGACGTGATAATATTAAGGTATTTTAGTAATTTATTACACCATTAAAGAAATGAAATGAAATGAAATGGGGTTTAACGTCCTACTGTTCTGCTCCTATACTGGGCTAATGAAGACGGGCATACGCCATACAGTGTGCTATGAGGGAAATTTTGCCCGGGCAGCGGCACTATCGCCTACTCTTATATCGAATTCCAACTGCCAAGGGATCTTTTACGTGCATTCCAATGTTTACACGGGACCTCGGTTTTTCGTCTCATCCGAAGGACTAGACAGCTGTCCTTGTCAGGCCCTCCGTCCTGCATCACTGACAAGGGGAAACCACGACACCATTAAAGACAATATGCTTACCGTCTAGAACATCTGATACAATTTCTCATGACACCACTTTTCATTTGAAGAGTTCACATAGCTAACAAATTTTTGTTATTCATTAGTATTTCATATCAAAACAGAAATAAGCGCTCAAAGGGTGATATGGTGTGTCATAATTCTGTGAAAAGTGGGCTGTCTTACAAAATTACAATTAACATCCATTACAAAATTTGGCAGTGAATCAATGCAATGTTTGTTTTTGTTGTTATTCCCAGATGTCCTAGTAGCTGGGATACAGACAAATATCTTTAGAAAAGCTGACTGAAAAAAAAGAAAGCTATCTGGACATCAACTTTCGACAAAATTATTATTACCATACTATTTATTTATAGAGAGGATATGATGAGCTGCAGTGTATTGTACCAACTTGTCATCAAGCAGATGGTTTGAGTGGACAGAAAATGAGTAAAGCTAATGTTTTACAGAGATGTAAGTCGAATTTCCTTACTAGTAATTAAAAGAATTTTATTTACCAGGTACAAGAATTAAAAGATTATATATCTTGATGATTCCATTCCTATCATCATTTCCGAAATATCATTGGTCCACAGGCTTGACTCATGTTTATCAGGAGAGTGTTGGAGAAAAAAAGATGTTATATTGTAATCCACAAATCTTCTGGAAATAAAAAGAAAGTTGATGTTTATTTCGTTAATTATGGAAGGTCAGTTATGATATAATTGAAAGCTATTTCAGAATTTATGATCCATTATACCACCCTATAGAATTTATTTTCCTGAAAATAAATGTTGTTAACATAATATGTTTTTACAGCCATTGAATACATGCAGTATTTAGTAAAACAAAAGTCAAAGCAAGAAGATGATTTGGATTCTCTAAGAAAAGAAGTAATGGCATTAAAGATCATGAAAGCGTGAGTTTCAATTTCGATATTATTGAACTTTTACTTACCGGTAGTTATGTTCCCTTGAGCCCATATTGTCTCTGCTTCAACAACAGTGACATGTGTGTATTATGGTAACAGTTAATTCTGAACTTGATTCATCAGTGAACAGTGCATTCTTCCAAAGCAAGCTGAGGGTCAAAGGCTATAAAATACGTCTGTATGGCTTATGACATTGTACAACAATTCACACTATTTTGTACAGATGAGTATTCATCGTAGTCAAAGAACAGACAGAATTTATCAGGGCCGTCACTTTTTTTTATGTTTAATATGAGCATGTAGAATGTGGGCTTACTGTAAAGACCCTTTAGAAAAATATACTGATTTGTGATTTAAAAGTAAAGAAGCTGTATTAATTTGACATCAGTTATATAATTTTAGCCCACTACCTGAAGGAAATGATAATTGATTTTTCTTTCTTTATTTTAAGAAACTATGAGCATATTGTTAAAACTCACCAAAATACACCTGTTCACGGTCAAAATCAGGTTCCTGATGAGGTTAAGTTTCAAGTGGTAAGAATTTATGATTCATGAATATGTAGAATAAATAAAATTATGTTATAAAATAGTTAATTCTTGCGTACAAACTTTAGAAAAAAAAATACAGAAATGTAATATTATATAAAGCATGTTTAATAAACATATAACACAATTTACATGTGGGTAACAAATTTAGCAATGCATATAGAAGAAGGTTTCATCGAAAAACATGAATCCTCAGAAAGCAGTGGTTATCTTTTCTGTATCATCTGCTCAAAACAATTAAGCAACAATTTGCTGTCACTTGATTAATAAAACAATTTCTATTCATTTTGATAACTTATTTAAAATATATTTTATTTCAGTTTCAACAAGTTATGGATACGTTGTTCCAATCATTTAATGCTAATATATCTGTAGCTAATTTTGCTGAACTATCAGCTTGTGTCTTCAGTTGGCTTGAAGAATACTGTAAACCCAAGGTAATTATCTATGAGCTCAAATTAAATTTTAGCTTCAAATTAAAATTCTAACAAAAATATGCATCTGTTCTAATGTGACTGATTTTGATGTAGTTGTCACATATTTTATTGATAACTGGAAACTCATACTTCCTATTCGCTTTCTCTTGATGTTAGAAAACTTAATGGAGCTAAACTTCTTAGGTAAAAATCAAGTATTGAATACGGTTGATTGTGAAATACTATTTTGATTAGTAAAGATGAATATTTGATTAAATGATTGTTTTGAAAGATTCAGTGGACGTTGGCTTGTTTACTACTTTTGCTTTCATTTTTGGCAGCAAACACGGATTGTCATCCCACTAAACAAATCAACATTTAAAATTAAAAAAATGGATAATTTTAAACCTAATCAGAGATTCAATGATTTTAAGTACAGTAACTATATATAATTTTCCGAATGGTGTACCTGTTTTACGTTATTTTTTGTGGTAATTACATGTAGTAGAATACGATATTTCTCATAATAAATTACCAAGAATTATTTTTGTTGAAATTTGGTTATAATAAAAGGAATGGAAGCATAAAATTCTGGCCGGTTCGTTCCAAAATGGATTAAGAACGCTGATATATATTATTAAATTTTATATTTCCAGAGTTTGCAGGAAGTGGTACTTGGTATTTTGCGACAACTGAACACAACATTAAATCATTGATGAAACCAGTTTTGTTTTAGTATCAGTATCATACGTTATCGATTATTGTTTTGTACTGTAAAAAGAGGTTGTTAGTCCAAACAGAATATTTGTTGTTCTTTAACAAAAGGTCAGAAAATGAAGAATATGATTACATGTATATATAGCTAAATGTGTAGAAAATATTTTTTTGACGCTTTGTCATTATTGGCTAAACCTCACCCTTTTTGGCTTTATTGTATATAAAGTATATTTTTGTTACAATTTTGTAATATGTTCATCACTGCTTTAACAAATCGTTGGCAAATGTTGCGTTGAAAATTGATTCTAAAAATGTCTTGTGAAAAAGTTTTCATGATAATCCTATATGAAAGCTACTTATATATCCTAACTTTCTTTGAATTTCTTGTCAGATGGTTCAATGTTATTATAACATGAATATTATCATTTTAAAAGCTGCCTCTGATGTTTTGATATCTCTTTATTGTCGATTTGATCATGTTAATGTATATCTCTTATGATTATACATCTTGTTTATGCTTTGCCTGCTTTTGTAATTATATTATAGACAGTTATAGAGAAATTATCAGTTTTCACAAGCAAATATATCATATAATTTAATACAAATTAAACTGATATTAATTTGAACGCTCGCCATCTTAAAGCAGAAGACCAAATTTTGAAGGAACATCTGCTGAATCACTATGTTGATGACTCATACCGTATTTTTCGGTGTATTAGGCGCACTTTTTTTACCAGATATTTTTATTTATAAAAGGTGTTTGCCTAATACATAGTATTAAGGAAATCTAGGCTTTTCTCTGTGTCAACTTCGAAGTCTGAAGTTGATGATGTCGACATTTTTTGTGCGATAAAGATGGCAGCCATTTCAGCTACTGCTATTTGTATACTGTTAGCCATAAATAACAATGTTGTTAACACCATATGCCGAAGGGGGGTTGGATGGCTGAATGGTTAGCGTGCGCGCGCTGTATCATAAAGTCTGTCATTGAGTCGACTGGTGTGGTTTCGAATCCCCGGTTGTACGTGATAAGGAGTAGGGTCGCCTGTCCAACCTCGTGGGTTTTCTCCGGGTCCTCCGGTTTCCTCCCACTGCTAAAGACCCCTATGCGCAAGCGAATTATTGAAATAAAATTATACCATATGTTAGTCCCGAAATGACCTAGTTTGTGTCGAGTGGACGTTAAACCCATTTCTCTCTCTCTCTCTCTCCATATGCCGATTCATCGTTAATGGTGTTTAAAATATATGCAAAGTTATCATTAATATTTCTGTTATCCCTACGTAATTGATGACATATATTTCTGCTATTCCATATAATGTGTACCAGTGTTAGCCATTACAGGCAATCCAAACAGTGTCCCGTTCAATGGTGTTGTCAGTTGCAGGTGGATTTAAGTCACGTATGGTATGGCACATGTTTCACAAGGTGCTGGAGAAGGGTGTGCTTAAACCATGCACTTTTATTTTTTCCCGAAACACTCTGCTAAATTTGCCCTGCGCCTTATACCCCGAAAAATACTGAATTTTAAGATACATGTATGTATGTATAGCTTAGTAATGAAATTGCAGGCCTGATATAAATTTTGCAAAAAATCTAATTTTTGATAACCCTGGTGTAATTCTTTAGTCAAATCACAGAAAATCAAAAATTACCTTTTGGTTGACCAGTCAAGATCCCCAAACTCTTATAAATGCCTCTTAAAGTGCATATGTTCACTTTCTATAGTATTCATTTATATCAGATACTTTTATCCCTAAATATGATGTTAGATATAATTTCATTCTTTGTGTTCTACTATTATAAGATCATCTCCCAAAACCAATTCGATGGTAATTACAATATTGCTTTTATTTAACTCTTGCCATTACCAATAATTCATTAAAAATTGTTTTATATATTATATTTTATAATATTAATCATGTCATACACCTTATGTTTACCTATAGATATTAATAATATCTGTATTACCATTATTCATTGTAATAATTATAATTTGGAAACAGTATTTTCTCTTATAAAATATAGTAAACTGTCATATTTGTTTTTGGAGTTCTAAACTAATAAATGATTAACCCAGTCAAATTGATGATGTGATGAAATTTCAATTTTTTGATGTACAGGCCACTTTGTCAGTTATAGCTAGTTCCCATACAAGCATCTGATTAATCAAATTTCAGTTTCCATATCCATTAAAAGCATATGGCTAAACTAGAATTACATGTAGCTGTATATGATTTGATAAAGCGAAGGGCTTTCACAGTGAACAGTCTTGACTTAAATGGCTTCAAAATACTTTTAGCTATTTATTTCTTGCTGATTTCTTCTTTAAAGGATATCAAAAGTATCTTTATTATTAGAAAATCAAAAGTATCTTTATTTTTAGGAAATCAAAAGTATCTTTATTTTTTATTTATAGAAAATCAAAAGTATCTTTATTTTTAGGAAATCAAAAAGTATCTTTATTTTTAGGAAATCAAAAGTATCTTTAATTTTTAGGAAACCAAAAGTATCTTTATTTTTAGGAAATCAAAAAGTATCTTTATTTTTAGGAAATCAAAAGTATCTTTAATTTTTAGGAAACCAAAAGTATCTTTATTTTTAGGAAATCAAAAGTATCTTTATTTTTATACACCCACAAATACTTATTGGCAAAGACAGTGGTGGAATTTCAATGTAGCAGGGATGTAAATATGTGCTGTTCTGTGTAATTGTTTGTATTTCTGGGGATGCCTAGGGGGGTTGGATGGCCGAATGGTTAGCATGTACGTGCTGTATCATAAAGAGTGGGGTTTTCTCCGGGATCCTCCGGTTTCCTCCCACTGCTAAAGACCCCTACGCGCAAGCGAATTATTGAAATAAAATTAAACCATGTGTTATTCCCGAAATGACCTAGTTTGTGTCGAGTAGACGTTAAACCCCATTTCTCTCTCTCTCTCTGGGGACGCCTAGATTGCTGTCCTGTGGTGTTCTCAATCTTAAATTAAATATACTTCTTTCTGACAATGTCATGGGGAATTCCCTTTGACTAACTTGGTAGAGGTGTATGGATTCCATGCCTCCGTTTACCGGTTTCTAGAGGTGTGCAGGGGTCTCGGAAGTGGGTGGGGTAGGCGCCAGAAAATGTTCAGTTCTGTGGCACATGCTAGAAAGGATTTGAGGTACATCTCAGCCATGACATACCATTCATTGACACTTGGTCTTGGTTGAGGAATTATGATAACTCCTTAAGATCTGAACATGAACATAGTTAGCAACAATCAAGATCTAAACAACCCATGAGTAAAGAAAAACAAGCATCAAAAGATACTGGTATTCCTTACAAATGGTACCTGCCAAGTTTCATTCAATTGTGTTTGCTAAAGAGGGAGAAGTACAGTATTGTTAACAGGGCTGCCGACAACCAGTATCGCATTCGCAGCGCAATTTGCGATACATATTTTGTCCGTTGCTAACCAAAAATTAAAATCTAACGTTTTTGATTCGCAGTTACTGCGAATCATTAATATGCCTGTCATTTTGGATATTGACACAAGAATAATCCACATTTTGAAGACTAGAAGGCTTACTCAACACTTTCAACGTGTAAAAAATGTTGAATAAAATTTTATAAACAAAACTGAATTCTCCAATTACCCCTAAGTACCACTAGAATTTCCAGTCAACAAACTCGGTCGATGGTTGGGCTAAAATTTGGGAATAGTTTGTTTGACTGAAATAAAAAACGCACTAACTCAAATATGATTACATCGTTTTTTGTCTATTTTGATTATTTTCCCCCAAGTTCAAATCTGACAGTTGAAGTCACAACTTTATTGAGATTTTCCTTCCAATAGCAATCCCCTAAACAACGTGTTGACCCCTCTTTGCGAGTAAGGTCGTCATCTAGGGTTAAGGGTCAACGACTGACGTCATCAACTGAAAACAATGGCCGTACTAATATAAACAACTTGAATTAAGTCTGTGTCCGATGCATAAAACTGATGACAGCATAGTATCTAGTCGCTTCGGAATAAAAACAACCGTGTGGAGGGATTTATAGAGGAGTAGGCTACATGTTGTTATCTTAGTTACTGCCACCACTGCTTAATAAAGTCAAGCTTTACGTTTTTCCTCGTCATATTGAGCGACTGGATTATTCGACTGAATTATCTGCTTGATTTTTTTTTCGACCGGATTATTTGACTGTTTTTTCGGCTATCCCCGGCCCTAAATACCTATTTATCAGACTACTTTTGCCCCATAAATTGAACTTGAAACTATTTGGCAGGGGAGGGAGCTAGGTGCAAGCCCCCGGCTCTTTTACAGCTATGGCTATGGGTATGACTGAACTACTCGGTATTATCTTAGTTCACTGCAATTCCTGCTTATTATTGAACGGCTGTTTTTAACTTCTCATCATATAACTGTCAAAAGCACATTTTGTCAACTTGATCTGGTATGAAGACCCAACTTGATCTGGGATGTGGATTTATCGACAGTGATATTCGTCTAGTTTTATTGACTGAGATATTCGACTTGTTTTATTGACTGTGATATTCGACTGGTTTTATCATGGTATTATAAGGTCCATGGTTTTATCGACTGAGGTATTTGACTTATTTTATCGACTGAGATATTCGACTTATTTTATCGGACTGGTTTTATCGACTGAATTATTTGACTCGTTTTATTGACTGAGATATTTGACTGGCTTTATTGTCTGGATGAGGCCACAATAAAATAGTTTTATTGACTGGGATATTTGACTTTTTTCGACAATAAAATCAGTCAAATAATTCAGTTGACAGAACCAGTCGAATAATTCAGTCAACAAAACCAGTCAAATAATCCAGTTGAAAAAAAACAGTCAAATAATCTAGTCAACAAAACCAGTTGAATAATCCTGGCGAAAAAACAGTCAAATATCCCAGTCGATAAAACCAGTCGCTCAATATTAAGTACCGGTGGCAGTGAGCTAAGGTAATATAGAATAGCCCAATCATGGTCATAGCCAGGTGCTTCACCCCCCGCCCCTCCCAACTACTTTAAAGTCAGATTTTTCGGGCAAAAGTCTTATGATCTAGGTATTTAGTTGATACATGTACTAAACGGAGAGTAATGTTTTTGGCCCGTCATCTAAGTGAATAGAATCCTACATAGGCCTGTAGTCAGGGGCTGGGGGTATTGGACGAGTCAGGGTTTTTTTTGTGACCTCGTCAAGTCGAATATTTCAGTGTATATTTCAGTCGAAAAAAAGCAGTCGCTTGACTTGATGGTGGAGGACCATACTTTATGAATCACTAATTGGAGTGAACTAAGATAACAATAAGTAGCCTGGAGCCACGGTGGCTAAGTGAGTAAGACACTGGCTCGCTAGCCTGGAGGTTTGTTCCTGGTATTGGCCGAAAAAGTTCCTCAGGATTTTCCGGGTGGTTTCCCCCTGTCAGTGGGGCAGTCGTTTGGATGGGATGAAAAACCAAGGTCCCATGTACACATTGGCATGCATGTAAAAGATCCCCTGTATGGCATATGCCTGACTTTATTAGCTCAGTCGGTGCACAACAGTAGGACGTTAAAGCCCATTTTATTTCATTGAGTAGCCCTTTCATGCTCATAACACGGTTCCACTTTCAGGGAATGTATCTGGTCGAGTGTGTTCTCTAAGTATCGGAAATGAATACAGATTTTTCGAATAGATCTTCAACACTTTATTTCAAGAGCAAAGAAATAACAGCAACAAGTAAACAACTTATATCTTCCTATAAATTGGTCCTCCAACTGGTACATAGGTTCCCTCAGCTGGTCTCTCCAACTATAATTCATCTTACATACATTTTTCTTTTTATATAAATTAGTTACTATGAAAGTATTGACATAAACATATAATTATTGAAGGATTAAGTCATTTAAACAATAGTAAAAGAAACTTAACAGACCACCCACTTTAGTTATTTAAATCGACTGACAAATTAATTGCTGTCTGCTTCTAATGACTAACCAAGTGAACCAAGATCAATAAGTAGCCTGGAACAACAGTGGCTAAGTGAGTAAGGCGCTGGTTCGCTAGCCTGGAGGTTGCGGGTTCGTTCTCGGTATTGGCGGAGACAGTTCCTCAGGATTTTATCCAGGTGGTTTCCCCTTGTCCGTAGGGCAGGACGGAGGGTGTGACAAAAACTACAGCTGTCTAGTCTTTCGGGTGGCATGAAAAACCAAGGTCCCATGTACACATTGGCGTGCATGTAAAAAGATCCCTTGGCAGTTGGAATTCAATATATAAGAGTAGGCTGTAGCGCTACTGTCGGGGCAAAATTTCCCTTGTAGCACACTGTATGGCATATGCCCATCTTCATTAGCCTAGTCGGTGCACAACAGAAGGATGTTAAACCCCATTTCACTTCATTATGTAGCGGGAGTGATTAAGTGGGTAAGACGCCGGCTCGCTAGTCTGGAGGTTACATGTAGGTGTTCGATCCCTGCATTGCCCGAAAGAGTTCATCCAGATTGTCCGGTGTGATTCCCCTTTGTCAGTGATGCAGGACAGAGGGCCTGACAAGGTTAGCTGTGTAGTCATTCGGATGGGATGACAAAACGAGGTCCTGTGTACACATTGGAATAAACGTAAAAGATTCCTTGACAGGTGGAATTCGATATAAGAGTAGGCTGTAGTGCACTGTCCAGACAAAATTTCCCTCATGGCACACTGTATGGCGTATGCCCGTCTTCATTAGCCCAACAGTAGGACGTTAAACTCCATTTCATTTCATATTATTAAGTAGCCCTTTCATGCTCATAACATAGTTCGACTTTCAGGGAATATATCGCGTGGAGTGTGTTCTCTAAGTATTGGAAATGACTACAGATTCTTTGAATAGATCTTCAACACTTTATTTCAGGAGCAAATAAATAACAGCAACAAGTAAACAACTTATAACTTATAACTTCCTATAAATCAGTCCTGCAACTAAGTTGGTCTCTCCAACTACTGTATAATTCATCCTACATACACTTGTCTTTTTATATAAATTAGTCACTATGAAAGTGTTGAAATAAGCATATAATTATTGAAGGATTAAGTCTTAAGCCATTTAAAACAATAGTTAAAG